ACCATTCCAACCAACCTTTCCAACCAACCTTTCCAACCAACCATTCCAACCAACCTTTCTAACCATTCCAACCATTCCAACCAACCTTTCCAACCAACCGTTCCAACCAACCTTTCCAACCAACCTTTCCAACCAACCTTTCTAACCTTTCCAACCATTCCAACCAACCATTCCAACCATTCCAACCTCTCCAACCAACCTTTCCAACCTTTCCAACCAACCTTCTAAAGACACGTCTTTTAATATGAACCGAACTTTTCAGCCACCTTCTAAATCTTACCGGTTTTTATAGACTTATACAAAATCTGAAAGATTTGAGGGATAAAAAAAGGTCTGTCGCTCCTCAACAGACAGGTGCTTTCCCCCCTCCTCAGTTGACCGGGAAACCCGAGTCAAAATTTTCGATCACAGAAATTTCTTTCAATTTTCTTTTTCTCACAAATGGACAATCAGCAAAATATTCATCTATCTGAAAAAGTGAATTTCAATAAAATTCCTGATTTACAATCAATTTTAGGCATCAGCGAGTCGTTTACGGTCGATCTACGAGTTCGCGAAGAAATCGCTGAGTAATGTGGACGAATTCTCGAGGTAAACCTTCGAAAAATTCGGCTTAAAATATTTTAAAGAGGTTTTTTGAACTTTTTTTGAAATTTTGATTTTTCAGGGTCGATCCTCGAGCCGTTTTCGTCAATAATGACTTGAATTTGAAGAGGATTGAGGTGATTGATGGATTTGTGTGACTTGAAGTCGATCGTGTATTTGATCGTCAATGTATTTGATCGTCAATGTAAACTAAAATGCAATTCAAGGCTTGCATCGAATCCCTTTTTTGCGATTTCACGAAAACTATTTTACCGAGCGTTCTGTTTTCTTTATCAGAACGCTTGCTTTTTCGACTACGCTCTTTAATAGAAAGAGCGTAGTCGAAAACCCTAAAAAATACTTTGGAAGATCTACGGTCACTTTCAAAAAAAAGTTTCAGAATAAAACGAATAGATTTTAGTCGTTTGAAGTCTTTCAAGTCTTTCAAGCCTACAAGTTCAAGAAGTTTAACCAGTTACTTCTAGGAACAAGTAACTTCTAGAAATAAGTTGCTTCTTTCTAGTAACAAGCAACTTCTTCTAGTAACAAGTCACTTCTAGTAACAAGTAACTTCTAGTAACAAGCCACTTCTAGTAACAAGTCACTTCTAGTAACAGGTCACTTCTAGTAACAAGTCACTTCTAGTAACAGGTCACTTCTAGTAACAAGTCACTTCTAGTAACAAGTAACTTCTAGGAACAAGCCACTTCTAGGAACAAGTCACTTCTAGTAACAAGTAACTTCTAGGAACAAGTCACTTCTAGTAACAAGTAACTTCTAGGAACAAGTAACTTCTAGTAACAAGTAACTTCTAGGAACAAGTCACTTCTAGTAACAAGTAACTTCTAGTAACAAGCTACTTCTTTCTAGTAACAAGCAACTTCTTCTAGTAACAGGTCACTTCTAGAAACAAGTAACTTCTTCTAGTAACAAGTTACTTCTTCTAATAGGTTGATCCATAAGTCTTTTCGTTTTTTTCGTACTTCTGTTAAAAAGTAACAAATTCACCAATTAATCTATAGTTTGCTCTATAAAAAAAGTGTTTTTTTGTTCAATTTGCATCTTTTTAAATGAATTTCGGTTCACTTTCAAGCAAATTCGAGAGTGAAAAACGCGTTTTTCGTAAAAATCTATAAAAAAACTCTACGGAAAAATTGGCTGAATGAATTTCTCTGAAATTTTGGCGAAATATCAAACGTTTTTTTTTTCTCTATCTTTTATCTATTGACACGAAGATAGGTTTTCTTTAGCTAAGGTGTCTAAACCGCATCATCGAGTTAGCCCTTTTTGACTACCCGACTTCATACTCTCAAGAAAATCCAGGCATTAAAGATTTTTAAACCCGTTTTAATGTTATTTTGCAGAAAAATAATTGCTTTTTCTAATGAAATCAACCGTAGTTTAATTGGTGCATTTGTTGGCTTGAAACGGCAGACGAAAAGGAACAAAAAGACTTATGCATCAACCTAATAGTAACAATTAACTTCTTCTATTGGGTTGGGGACTATGACTCGACGGACAAAAGAAAGGCAAATTTATTGAACATAAAACCATGAATTCATTCCAAATAATTTCCATTATTATTGACGACTTCTGCCCATTTTACAGGCAATTTGCGGATTCCTCCTTCGTAGTAGGATTTTGGTTTGTGTGTGAGACAAGTGTGAGACTCAAAAATGGAGGACTGGAGATGTCCCAGTTTGAGCACTTTCTTCAAAAGAAACCCATTTTGGTGTCAATAGAAAAGTTGTAGAGAATCAAAAATGAGGCCTATAGCCAAATTTGCAAAAAGATACACTTAGTAGTTTCGCTTAAAATGCAAGTTTTGTGAAAATTCGTAAATTTCGCATTTCTTGAAAACCAGTGTTTGAATCGTTCTGAAAATTTGGATATAAGCTTGATTTTTGATCCTCTACAACTTTTCCATTGACACCAAAATGGGTTTCTTTTGAAGAAAGTGCTCAAACTGTCACATATGACATTTTGTCCGCCGAGTCATTGTCCCCAACCCAATAGTAACAAGTTACTTCTTTCTAGTAACAAGCAACTTCTTCTAGTAACAGGTTACTTCTAGAAACAAGTAACTTCTTTCTAGTAACAAGTAACTTCTTTCTAGTAACAAGTAACTTCTATTGGGTTGATGCATAATTATCCGGACTTCTTTTATAAATGATTTTATTTAACAAAAAATAACATAAATAGTTAGAAAAATATGTTTAATTGATTATTCTGGAGCATATTCACCGCCTACATCAATAACTGATTGCCATTTGCTTGGAAGACGATCGATTCCACGAGCGAAGAATAAACGATCTTTGGAGGCAATCCACGCTTTAACATCGTCTATCAAGTCATCCAAATCGTTGTAGATCTTATTTGTTTGCCAATTTTTGAGCGATCGATTGACGTGGTAGTCCGTTGGGGCTTCAGTAGGAGAATATGGCGGGTGTGGAAGAAGATCCCAGCCCTTACTAGCGATGGATTCGACGACATGGCGCTCAACGTGCGGACGTGCGTTATCGTGGTGAAAGACGATGTTGTTCTTTTTGCGCGGTCTTCGTGCCTGAATCGTGTGGGACCCATCCAGCCAATTTCCATACTTTGCCAAGCTTTTTGAGATGGCGCACGATCGTTGACTGGTCAACATTGAATTCATCTGCCAGCATTCTGGTTGTCAGGCTTTCGTCTTCTTCAACGGCTTCCAGAAGTGCCTTGTCATCGAATTCTGATGGCCGTCCTCTTCCTGGTTCATCATCAACACTTGTGTTACCGGACTTGAAACGATCGAACCATTCATAAACTGTTGCACGTCCAATTGTTCCTTGACCAAAAAGTTCTTTGAGATCGCGAAACGACTCTGCGGCAGACCATCCCTTTTCGAAGTGGTAGAGCATGATATGGCGAAGATGGATATGATTGTCGACACGCATTTTGTTCACTAAAGAATAACGAATATTTAAAAAAAAAGAAATAGACAAAAAGCTTTCAAAACAAAAAAGATACAAGCACGCAAAAAGAAGTCCGGATAATTATGCATCAACCCAATAGTAACAAGCCACTTCTAGTAACAAGTCTTTAATTTCCAGTGGTACGGCTTTGACTACGACTACACGTTGGCCGTTTACACCAGAGATCTGAACGAGTTGATTTACAATTTGGCGATCAAGAGATTGATAAAGGATTTTCATGTGGGTTTTTGTGAGATGCACTCTGCACTTTTGAGATGCATCGTTTGCACTCATTTGCACTTTATCTAATGCTTTAACTTCAGAATCACCTATAGAATTTTAGCAAATACTCAGTGCCAAGAAGGGTACTCAATTCGTTCCTCAATTCATTCCTCAATTCATTCATTTTCCAGTATCCAACGATTCTCCAAACGATTCCATACGATAAAGAATTCGCGATTCGAGGTCTTCACTATGACATTCAAAATTGTGTTCTTCTAAAAGTCGACGCTTTCTCGCAAATACAAAAAGGTTCATTTTACAATAATTTTGCAAAACAACTGTCTTCGCACTTAGATTTTCCTATTTACACAGATCACAACCTGCTTCCATATTTCTCTCTCTCTCTCTCTTACTATTGTCATCTAGTGATATTGTCATCCAGTGTTTCCTATCTTGATTGTTCCTGGTTCGAAGTTTTCGACTTGCTTGTGCTGGTGGTGGTTGTTCGACTTGCTTGTGTTCTAGCCATCCTTTCTCTGACCGTCGCTGCCACTCTTGTGCTCCACCTTGATTCTGGTCTTCCGATGGGCCTCTTCTCGTGGTAGCCACTATGATCCGTATCGTTCATCTGTCGTCTGTTCTTCTGGCTACGTGGCCGGCCCATCTGAGTCTTTTTCTCTCGATCACTTCCACTGGATCTCTGAGTCCCGAGAGGCGCATATTCTCTGATGGGCTTGGTCGAGCTGCGGCTTGGTCGAGCTGCGGCTTGGTCGAGCTGCGGCTTGGTCGAGCTGCGGCTTGGTCGAGCTGCGGCTTGGTCGAGCTGCGGCTTGGTCGAGCTGCGGCTTGGTCGAGCTGCGGCTTGGTCGAGCTGCGGCTTGGTCGAGCTGCGGCTTGGTCGAGCTGCGGCTTGGTCGAGCTGCGGCTTGGTCGAGCTGCGGCTTGGTCGAGCTGCGGCTTGGTCGAGCTGCGGCTTGGTCGAGCTGCGGCTTGGTCGAGCTGCGGCTTGGTCGAGCTGCGGCTTGGTCGAGCTGCGGCTTGGTCGAGCTGCGGCTTGGTCGAGCTGCGGCTTGGTCGAGCTGCGGCTTGGTCGAGCTGGGCTTGGTCGAGCTGCGGCTTGGTCGAGCTGGGCTTGGTCGAGCTGCGGCTTGGTCGAGCTGCGGCTTGGTCGAGCTGCGGCTTGGTCGAGCTGCGGCTTGGTCGAGCTGCGGCTTGGTCGAGCTGCGGCTTGGTCGGGCTGCGGCTTGGTCGAGCTGCGGCTGGTCGAGCTGCGGCTTGGTCGAGCTGCGGCTTGGTCGAGCTGCGGCTTGGTCGAGCTGGGCTTGGTCGAGCTGCGGCTTGGTCGAGCTGCGGCTTGGTCGAGCTGCGGCTTGGTCGAGCTGCGGCTTGGTCGAGCTGCGGCTTGGTCGAGCTGCGGCTTGGTCGAGCTGCGGCTTGGTCGAGCTGCGGCTTGGTCGAGCTGCGGCTTGGTCGAGCTGCGGCTTGGTCGAGCTGCGGCTTGGTCGAGCTGCGGCTTGGTCGAGCTGCGGCTTGGTCGAGCTGCGGCTTGGTCGAGCTGCGGCTTGGTCGAGCTGCGGCTTGGTCGAGCTGCGGCTTGGTCGAGCTGCGGCTTGGTCGAGCTGCGGCTTGGTCGAGCTGCTTCCTATTGTACCCGAGGAGGTTCCTTTCAAGGATGCGTTGTTCTCAGGGCTCTGTGGTCTGTGTCGTGGCCCAGATCTCTGTCCCGTGGCAGAGTGCCGAGAGGACGATGCTGTCGAAGAGTGCTGAAGTGTGAAGGTGTGCCCGAGTCCTCTGGTGATTCTTGAGTATCTTTGTGACTTCTTTGATGCTTTCTAATCCCAATTCTTTGACGCTTGCCGGCTTCTTTAATGCTTGCTGGCTAAAATTAAGTCACTAAACAATTTGAAAAAATAAATGCTAAAATCGTATTCTTAAGCTGAAAAACGGTAATTATGGTGTTTTTTTGGTACTTTTGGGTACTTTTTGGGTACTTTGTGGGAACTTTTTGGTACTTTTTGGTACTTTGTGGGTACTTTGTGGGTACTTTTGGTACTTTTTGGGTACTTTTTGGTACTTTTTGGTACTTTTTTGTATTCTTTGGGTACTTTTTGGTACTTTTTGGTGTTCTTTGGGTACTTTTTGGTACTTTTGGGTACTTTTTGGTACTTTTTGGTACTTTTTGGGTTCTTTTTAGTACTTTGTGGGTACTTTTGGTACTTTTTGGGTACTTTTTGGTACTTTTTGGTACTTTTTGGTACTTTTTGGTATTTTTTGGGTCCTTTTTGGTACTTCTTGGTACTTTTTGGTACTTTTTGGTACTTTGTGGGTACTTTTGGTACTTTTTGGTATTTTTTGGGTACTTTTTGGTACTTTTTGGGTACTTTTCGGTACTTTTTGGTACTTTTTGGTATTCTTTGGGTACTTTTTGGTACTTTTTAGTACTTTGTGGGTACTTTTGGTACTTTTTGGGTACTTTTTGGTACTTTTTGGTACTTTTTGGGTACTTTTTGGTATTCTTTGGGTACTTTTTGGTACTTTTTCGGTACTTTTTGGTACTTTTTGGTACTTTTTGGTATTCTTTGGTATTCTTTGGGTACTTTTTGGGTACTTTTTGGTACTTTTTGGTACTTTTTTTCCAGTGAAATTGATATTTCCTAGTGAATTTGAATTTAAAAGTGATTGGAAAACCAATAAGTTCTTCTCTTATTCTTTATTTTCTACAAAATTCGCAAAATCCTCATTTCAGGCACTGCCTATCGTGGGAAACGAGCGTTAGATGATGCGGAGATTTATTCACTGTACGGTGGGATCACTCTACCCGATGATAGGGGACGAGGGCTACCACAATTGATGGATTTGTTTAGGTGAGTGGTTAGAAGTTTAGAAGAGTACTTAGTACTCTTCTAAACGTACTTAGTACTCTTCTAAACGTACTTAGTACTCTTCTAAACGTACTTAGTACTCTTCTAAACTTCTAATCTAGTAGCACTAGAATTCATTTACAGAATCATCTTACCGTAAATACTATAATAGTACCCCCTCGTACAGTCGCGTAGTCGCAAAAGTCGTGTAGTGTTTTTTAGTATTTCATTTCTTTTCAAAGCGCCCGTACTTTCAAAGCGCTCCGCTTTGGCATCAAAAAATAGCCCTGAATCTCAGCTATTTTTTGATACCAAAGCGCGCATTGTAGCATAAACCAGTGTCGAGAAAAACTCGTTCAAAGCTAGACTACGCAACACTCCGCACCGTCATTATGGGAGTGGGATACTATTAAAGTATTTACGGTAGGTGAATTCTAAATTCCCCCCGGGAATTTATCTAAGGGAATTCTAAATTCCTCTAGGGAATTTTTCCCCTAACATTCGCCGAGCTGGCAGCTATGCTCAAGGGCGCATTTTTCCAGGGCTTGTCTCATAGGAGGAGACTATAAATAGCTATAAATAGCTATAAATAGCTATAAATAGCTATAAATAGCTCTTTCTAGTTCTACAAACGACAATAAATAGAAAGTCGAAATGATGTGGGGTTTTTCTTTGATTTCTATCAAATCGTTTTCTTTCAGTTTACCCTTCTTCGGTCTCGTTTTGACAACAGTTCAATACTTTGACGATCACAAGATTCACTTTGACCCAAACAGTCTCTACCAAGATATAGCGGTTCGTGTTTTTTTGGAAAAATAACACTAAAACTTAATCACTCTTTCTCAAAAATCATTCTTGATCATTTTGGAAAGATGTATTTGTCATTTTGAGCTTAACAAAAGTAAACATTAACTTTCTGAAATGCCTGGATGGGCTCAAAAACACTTTGACGTCTGATCTGATCGTCTGAAACACTTTGATGTCTGATCTAATCGTCTGAAACACTTTGATGTCTGATCTAATCGTCTGAAACACTTTGATGTCTCATCTAATCGTCTGAAACACTTTGATGTCTGATCTAATCGTCTGAAACACTTTGATGTCTCATCTAATCGTCTGAAACACTTTGATGTCTAAGCTGATCGTCTGAAACACTTTGATGTCTAAGCTGATCGTCTGAAACACTTTGATGTCTAAGCTGATCGTCTGAAACACTTTGATGTCTGATCTAATCGTCTGAAACACTTTGATGTCTGATCTAATCGTCTGAAACACTTTGATGTCTGATCTAATCGTCTGAAACACTTTGATGTCTAAGCTGATCGTCTGAAACACTTTGATGTCTAAGCTGATAGTCTGAAACACTTTGATGTCTAAGCTGATCGTCTGAAACACTTTGATGTCTAAGCTGATAGTCTGAAACACTTTGATGTCTAAGCTGATCGTCTGAAACACTTTGATGTCTAAGCTGATAGTCTGAAACACTTTGATGTCTAAGCTGATCGTCTGAAACACTTTGATGTCTAAGCTGATAGTCTGAAACACTTTGATGTCTAAGCTGATCGTCTGAAACACTTTGATGTCTAAGCTGATAGTCTGAAACACTTTGATGTCTAAGCTGATCGTCTGAAACACTTTGATGTCTAAGCTGATAGTCTGAAACACTTTGATGTCTAAGCTGATCGTCTGAAACACTTTGATGTCTAAGCTGATAGTCTGAAACACTTTGATGTCTAAGCTGATCGTCTGAAACACTTTGATGTCTAAGCTGATAGTCTGAAACACTTTGATGTCTGATCTAATCGTCTGAAACACTTTGATGTCTAAGCTGATCGTCTGAAACACTTTGATGTCTAAGCTGATAGTCTGAAACACTTTGATGTCTAAGCTGATCGTCTGAAACACTTTGATGTCTAAGCTGATAGTCTGAAACACTTTGATGTCTAAGCTGATCGTCTGAAACACTTTGATGTCTAAGCTGATAGTCTGAAACACTTTGATGTCTAAGCTGATCGTCTGAAACACTTTGATGTCTAAGCTGATAGTCTGAAACACTTTGATGTCTGATCTAATCGTCTGAAACACTTTGATGTCTAAGCTGATCGTCTGAAACACTTTGATGTCTAAGCTGATAGTCTGAAACACTTTGATGTCTAAGCTGATCGTCTGAAACACTTTGATGTCTAAGCTGATAGTCTGAAACACTTTGATGTCTGATCTAATCGTCTGAAACACTTTGATGTCTAAGCTGATCGTCTGAAACACTTTGATGTCTAAGCTGATAGTCTGAAACACTTTGATGTCTAAGCTGATCGTCTGAAACACTTTGATGTCTGACCTGATCATCCAAAACACTTTGATGTCTGACCTGATCATCCAAAACACTTTGATGTTTGCTCTGATCATCTGAAACACTTTGATGTCTGATCTAATCGTCTGAAACACTTTGATGTCTAAGCTGATCGTCTAAAACACTTTGATGTCTGATCTGATTGTCTGAAACACTTTGATGTCTGAACTGATCATCCAAAACACTTTGACGTTTGCTCTGATCATCTGAAACACTTTGATGTCTCATCTAATCCTCTGAAAAACTTTGATTTCTGATTTTCAACAGTTTTCTAACGTTTTCTAACGTTTTCTAGTCAAAAGTTCAAAAAAACGTTTAAAATTTGACAGAAATTGGAGTGCTAAAGGAATTCGAGTGCTTTTTATTCAAAAAAAATGTAAACAGCTATTTTCTGGGCAGGCAGAGTGACTCTAAAAAAAGGTCAGTGCATTAAGAATCCAGAATCCCTTTAGGAATGCGTCAAACAGGTGCACGTCACCGGCGAAATGTACAAGAGTGTGCTGAGCAATATGGAGAAGTTTAGAAAAAAGGGCTTTCTTTCAAAAAAATTCGATTTGCAGATACGTTCACAAGAATCCGGGCCTCTCCGAGTACCTGCAACGGTTGCACAAAAGCGGCAAACATCTATTTATGATCACCAATAGTCCATTCACCTTTATGTATGGTTTAAAGAGGGATTTAGCTTTAGTAAGGCTTTAGTAGGGCCTTTGGTAGGGCTTTAGTAAGCCTTAGCAAGACTTAGTAAGCCTTAGTAAGGCTTTAGTAAGCCTTAGCAAGCCTTAGTAAGCCTTAGCAAGACTTTAGTAAGGCTTAGTTAAGCCTTAGTAAGCCTTAGTAAGACTTTAGTAAGGCTTAGTTAAGCCTTAGTAAGCCTTAGCAAGACTTTAGTAAGAAATAAATTTGAAATACCGTATTCTCTCTAATAGTAGTGCACCCTAAGCTTCGCCTAAATTCCTTGAAATCTCGAGAACCGCTTTAAATCGATGTGGGGTCGGAAAATGTCGCTGACGATGAGATCTAGTGGGAGATTAGAGTGTTGAGCTTCTGCGAAAGATTGGAAACCGTAAAATAGGCATCAACTCGGCTCGCCGGGGTATTAGAGAAAAGCCGGTAAAATCAAGTCATCAATCAACCCAATCAATCAACCAAATCACTCATTCAGGAATGCCGGGATGACGTACATGTTGGGACCGGATTGGCGAGAGCTCTTCACTCATGTCGTCGTGCAGGCTCGGAAACCCGATTTCTTTCAGGTTTTTGGCAGGCTTTGGCTTTGACTAAAGATTTACAAATTCCACAGTTTCATCATAAAAACTACAGCATAATATCATATGCATAGCGTCAATGCATAAATCTGATAAACCTTTTTTGCGAAAACTCGATTTTTTTGAAACAAATCTATCGTTAACTATCGAAAAATGAAAACGTTGAAAATTCTAGAGCTAGAATTCTTTCTAGAACTTGCTAGAACTATTCTAGAACTAGAATTCTTCGAAAATTCGAAGTCAACTTTCAACTCTAGTTTTCAACTTTCAACTTTGAACTCTTTCCAGGGCAAAACCCCATTTCGTCTTTTCAACGAGACAACCGGCAATCTTCACTATGAAAAAGTTCAAGAGCTGGAGCCCGGAAAAGTCTATGCCGGGGTTTAATAGAAGCTTTTTCATTTAAAAAACAAATTTCAGGGAAACATTGGCGAATTCGCTTCAAAAGCGAGTCTAACCGGCAAAGGAGTTTTGTATTTCGGCGATCACATCTACACTGATTTGGCCGATCCAATGTTGAGGTTTGTTGGAGAGAGAGAGAGAGAAAGAGAGAGAGAGAAAAGAGAGAGAGAGAAAATGACCTGACAAAATTGCTATTAGGTACATGCATAAGAAAAAAAATCCGGATTTCAACATTTTCATATTTCAACATTCAAATTCAACATTCAAATTCAACATTCAAATTCAACAAATTCAATTTCAAATTTCCAACGATAGAAACCTGATATTGATGAATGTTATAAACGATTTGAAAGTTGTAAATCTCCTCTACAAAATAAAACGTGTTTCAATTGATCGAAGCATTGAAGAAATTACGAGAGCGAAAGAGAAGAAAGCGAAGAAGAAAGCGAAGAAGAAAAGGAATCAAGGACAACAGATAGCGATAGGAGGAGGTGGACGGAGTGCGGGCAATGATGAGATGGCGGTGAGCACGAGAGGAGGCGGAGCAGTCCATACAACGAGCACATTCAAAGAGCAAAGAGGCGTCAGAGGGGGGAGAAGAGGACCGGGAGAAGATGAAACTGATAGTAATACGAGGCGGCGAGTAAGGACGAGGCGGCGAGTAAGGACGAGGCGGCGAGTAAGGACGAGGCGGCGAGTAAGGACGAGGCGGCGAGTAAGGACGAGGCGGCGAGTAAGGACGAGGCGGCGAGTAAGGACGAGGCGGCGAGTAAGGACGAGGCGGCGAGTAAGGACGAGGCGGCGAGTAAGGACGAGGCGGCGAGTAAGGACGAGGCGGCGAGTAAGGACGAGGCGGCGAGTAAGGACGAGGCGCTCCCATCGACTACCTCCAAATGGCGGCGACGTCAATCGGAACGCGACGTCAATTGGACTGCGACGTCAATTGAAACTTATTCTCTTTGTTAATCTGAAAAAAAACAAATGATTTGAAAATAAAAAAGAAACGACGACGCGGCGCTCCCATCGACTACCTCCAAATGGCGGCGACGTCAATCGGAACGCGACGTCAATCGGAACGCGACGTCAATCGGAACGCGACGTCAATCGGAACGCGACGTCAATCGGAACGCGACGTCAATCGGAACGCGACGTCAATCGGAACGCGACGTCAATCGGAACGCGACGTCAATCGGAACGCGACGTCAATCGGAACGCGACGTCAATCGGAACGCGACGTCAATCGGAACGCGACGTCAATCGGAACGCGACGTCAATCGAAACTTATTCTCTTTGTTAATCTGAAAAAAAAACAAATGATTTGAAAATAAAAAAGAAACGACGACGCGGCGCTCCCATCGACTACCTCCAAATGGCGGCTACGTCAATTGGACTGCGACGTCAATCGGAACTTCTTCTCTTTGTTCTTTGTTCTCTTATTCAATTAAAATTGGCTATAAATAAGATAAATAAGAGTAAATTTTTACAAAGATTGGCTTCAAATTGGAAAAATTTGAGAAGTTTTGCTTAAATGAATGTTTTTTTCATTTTAGACTAGGCTGGCATACGGCAGCAATTGTGCCCGAGTTGGCCCGAGAGATCCGTGCACAAAATACCGATGAGTACAGGTGAGGCTTTGAACTGTATTTGGGTCAAAAGCTAGAATTGAAAAGGGTAAAACGAATACTTTTACAGAAAATTCTAAAACTTTTGCGTTAAATGCGCTGAAATTGAGGTATTCAGCCGAAAAAGAGTTCGTCATTCAGTCAAATTCGCTGAATGCCCTAATCTAGACTGAATACCGTAATCCAGCTCATCTTAACTGAAAATCCTAATCTAGACTGAATACCGTAATCCAGCCAACCCTAATCTAGACACCCATGTGCGTTTGTGCAGAAAGTTTTCATGTTTTCATGTTTTTATTTGCAGAAAGAGTGAGCGCGTTTATGCAGAATTTAAGCAGAATTTAAGCAGAATTTAGGCACTTTTTAAGCATTTTTGAAGCATTTTGATAAATTTTATTCAATTCAGACGCTCAATTCAATGGCTTGAAACGTTGACAAATCTCATCGCGAACTTTCAAGTGGACGGTCGGAGAAATGCCGAGTGCGGGCAGATCATCAATGAATGGGCCGAAGAGAGAAGGAAACTGCGGTCGGTTTTGAATTGAAAAAGAGTATTGTCCGATTCGATCACTGCACAGTTGTGTACATCCGATTTTCTGCACTATAGTGCCCGGGAAGGGACTAGTGCCCCCGGGAGGGACTAGTGCCCCCGGGAGGAACTAGTGCCCCTGGAGGGAACAGTGCCCCGGAAGGGACTATAGTGCCCCTGGAGGGACTATAGTGCCCCGGAAGGGACTATAGTGCCCCGGAAGGGACTATAGTGCCCCCTGGAGGGACTATAGTGCCCCGGGAGGGACTATAGTGCCCCCTGGAGGGACTATAGTGCCCCAGGAGGAACTAGTGCCCCCTGGAGGGGCTAGTGCCCCGGAAGGGACTATAGTGCCCCTGGAGGGACTATAGTGCCCCGGAAGGGACTATAGTGCCCCCTGGAGGGACTATAGTGCCCCCTGGAGGGACTATAGTGCCCCCTGGAGGGACTATAGTGCCCCCTGGAGGGACTATAGTGCCCCCTGGAGGGACTATAGTGCCCCCTGGAGGGACTATAGTGCCCCAGGAGGAACTAGTGCCCCCGGGAGGGACTAGTGCCCCCGGGAGGGACTAGTGCCCCCGGGAGGGACTAGTGCCCCGGGAGGGACTAGTGCCCCCGGGAGGGACTATAGTGAGGTTGGGAGCACTATAGTTTTTCTAAAACCACTTTTTCTGGGGTATTTTTTTGCGTAGAGCACGAATTTCATAGTGAGAGCTTGGGAAAATGCGTTTTAAACGGACTTTCGGTGACTTAGACTGACTTTTAGAGGCCTGACGTTCGTTCGGCTTGACGTTCATAGTGTATTTCACTTTAAGAAGAAGAAGGGCTCAAAAAGGAACTTAATAAGCCTTTTCCTATCCAAAAAGACCTTTTCTGGAGTTAATTTAGAGTTCCAAGTGCAATGCGAATTAAATTTGAGTAGAAAAGTTGAAAATTTCGAGAAATTTCGCCTTTCTAGAAATTTGTCCATCCAGAAACATCCATTTGGTCTCTCAGTTTGACTTTTTAAGATCTACGAGCTTTTTTAAGAGCTTTTTTCATGTTCTGGACACTCAATTAAGCCAAAAGAAAGTGTTCTCGAATGTTGGAAAAAAGAAAAATCCTCCGATGCCTTAGATGTGCTCTAGACAAAGACTTTAGACAAGCCCGGAGTGGAGTCCAGTGTAGTGGCGGCAACTTCCAGTCACCGAAAGTCGGCCTAAAACGCATTTTCTCAAGCGCTCACTATGAAATTCGTGATCTACGCAAAAAAGTATCCCAGAAAAAGTGGTTTTAGAAAAAGTATAGTTTAGAAAAACTTTTTAGAAAACGTTTTAAAAGTTTTGTAAACTGCGATCGCCTTGAGGCCCCGAATCTTTGCTAAACGAAACTCTTTTTCAAATCAAATTGATGTTTCGTACGTTCTGGATGTCACATAATATTTTGAGCTAGATTTTGAGCTAGATTTCGAGCATAATAGATGGGCTCTCTTTAGACAAGCCTGGAGTGGACTCCAATATAGTGGCGGCAACTTCCGGTCACCGAAAGTCGGCCTAAAACTCATTTTCCCAAGCGCTCACTATGAAATTCGTGATCTACGCAAAAAAGTATCCCAGAAAAAGTAATTTTGAGGGAAATCTAATGGCCTAATGAAGGGGGACTTCAATCCCAACAAGTCAAAGTTTGATTCAAAGTTTGATTCAAACTTTGAGTCAAAGCTTTTCTTTAACTTTTTCATTCTAGAGAAAACGTGAAAGCGATCTTCAATCCACGATTTGGTTCCATGTTCCGAACTTATCACAATATGACGTTTTTCTCGAGGAGATTGATGAGGTTTGGTTTGGAATTTACTAGAGAGAAACGGGGAAAGACAGATTTGGCCAAATGAGATAAGACAAAAATCATTTGACGCAGAATTTCTGATTCTGAATCTGACGCTGTTTCCGACGCTGATTCCGATGCTGATTCCGAATCTGTTTCCTACGCTGATTCCGATGCTAATTCCGAATCTGTTTCCGACGCTGATTCCGATGCTAATTCCGAATCTGTTTCCGACGCTGATTCCGATGCTAATTCCGAATCTGTTTTCTGTTTTGGTTTTCTTTAAAAAGATGCTTTTCTTTAAAAAGATATACGTGTTTTAAGTTTTGGAAATGAAAATTCGAAAATTTGAAGCCGGGATGCTTTCATAAAGCTAGGGATACTTTTATAAAGGTTTTCTCATGGATCTTAAACGTGACTTGATGAAAATAGTGGCTAAAACGCTTACACATGAAACTAGCTCTCAATTTTTAGCTAAACTTTTCTTTTGTATTGCTCAAATTGGCATTCTAAAACTCAAAACTAGTATAATTTTTTATAGAAAGCCATTTGGTAAAAAAAAAAAGGAAAGCAGATTCGGAAACAGTGTGAAATTCTGCGTCGAATGATCGATGGTTGATCTCTTTAGCTACATTCTACTGTTGCCTTTCACTTGTTAAACTTTTCTTTTAGACTCTCCGATTTCTACACTTCTCGATTGCCGAATTTGCTGAAATATGATGTGGATCACTCATTTTTCCCACGAAGAAATGTGAGTGAAGGGAGAGCTGAAAGGAGAGCTGAAGGGAGAGCTGAAAGGGGAGCTGAAAGGGGAGCTGAAGGGAGAGCTGAAAGGGGAGCTGAAAGGGGAGCTGAAGGGAGAGCTGAAAGGGGAGCTGAAAGGGAGCTGAAGGGAGAGCTGAAGGGGAGCTGAAAGGGAGCTGAAGGGAGAGCTGAAAGGGGAGCTGAAAGGGGAGCTGAAGGGAGAGCTGAAAGGGGAGCTGAAAGGGGAGCTGAAGGGAGAGCTGAAAGGGGAGCTGAAAGGGGAGCTGAAGGGAGAGCTGAAAGGGGAGCTGAAGGGGAGCTGAAGGGAGAGCTGAAAGGGGAGCTGAAAGGGAGCTGAAGGGAGAGCTGAAAGGGGAGCTGAAGGGAGCTGAAGGGAGGCTGAAAGGGAGCTGAAAGGGGAGCTGAAGGGAGAGCTGAAAGGGGAGCTGAAGGGGAGCTGAAGGGAGAGCTGAAAGGGAGCTGAAGGGGAGCTGAAAGGGGAGCTGAAAGGGGAGCTGAAGGAGAGCTGAAGGGGAGCTGAAAGGGGAGCTGAAGGGAGAGCTGAAAGGGAGCTGAAGGGGGCTGAAGGGGAGCTGAAAGGGGAGCTGAAAGGGGAGCTGGAAGGGAGAGCTGAAGGGGAGCTGAAAGGGGAGCTGAAGGAGAGCTGAAAGGGGAGCTGAAAGGGGAGCTGAAGGGAGAGCTGAAAGGGGAGCTGAAAGGGGAGCTGAAGGGAGAGCTGAAAGGGGAGCTGAAGGGAGAGCTGAAAGGGGAGCTGAAAGGGGAGCTGAAGGGAGAGCTGAAAGGGGGAGCTGAAGGGAGAGCTGAAAGGGGAGCTGAAAGGGGAGCTGAAGGGAGAGCTGAAAGGGGAGCTGAAAGGGGAGCTGAAGGGAGAGCTGAAAGGGGAGCTGAAGGGAGAGCTGAAAGGGGAGCTGAAAGGAGAGGTGGAAGGAGAGCTGGAAGGAGAGCTGAAGGAAGAGCTGAAAGGAGAGCTGAAGGAAGAGCTGAAAGGGGAGCTGAAGGAAGAGCTGAAAGGGGAGCTGAAAGGGGAGCTGAAAGGGAAGCTGGAAGGAGAGCTGAAGGGAGAGCTGAAAGGAGAGCTGAAAGGGGAGCTGAAAGGAAGAAACACTCGCTTTCTGGCATGCCAAGCACTTTCGGTTGTATGCCAGAAAGCGAGTGTTGGTTTGTTTCTTTGTTTCCTTGTTTGTGAGCGTAAAACATTACGTTTGTGAGCGCAGAACATTACGAAATCTCTAGAATTATCTCTAGAATGATCTCTAGAATTATCTCTAGAATTATCTCTAGAATGATCTCTAGAATTATCTCTAGAATTATCTCTAGAGTGATCTCTAGAATTACCTCTAGAATTACCTCTAGAATGATCTCTAGAATGATCTCTAGAATTTCCTCTAGAATTTCCTCTAGAATTACCTCTAGAATCTGTTTTCTCTCTCTAGAAACACAGAGAAAAAGAAAATTAGGTGGAAATCTTGAAAGTTTTGTGGGAAAGTTGTTTGAAAGTTGAAAATCTATGCTTTAAAACTTTTCCGAGCATTGAAATTCAGTTAAAATTGAAATCTCAGTTGAAATTGAAATTTCAGGCTCTCCCACACGAAAGCCTAAACGCCGTGCCAACCGTTTCCGAGAACATGATCGATGAGATCAATCGGAAACACTCAAGTCAAGTTGGATGAAGTGAAATTTCTTATTTCAAGAAATCTATTTCTTAAATATCTTCTTTCAAGAAATCTTGCCATAGAACTTGTTTTTTTGAGAATTTTTTGAGATTTTTTTTATAATTTTTGTAAATGCACTGCCATTTTTGGTATTTGTATTATTTAATCACCTTTAATCACTTTTTCCGCTTATTGCCAGCCGATTATCTGCTTCATTTTCGGCTAGCTGATTCTTAGCTAGCTAGCTGACTATCTGGCTATCTGGCTAGCTGGCTATCTGGCTAGCTGGCTATCTGGCTAGCTGGCTATCTGGCTAGCTGGCTATCTGGCTATCTGGCTAGCTGGCTATCTGGCTAGCTGGCTATCTGGCTAGCTGGCTATCTGGCTAGCTGGCTATCTGGCTAGCTGGCTATCTGGCTAGCTGGCTATCTGGCTATCTGGCTAGCTGGCTATCTGGCTAGCTGGCTATCTGGCTATCTGGCTAGCTAGCTAGCTAGCTGGCGAGCTGACTAGCTTGAATGAAAATGCATAATCGTCTGTGACATATAGTTTAGATTTAAAATTTTTCCTCTCAATTTTACATCCTACAATTTTTCCCGTATTCTCTTTGTAGGTAATGAATAAAATTATAAATAACTACCAAAAAAATCTATCAGAAAGCAAGAGCAAATGTTGCAAAATAAGATCATGAGATTACAATTCCTGTAAATGAAATAGTTCCCTGGAACTTCCTGAAAGTTTCCTGAAAGTTTCCTGAAAGTTTCCTGAAACTTCCTGAAGTTTCCTGAAACTTCCTGAAGTTTCCTGAAAGTTTCCTGAAACTTCCTGAAACCTTCAGGTAACCGGCTCGAATTCAACCGTAATATTTTTCTGTGTGTTTATCAATCCAATAGCAAAACGAAAAAGCCACGTTTTTCATAGTTCACGACAGTTTCACTTATTGTTCCATTTCTTAGCAAAACAGAGAAAAGAATGATTTTAACAGAACAGAACGATTTTATGTCTCTTTATTGCCAAAGTTCCTTTCATGCTTTCGGCTTCGGCTTTAGCTATATCGTGGGTGTACAAAAAGGATGAAACTGAACCCGTATGCTACGTTCGAGGAATTTATCTAAGGGAACTTATCTAGGGGAATTCATCTAAGGGAATTCAAAATTTCCCCGGAGAATTTTCCCCTGACATTCCCCGAGCTGGCAGTTAGGCTCGGGGAATTTATCTAGGGGAATTTATCTAGGGGAATTTATCTAGGGGAATTCTAACTTTCCCCGAGGAATTTTCCCCCTGACATTCCCTGGCAGCTACGCTCAAGGTAAGCAAAAAGTGAAATGGGGCTCATAACATAATACGATGTCGTTGTTGCGGAAAAATGCGTTTAAAGTTAAACTATGCGACGATCCGATCGTTATTATAGCGTGGGGGGCACATCGGCGCGAAAATGCGTTTTCTATAGGATTTTTCTGGGAGTACCTTTTTTAGATGCGCAAAATTGTGCTGATTCCGAATCTGAAGGAATTTTCCAAATCCCTCTGACAGAAATTTTTTAAATTGAGTTTTAGCAGTTTTTTGGTCGTTTTGTATGGGAAATTTTGTGGTACCCTGCAGTTTGGAGCTCGTAACTCGACAACGAGGGTCTAGAACCAAAAACGAAGGAGTAGGTCGTATTCTAGAGATTCTTACGAACATTTTGATGCAAAAATCATAAAATTTGCTCAACTCTACAAAAAGTTATAACATCTTTAAAGAAATTTTGCAAAATACACTAAAAACATCAGGGGAAACCGTGGCCGAGTGGTCTAAGGCGCGCGACGTCAATCCAGCGCAAAAGTACGGGGTTGTTGGTTCGACTCTCCCGCGCACTTCAGTCATTATTTTGCATATTCCTTAATTGTTTTGAGTGAATACGATACATAGCTACATTGTTCTTTTGAACAAAACAATTGTGCAATAGAGAATTTTTTAAATTTTCTCATTTCTTCTTTAAAAAATGTTATAACTTTTTGTAGAGTTGAGCAAATTTTATGATTTTTGCATCAAAATATTCGTAAGAATCTCTAGAATAAGACCTACTCCTTCGTTTTTGGTTCTAGACCCTCGTTGTCGAGTTACGAGCTCCAAACTGCAGGGTACCACAAAATTTCCCATACAAAATGACCAAAAAACTGCTAAAACTCAATTTAAAAAATTTCTGTCAGAGGGATTTGGAAAATTCCTTCAGATTCGGAATCAGCACAATTTTCCGCATCTAAAAAAGGTACTCCCAGAAAAATCCTATAGAAAACGCATTTTTGCCTTATTTCGCGCCGATGTGGGGGGGCACATCCGCGCGAAATAAGGCAAAAAAAATCGTTTTCTATAGGATTTTTACGTTTGAATAGCCATTTGACGCAGAAAAATGTGCTGAATTCAATGGTGGAAAAATTATCAAAATCCGTCTGGTAGATTTTTTTAAAATCGCATTTTATCAAAAAAATCGGTCATTTTACACAGAAACGGCCAAACTCACCTGCATTTGGCCCTCCACTACTCGATGATAACAAAAAATTAGGAAATGCCAGGGAGTTGACTTTGTCAAGATGTTGTCTGCGGCCATTTTGAGACCAAAATCGTATTAATTGGTCAACTCAGAAAAAAGTTATAACATTTTGAAGACAAAAATGACGTTTGACGACTTTCTGCGCGCTAAAACGTGGATAATACCGTAACCCTTCCCATGGCGAAAAAAAACTACTTAAAGAGCGCTTGCAAAAGATTTTTTTTTCAGTTCATTTTTCGGGAGTAGAACAAATGCGAGCTTTTTTTTGCGCACCCGGACATTTGCGCACCTTTTTTTTTGCTGGAAAAGGCCTTAGGAAAAGTCGTAGAGCTTCAAAAACGTTTTCATAGAAGGAAATCGTATGCGTAGATTCAGAATTTTGACAAATCAGACCTCGCTGACACGTCAAATTTGGGCTAAAAGGCAAAAACTACGCAACTTAACGCTTTTCCGCAGTTTTTGCCTTTTAGCCCAAATTTGACGTGTCAGCGAGGTCTGATTTGTCAAAATTCTGAATCTACGCATACGATTTCCTTCTATGAAAACGTTTTTGAAGCTCTACGACTTTTCCTAAGGCCTTTTCCAGCAAAAAAAAGGTGCGCAAATGTCCGGGTGCGCAAAAAAAGGTCGCATTTGTCCCACCCCCGTTGTTGATAATAATTCCTGTGTTTCGAAATTAATGAACAAGAATAGTCGTTGTTAAAAGTTTCGTTTAAAAGAATAAAGATATCTTTATCGAAAGCTATCTTTATTCGTTATTCTTTATCAAATTCGAGGCTTAATTGGAAGGAAATTAGTTTGAATGTATCAGTGAGCATTTTTATCAAAAGCTAACTATCCCAGTGTTTTCATTCGAATAACATTTTGGTTTCGAATGCTATTTTACTTGTTTTTCTTGCCGTTTCTCTTTTCTCTTGCGTTTCTTGCCGTTTTTCTCTTTGTTCAACTCTATTTAACACTCAAATTACAGGAACTGTGGTCGCTGCTGAGAAGAGCGCAATGGGCGGCGGGCCAACAAAAAATTGACCCGCCTAGAAGGTAAGAGGGGAATTTTTGATGGCTTTTTGAAAATTTATAAACATTCGTTTGAAATGATTAAGTTTAAAAGTTTTTACTTTAAAGACAAACGTTTAGAATTCTTAAATCTATTCAAAAACATTTTATAGCTTGATAGTTAGATTTGGTTTATTTTTGATTTAAAAGTAAACATTCGTTTGAAATGAGGTTTAAAAGTTTTTACTTTAAAGACAAATGTTTAGATTCCTTAAATCTATTCAAAACATTTTACAGCTTGATAGTTAGATTTGGTTCATTGTTGTTAACGGGGGTGGGACAAATGCGGCCTTTTTTTTTGCGCACCTGGACATTTGCGCATCTTTTTTTTTGCTGGAAAAGGCCTTAGGAAAGGTCGTAGAGCTTCAAAAATGTTTCCATACTAGGGAATCGTATGCGTAGATTCCGAATTTCGACAAATCAAAGCAAATGAGACCTCGCTGACACGTTAAATTTGAGCTAAAAGGCAAAAACTACGCAACTTAACGGTTTTCCGCAGTTTTTGCCTTTTAGTCCAAATTTGACGTGTCAGCGAGGTGTGATTTGTCCAAATTCGGAATCTACGCATACGATTCCCTTATATGGAAATATTTTCGAAGCTCTACGCCCTTGCCTAAGGCCTTTGCCAGCAAAAAAAAGGTGCGCAAATGTCCAGGTGCGCAAAAAAAGGTCGCATTTGTCCCACCCCCGTTGTTAACTTAACAATAAACATTTACTTAATGATGAATAATATTTTTATTTAGAAGGATGGAGCTGGTGGACGCGATCGAGATTCCGCGCGTCGGCAACGTCTTCCTTCGACAGGGACCGCGACGAGAACAACGGGGATCGCTGATTTTGATGGGTGAGTGAGAAATAAAGCTGTAAAATGGTCTAAAAGCCCTGGTTGGAGTTTTGTTAGGGTGAGACTGTAAAAGTTAGACACTTTTCAGTATAAAAGTTTAGACTTGTGTTGAGCCTAGAGATGCTTAACGGTAAATAACCATTTAGAACCTATCAAAAAATTATTGAAAGCTGATCAACCTTATAACATTAATCTATCATGCAAGAGTTTGTTTAAAAGTTTGAAAGCTTGAAGCTTGTAAACTTGAAACTTTTATTTACAAGTACATATACATTAGACTTGCTTAACGAGACAGATCAGAAAATCGGATTGCACAACTCCAGGCGCTTGCTCTAGCCTCCAGAGTATCGGATTCCAATGAACTTTTTTTTTATTTAAAAGCCAAGATTTTAATCTATCTAATCATACTCATCACTTATATTTTTCTTTTGAAAAAGTGGGTCGAAAACTTTATCGAGACTTGCCGAGACAATTCCTCGTTATCTCGTTAAGTCTCATGGCTTTTGACCCACTTTTTCCCAAGAAAAATATAAGTGATGAGTATCATTAGATAGCGTAAAATCTTGGCTTTTAAATATTAAAAAATTCGTTGGAATTCGATGCTCTGGAGGCTAGATCAAGCGCCTGGAGTTGCGCAACCCATTTGACTCGTTGATTCTCGTTAAGCAAGTCTAATATACGTTTTAAAAAAGGTACTTTAACGTTAGCTAGTAGAAGAATCAAGAGTCGAAATTTTCAAGGAAATATATGATGAAATAGTTGGTCACGACTTTTTGTTAAATTTCTATCAATTACCGTTAATTACCGTTAAGAAAAGACTTTTTTGGACAAAATGATCGAAATCTGTTTACCCGTTGAAGTTAGATTATTGATGTAGGGTCGGAAACGAAAGCTAGAATCAAGAGCTATTGAGGGAACCAGGCGAAAGTTCTTTGAAATGTTACAATTTTCGTTAATGTTGGAAACGCCGTCGCTAAGATCGATTTTACCGTTAAGCATCTCTATTTTAGCACCGATTTACCAGCTCCATTTCACCTTGAGAATCAATCAACAATGTAGGAAATTGGATTAAGATATAAAATAAACTTTCGATTCAAATTGAAAACCTTTTTTCATTCAGGCCATCACATGATCTTCGCTCCACAAGCCGATTCATCAAACGATCCAAACAACACGGCGAATAAGGAGGAGTTCTGTGTGAGTTTTAGATTAGAAGTGCTACTATTAATTTGTACAACTTTAGATTCTTCATCGAATGATCGATCGCGTTGTTAGCGAGCCCCGATCGCGTGATCCAAACTCGAAAGGAGGGATCTTGACGCTAAAGTGCAAGAATTTTATGATGTAAGTTTTATGCTCTAGTTTGAGAAAATAACTTTTGACTTTTTTTAGTTGCGTCTTCGAGGTACTCGAGCTGGACGAGTGTATGGCTGCGGCGAGAACAATCGAAACGTTGAGCAATTTGAGTGAGTTTAAGCAAGTTGAGCTAAATTTTAAGGAATTTGCATGAAATTGAGCGCTAAAAGAACCAGAAATAGTTTGCTATAGTCGTTGAGCCTTTTGGGGTTAAAGATATAATCAAACAACTGCATCTATTCAACTTTTTCATTTAGACGGTTTCTCTCTCGACTACCCATTCTTCTATCGATGCCCGTTTACGATTCTCGACGATGGATGGAGAGCATTTGATGTTGAAAGTGAATTCGCGAGGGTTTCCATGAATGCACCCGAAATGTTTCGTGTCTCGGAGGTGAATAAGGATTTCAAGGTGAGTGAGGTCGATTAAGAAATAAAATCAGGCTAAATTTTAAATGTTTCAAACAAACATTCAAGGATTATACAGAGTTGAGCAAAATTACCCGGAAAACTTTTTGGAAAAGTAGTTATCACACGCTTAATTGATTTCAAAGTGTCAAGCGTTATGTAGAGAATTGTAGCCCTTAATCTTGGCTACATTTATCTACTAAAAACTTGCCAATCGGATGTATATAGCTCATTTGACAAGCGCTTGAATGAGCACTAGTCGACCAATATCCATCACGCTGCCTTTTTTGACGATTTTCCACATAAAATTTTTATCTAAGAAGGGCTTTATCTAGTAAACTTTGTGTGCATTTTGTTCAAAAGATTATTTCTAACAATAACAGCTAATATAACGAGATACTCATGTGCAAAATATCAAAAAATGATCAAATTTCACCTTTTTCCCTGCGTCTTCAAAGAAGCTAGCTTGATTTTGGTTATATCTGGCTAGCCTAGACAGTTGAAAGTTATCTTCAATATTATTAATGATGTTAAATGATATTTTTGCATAAAATAAGTATTGACAAATCTTTCGGGCAATTTTTTATGTAGAAAATGATCAAAAAAAGGCAGTGCGATGGATATTGGTCGACTAGTGCTCATTCAAGCGCTTGTCAAATGAGCTATATACTTCCGATTGGCATGTTTTTAGTAGATAAATGTAGCCAAGATTAAGGGCTACAATTCTCTATACAACACTTGAGATTTTGAAATCAATTAAGCGTGTGATAACTACCTTTCCAAAAAGTTGTCCGGATAATTTTGCTCAACCTAAATTAACTAAAATCAAATCACAGGGATTCACATCAACTGATTCGTTAATTCTGTTAATTAAATATTAGTAATTGATTCAAATAGTGTCATTTCCATGTTGTAAATTTCAACAAATTACTCATTCAGGTTTGTGCATCTTATCCGGAGAAGGTGATCGTTCCGCGAGGGATTGGCGACGACTATCTGAGGATTTCGGCCACATTTCGTGATGGAGGACGTTTCCCGGTGTTGGCCTACTTTCACAGACATACAAAGGTTTGTTTTGGTCATGAAAAAGCTGAATCTTTAGTTTGCAAAAAGCCCGGTATTTGTTTTAACGAATTTGATTTAGTCACCGATCTTCCGATGCAGCCAGCCGCTAATCGGACCAACAAACAGACGGTGTAAGGTAAGCTTAATATTATTAATGTTATTAAGCTTACCAACACAAGCTTATAATGTTTTGAGTTGGATTCTGCTTATTCAATTATTAGCTGCTTATTAGCTTATTCAATTACCAATTTTAGGAAGATGAGACGATTCTGAATGCTCTTCTTTCAATTGCACGAGGGATTATCATCGACACGAGAAGTAAAGTGAATGCACAATCGGCTAAAGCTAAAGGCGAGTCTAGAAAAATCATAGTTTAAAGGGTATAAGATCTTTGAGTTGAATAAGCTAATATTTGAGCTGATCTTTAAGCTCTTTAAGCTGAATCTTTGGATCCGGTTTAATCATTTTTTTACAGGAGGTGGCGCCGAGACGCAACAATGCTATTCGCAATGGCGTTATGTCACTTGTGGAACACCGAGGATCAAGGATTTGCACGATTCGCTGGCGAAAATGGTTGATGGTGGGTGGTATGAAGATTTTCTACAACAAACTTAAAACTTAAAGACTGCACGCAGATCCCTGGCACATTAAATACACGTCATTTTAGTCTCGATCGACAAGTCAGTTTCATCGGATCGTTGGCTTTCCCGTCTCGCCTCATCATCATGGCTTTCTTCAATCGCCGATTATCTAAACGCGGCCGCGAATGTGGCTCAATGCGTTGCATGTGAAGGTACCCAAGGTGCGTTGTGGAGAAACAAGTGATTCGAGGCTTTTTTTATGATTTAAAATTTATTTGATTTCTTTTCACACGCCTGCTTTAGCATTTTGATTTTATTTGGAGAAGACACCCTGGCTGAAAATTGTTATGCCTGCGTTGATTGAGTTGATAGTACTTTTTTAGTTTTTATCTCACCAAACCTTTGAATTCTGTAGGGAAATTCGCATACAGCTTTCTTTAGCTTTTGCAAAAATGTTTGATGTTTGGTAAGAGACACATGAAAAAGTACTATGTTTATATTGTTAACAATTTTGGCCGCTTGATTAGATTTATTTTTATCTTTTAGAAGTCCCAGTCGTTGTTCATGGTGGTGAGGGTGTTGATTCGACGATTCTCGTCACTTCATTGGCGCAAATGATTCTTGATCCAGACGCGAGAACGATTCGAGGGTGAGTTTCATGATATAAATGAAACTCATGATATTGAGAAGTTAGTACATTGAATATTCTGAAATCAAAACTATGTTTGATAGCGTTATGTTAAATCATCCTTACTCTGATAGAAATATTCACTTTTATATGAAAGTTTATGGATATTCAGCCAATATTATACTTTCAAAGTGTCTCCCTAAACTCTAGTTGAATATCTGTTAATTTTGTGGGAAAATTCAGACAAAGCTGTGAAAGCTACGAAGGCCCGCCCCTTTTTCTGTGTAGATTTTTTGTGGCTGCCCCTTTTGTTTGAGATTCCCCGCGAAACTAGAAGATATTCAGCTGAGTGGGCAAGGGGGACACTGAAAGTATAGCTAATATAATGTAATAACATTAAACCTTTAAGATATTGGGGGTGGCTACTTTGCGCCAATTTTTTTGCGCAACTCGTCATAACTTTTTTTTAAGTGGGCAAATTTTTATGATTTTGGTGTCATTTTGTTACACTTGTTGAGATCTAAAAAATGACACCAAAATCATAAAAATTGGCCGACTTAGAAGAGAGTTATGGCGAGTTGCGCAAAAAATTTGGCGCAAAGTAGTCACCCCCAAAATATTAAGCTATGATATTTGAAAAACCTTTCCTTTTTTAGATTCCAATCACTGATCGAACGGGAATGGATATGTGGAGGTCATCCGTTTAGTTTACGCAATGCACATTCGGCGTTTGCTGAGGGCACGATCACTGGACCCTACGAGGCGCCTGTCTTCTTGGCTTTTCTCGATTGTGTTTGGCAGGTGAGGGGTTGGAATAAAATTTTGAATAAAACTTCAGTCTATTCCGTTGTTTAACTGGGAAAAGTTAGTTAGAACTTATGATGAATAAGAGGTTTACTACTGAAAGCTTACCACATTGACAATATTTTCTTTTAGTTAACGCAACAATTCCAACATTCGTTCGAATTCACCGAGGGCTTTCTTCTGGATCTCTTCGAACACTCATACGCATCGGAATTTGGCTCATTTTTGGGCAACAATGAAATGGTAAGCGTTTAAGATAAAAGCAACAATATTTTATGTTTAGGAGAAACAAAAACATCAAGTACGACAACACACGGTCTCGTTGTGGTCCTATGTGAATAATCCGGAGATTCTCAAATCGTACGTGAACGTCCTTTACGAGCCGAATGAAAGTGTCACATGGCCGAGCGTGGCACCGCAAAGCATTGTAAGTTTTTTTTTGGTTTGCTTTTAAAATATTTGGAGCAAAAAAAGAAATTTTAATTCAATGACACTTTATGAATCCTGTCTCAAACATGCTAAGTAGTCATTTTTATGCAAAATTAAAGAACCTATTATGAATTTAGTGTTTTATTTGCGGTCTAGTTTCGAAGATTTTCTTCTTTAGCAAGTATGGGAACGTCTCTTTCTACGATGGCAACGCGATTGGACTGAGGTGAATGCGATTCGTGAAGCGGCTGTACAATGGAGATTGAAGGAGAGACAATTGGCGAGCAAGGCCTTATCGTTGAGGAGGTAAGCGAGGCTGTTCTTTTGAGCTGGAGAGCTGACACGTTATGAATCCCGTCTCAAACATCTTAAGTAGGCATTTTTTTAATGCAAAATCTCTCGTAAAGGGGTTGCCACAAAGTTTAAATTACAGCTTAAATTTCAATCACTTTTTGAGTCGAATATAGTAATTAGATTTAGCAAGCAAGCAAGCAATTGTTTAACAAGAAATTTTAGCAAGCAGCAATTGTTTAACAAGAAATTTTAGCAGGCAGCAAAACTACTCCAAATTTCCTTCATTTTAGGCAACTCGTCGAATTGATGAAAGAGGCACATTTGGCAAAAACGCTCAACGATGTCCGCGTGGCTGATTGATGAAAGAAATTTTGCAACTTCTACGAGCTTAATACGAAATAATTTATAATGTAACGGAAATTTCCACGTTTTGATTCATTTTGTCTAGTTTCACGTTTTTCCTCCCAGATCTCCACCAAAAATTCATTGTGATTTTTTCTTTTTTTTCCCTAGTCTGCCATTTCCTGAGTGTTAATAAGTGTTTATAAGAAATTTACCGTTAGTTTTGAGTATTCCGCGATTGCACAAAGATTTCCCACACATTTTCCTGTCAAAAATCGACGTCTTTTCTCTTAATGGTGCTTTTTTGCTGCAAATTCCCTCCATTTCCCCGAAAATTCTCTTAGATTTGTGATATGTTGCTGGATTTGTGAAATTAAAACTGTCTTGATCCTAGAAAACGTTTTCTTGCATTCAGATCTTACGACAAAATGATCTTTTGGTGTTAAATGTTGAAAAGCTTTGCTTTTAAGGTCACAGAAAAACGAAAGTAAACTTAAAATAGCTGTTAGAAGTGACATTGAGTAGGATAATTGTCTTAAATTTAAACCTCATTCTGACAGTGTCGGACTTTTGTCGCAAAATTTCATTGTCATTTCAAAATTTGATAGTTTGATCGATTGGACTTGGGGCGTTTTATTGTTTATAAGTTTTTATCGTTATTTTCATTTATTTATTCATTTATTTTTAAACTTTTAGTGCTAAATTTAGCTAACTTTCTTACATTTTAAGTGCTTTTGTCGGTTAGAAAGTTTGATTAAGCGTTTCTTTTGTCCAATTTTTTTCATCTATATCTGAGTTCGAACCATAAAGGTTAACTTTTGGTTAAACCTTTAGTTAAATTTAGCCGTTAATCGATATTGTAACGTTTTGATGGAAATTTTGCGAAATTTTTAACCCTGTTAGTTTTTGGAAAATTTGTTTTGTGTCCACATTGTTCTAGGTGATTAAAAAGTGCAGTTTTTCATGATGCAGTAGATGTTTCGAATTGAGCGATTGAATTTGAGCAGCTACTTCAAGCCCAAAGCAAGATTGAAGCAAGATTGAAGCAACTTGGCATCGTCGGTACTCGTCTTGTTTGGATCCTTTAAGAAAAACCCCAACAATGAACGGTCCTGTCTGATTGTTGTTTTAGGTGATCGATCACTTTTTGAATGTTGTTGCACATTTCCCTCTAGTTTTTGTCGTTTACAAAGCCTGGTTCCTTTTTGTCTCCAATTCGATTCCTTTTCTCTCTACAGATTTGGTTCCTTTTCTCTACAAATTCCGTTCCTACTTTATCAACGATAAAGTAGAGCGATCAACGATAAAGAGATCACAAATGGTCGTCACTTTCATCCCTCCTTGACGAGCTTTGACAATTTTTTCCTTAGTCGGAGTGTCCAGATATCGGAATATGGAAAAAAAAAGCTCGTAGGGAATCTAAAAAATAAATTAATGCACAAAAAATAAAAACAGACAAACAAAAGTCAGAAAACAAAAAGAAAAAGTTTACAAAAGAATACAACGATGGTGCAAGACTTTCTTTTTTGCGCTCTAAACCGAGTTTCTCTAATAAAACTCATTTTTTATGTCAAAAGAAATAAATTGCAATAAAAATGAATAATATAGTCGGAAACTAGACCACCATGGTAGAATTAGTTGCCAAAAAGGTTTCTCTGTTTTTTTTTGTTTTAAACCTTTGGGAGACAATGGTGCAAGACTTTTTTTGCTGACTATAAGTGCCAATTTTTAAATTAATTGCCCAGTCTAGCTAGTAAAATAAACATTTTGAGCAAAATTCTTTCGTTTCTTTTCTAAGTCACCACGCTTTTTTCAAAGATTAACTCTTTTTTTTTACAGGTTGAATGATGTCAAGCGAAATGCTGTTCAAGATGGGGAGAATGAAGAAGTTTCCAATTGAAAGGCTCCCGTAAGAATTGAAATTGGAAGTTCTGAAGGAAATGGAGCACTACGATTCGAGCAGGTTACTGCAAGTGAAGCAAGTATTTCGAGCGATGATTCTCAGCCGATCAGCGATGATTTTTGGATATCGCGTGGAGAGAATCGAACTCGGATTTCAATACACGTTTCAATACCCGTTTCAATACACGTTTCAATACACGAATCTCGGAATTCTCACCAACAACGATGAGGTTCGGATCTGCAAATTTCCTGGATCAAGTTGTCACTGTCACACACAACCAAGATCAAGCTGTCGAGTCTGGAGATCAGTCGACGATTTCCGCTCATCAAGAATATCAAGTTCATGCAACACGTTGTGATTCGAAATTGAATACGAGTGACTCGACGAACATTACATCACAATCATGAAACATGAAACCATGCCCATAGCCCTGGCTTGAGCTTGGCTTGAGCTTTTGGCCTGGAGGACCAAGAGGATTGACGATGAGTCTGACCAGGAGGATTGACTCTGCCAGTTTTTAGTCTCATTCGTCGTGGAGACAAATTTCCAGTCCAGGTCTGATCCAAGTCGAAGCCAGGTCTGATCAGGGTACGCTTATCGCTAGTTTCTATCGCATATCCATTTCTCTACTTGTTTCCAGATTTTCTCACTTTCATCGCAAAAGTTCTCTGCTTTCCCCCGCCGTCCAATTATGAGTTCTGAATAATGGATGAACTTTGAGCAAAAAAAGGGAAAAAATTTCTTTACCCAATAAGGAAGTGTGTGTGTGTGTGTGTGTGTGTGTTTCAAGAAGAAAACTTTTTCACACGCGTTTTTTTTACAGCTTAAAAGCGTAGTTGAGTAGAGTAGCTCTTGAGTGAAGTGATCGGTTCAAAAATATGTTTTCTCGATTCTCGTCTTTAAAAGCTTGGCGATTCGTCTGTGAAACTGAGACTGAGACGAGATTTCTTGCTATACACTCCCGTCTCGCTCAGAATCACTCGCAAATTTGAGAGAGATCCTGAGCTCAAATTTTCCTCAATCCCAGCGGACTTAATTTGTTATTAGATAAAAAATAATTAAATAAAATTTTCCTTAATTCCCCTTTCCCGCGAAAATTTCCCTGTTTTAAGTACTTGATTTTGGGGTTTTAATGCGACCAAATACCTATCAATTAACCCATTAAAAACTTGTCTAAAAGCTGGCCAATTCAGCTAAAGAAATCTCTGATTTTTTACCTGAAGCTCACTTTGATTTTTGATCAAAAACTTTTTGAAAGTTTATCGAAAAAATTTCGGAAGAATTTATGGCTTGGTTTTTGAGAAATCATCGTGCAAACTTTTTCTATGAACTTTCTTGCCAACCTACCGTAAATACTTTAATAGTACCCCACGATCATAATGACGGTGCGGAGCGTTGCGTAGTCTAGCTTTGAACGAGTTTTTCTCGACACTGGTTTATGCTACAATGCGCGTTTAGGTATCAAAAAATAGCTGAAATTCAGGGCTATTTTTTGATACCAAAGACGCATTTTTTGAAAGTACGGGTGCTTTGCAAAAAAATTAAATACTAAAAAACTTTTGCGACTACCCGACTGTACGAGGGAGGTGGGGTACTATTATAGTATTTACGGTAGCTTTGTTTGGGCTTCACCTAGCTTGGCCTGACTTTGAAAAATGTTGACTTTCCTGCTTTCCTGGGCTTGAGATAAGAGTTTTTAGGAATATTTCACGAAATAAAGCCTACTCTTCATGATGCCTACTCTTCAATAAAGCCTACTCTTCAATAAAACCTATTTTGAAATCATCTGGCCTCTAATTTACATTTCTTTTTGAGTTTCAAGCTTTGTTCCATAAAGAGCTGACCATATCATTTAGAGACGGGAAATTCGAGAGCTTTTCCTCAGCTTTGTTTCTTTTTTTTTGGTTTGAGATCAAATTTCTAGAATTTCTAGAATGGCTAAATTTCTATTTGACGTTGATTCTCGAAAAGGAGATGATCAAGTGTTCGGTTTGACTTTAAAAATCAGTTACCTACTGGTTTTCTAAATCACGTCCCCTTTTTGCCAACGTAAGCTGTGTTTCTACCGTAATCTTGGCTCTATTTTTTATTCAATTTATTCATTTTTTGGTTTAATTCTGTAAGGGTTCACAAAAGATATCGAAAAATAGAAAAAGTAAATGGATTAGATGAAAATAGAGACAAGATTACGGTAGAAAGGGGAAAAGGGACAGCAAACGGGGTTAGAAGAGAGCTTTTTCATTAAGCTCTCTTCTATTTTTTCCAGTTTTTTCCATTTTACTCTTTGTTCTTTTATTTTTGATTGAAGTTGTAATTTAGATTCAGATTTAGATTATTCTCCGCAAGATGAATCTTCGCTCATTTCTTCTCGTCATTTTCTCGATTCTCTTCGGCATTGCTCAGGGTTTTCGCGGTGGAAATGGACGCCCATTATTCAGTGAGTTGAAAGGGAAAAGATAGACTGAAAATAGTGAAATAGTGATGAGATTGGGACTATTCTTAAAGAAGAAGAATGAAGAAGAAGAAGAATTTCTTTACGCTATTTTGAGGTTATCTTTTTGAGGCTTTAAAAAATGAGCTTTGAGCTTTAAAAAATTAGTTTTGAGCTTTAAAAATAACCCTAATCTTACTGGCTTTTATGAATTTAACACATTCGCGACGAGGCGTTTTTTTTTGCGTTACTTCCCCAGTCGACGAGGGGTTAGCTAGCCCCAAAGCTAGCCCCAAAGCTAGCCCCAAAGCTAGCCCCAAAGCTAGCCCCAAAGCTAGCCCCAAAGCTAGCCCCAAAGCTAGCCCCAAAGCTAGCCCCAAAGCTAGCCCCCAAAGCTAGCCCCAAAGCTAGCCCCAAAGCTAGCCCCAAAGCTAGCCCCAAAGCTAGCCCCAAAGCTAGCCCCAAAGCTAGCCCCAAAGCTAGCCCCAAAGCTAGCCCCAAAGCTAGCCCCAAAGCTAGCCCCAAAGCTAGCCCCAAAGCTAGCCCCAAAGCTAGCTAGCTTTAGCCCCGAAATACACCTCCTATATATAAAATTTCATACTGAATCCGAATCTCTAATCAGATTTCTAACGAGTAAAACTCTAACGAGTAAAACAAGCTTTAAACGAGTAAAACAAGCTTTAAGCTTTAAAACAAGCTTTAAACGAGTAAAGCGAGCAATTCATAGCGTAAAGCGAGCTTTAAACGAGTAAACCCCGCGCCCCCAACCCGGGGGGAGGGGGCCAAAGCGACAAGCTCTAAACGAGTAAAGCGACAAGCAAGTCTAGACGCGTAAAGCGAAAAACGACAAGCTTTAAACGAGTAAAGCGAGCTCTAAACGCGTAAAGCGACAAAGCGACAAGCTCTAAACGCGTAAAGCGACAAAGCGACAAGCTCTAAACGCGTAAAGCGACAAAGCGACAAGCTCTAAATGCGTAAAGCGACAAAGCGACAAGCTCTAAACGCGTAAAGCTCTGAATTAAGAGTTTTGCCGCTCGGAAATCGTCGAAAATTCCCTCAAAATTCCCTCAAATTCTAGAAACGATTCGTCGAACGCGTTTGAATAGAAAACAAGAAGGTATTTGGCATGAAAAGAAATGGGAAAATGGAAAAATGGGATAGAAATGGGATAGAAATGTTTCATTGAAAAGGCCTACCCAAAAACCATCATTTTCAGGTGTCTCAAGCATGGATTTAGCCGATTTCTCTCAATACGCCAATTCGGATTCGCCTTCTTTCAATTACGGTCGACCATTGCAGACGAGATTCGGCAGAAGTGGCCGATTGTTGTGAAGGGAAATGAAGAGAAAAAAAAGGGAAATGACAGAGAAAATTTGGAAATTTTTTCGAATAAATATATTCTGTTTTTTTAAAAAAAATCTCTGCACAATGTTTTCATCGTTTTCGAAAAGGAAGATGATTTCGAAAAGAAAGCTACCGTAATCTTCCTTTTAGATTTGTCTGATTCACTTGATTTTGAGCTCATTCGACTCACAATTTGATTCGGCATCGAATGACATGAAAAATTATGTAAACTAGACAATATTTCAAAAGATTGCGAGAGTTTTTAAAAGTTTACACGTTTTAAGAAACGTTTTGAAACGCTCTACTCACTGGAACTCTAATCAAGCTATGGAGAGGATTACTGTATATTTCTACCGTATTCCCTGAAAGCTATGTTTGGATTTGGAGATTATGTAGTTATGCTTTTTCGAAAGTATAAGGATTTAAGCTTTTAGCTACATTTACAAGTAATAACTAGAAATAACCCTTCCTAACAATAATAATGACAACAATAAAATAACAGTCCGTTCTAGGGTCATGTTTCTGTTATGTCCGCCTGTCTGTCTGTCCGTCTGTCCGTCTGTCCGTTCGCTCGTCTGTCTGTCCGTCCGTCCGTCTGTCCATCCGTCCGGCTTTCCATCCGCCCGTCCGTCTGTCTATCCGTCCATCCGTCCCTCCGTCTGTCCATCCGTCCGTCTGTCTGTCCGTCTGTCCGTCTGTCCATCCGTCCGCCTGTCTGTCTGTCCGTCTGTCTGTCCATTTGTCTGTCTATCCGTTCATCCGTCCGTCCGTCCGTCCGTCTGTCTGTCCATCTGTCTGTCTGTCTGCCCGTCTGCCCGTCTGTCTGTCCGTCTGTCTGTCCGTCTGTCTGTCCGTATGTCTGTCCGTCTGTCTGTCCGTCTGTCTGTCCGTCTGTCTGTCCGTCTGTCCGTCTGTCTGTCTGTCTGCCCGTCTGTCTGCCCGTCTGTCTGCCCGTCTGTCTGTCCGTCTGTCTGCCCGTCTGTCTGTCTGTCCGTCTGTCTGTCCGTCTGTCCGTCTGTCTGTCCGTCTGTCTGTCTGTCTGCCCGTCTGCCCGTCTGTCTGTCCGTCTGTCTGTCCGTCTGTCTGTCCGTATGTCTGTCCGTCTGTCTGTCCGTATGTCTGCCCGTCTGCCCGTCTGTCTGTCTGTCCGTCTGTCTGTCCGTCTGTCTGTCCGTCTGCCTGTCTGTCCGTCTGTCTGTCCATTTGTCTGTCTATCCGTTCATCCGTCCGTCCGTCCGTCCGTCTGTCTGTCTGTCTGTCCGTCTGTCATTTACAAGGAATAACCAGAAATAACCCGTCCTAGCAGAACAATGGCAACAATAAAATAATGGTCCGCTCTAGGGTCATGCTTCTGTTATGTCCGCCTGTCTGCCCGTCTGTCTGTCTGTCTGTCTGTCCGTCTGTCCATCCTCTATTCGCAACAGTCTAGGTGAATTTCCAAAGCGCCGTCTCTCCAAAGCGCCGTCTCTCCAAAGCGCCGTCTCTCCAAAGCGCCGTCTCTCCAAAGCGCCGTCTCTCCAAAGCGCCGTCTCTCCAAAGCGCCGTCTACTATCTGATTATTTTTTCCGTTTAATCTTTTGCTTTTTTTTGCTATTTTACCAGAATAAGCTAAAATCTTTATTCAAATAAAAAGCAAACTACATTGAAGCGAAAAAAAAAGTCCAAAACTACGTGTTATCTATTAGAAAAATGTTAAAAACTAAAAAAAACTACGAAAATTACATACAGATACGCTTAAAATAGGGAATTTTTATGGATTTTTGAATATTTTTCAAAAAAATAAATATAGATTTGTGTAAAAGAAAGGATTTAAATTTTGAAATTTAAAAAAATTTAAAAAAAAAAAGATTTTTTGGTCGCAGCCGGAATCGAACCAGGGTTCAATCTCACCGAAGCAGCGAAAAGAATTCACGCAAGAGAATGGCTTAGGAAAAAGAGTGCTTTAGATTTCGACTACAAATTACGACTACAAATTATCCGAGCAAGTTGACCATCGGTGGGAGGTGATCGTGTTGGACGTTCTTGCGGTTGATCGAGAAATTGCGAGCGTGATGCTGAAAAAAGGGGAAATCTTTGGAAAAAAGAGCCTAAGTGGCCAGTCCGCCTAAAAGGCCAGGCCTTTACAAAGGCTAATCCGTCAAATCCGACACAAATCACACCTGAACCATGGCCAAGCTTTAGCGGCTAAGCCGGCTCATTGCTTGATTAAAGTCAAACTTTGACAAACATCGAATCAGAGCAATTAGCTCTGGACGAAAAATTGTCCAAGCAAAATTTACATGTTAAAAACAAAAAATTGTTTAGCTTTTTGAATTTTGACTAATCCTGGATAGCACATAGACTTTTGAAAAGGTTATCTAATGTTTTTTTAGCTTTTAAAATTTTAGGACCAGGGCCAGGATCAAGTCCGACCAAAATTTGCATGTTAAAACCAAGAATTCTCTAGTTTTTTTAAAACTTTCGATAATCCTGGATAGCACATAGTCTTTTGAAAAGGTTATCTAATGTTTTTTTAGCTTTTAAAATTTCAGGACCAGGGCCAGGCCCAGGTCCGACCAAAATTTGCATGTTAAAACCAAGAATTCTCTAGTTTTTTTTCAATTTTTACTAATCCTGGATAGCACATAGGCTTTTGAAAAGGTTATCTAATGTTTTTTTAGCTTTTAAAATTTTAGGACCAGGGCCAGGCCCAGATCCGACCAAAATTGGCATGTTAAAATCAAGAATTCTCTAGTTTTTTTAAAACTATCGATAATCCTGGATAGCACACAGTCTTTTGAAAAGGTTATCTAATGTTTTTTTAGCTTTTAAAATTTCAGGACCAGGGCCAGGCCCAGGTCCGACCAAAATTTGCATGTTAAAACCAAAAATTCTCTAGTTTTTTTCAATTTTTACTAATCCTGGATAGCACATAGGCTTTTGAAAAGGTTATCTAATGTTTTTTTAGCTTTTAAAATTTTAGGACCAGGACTAGCGCCAAGTCCATACACTTGCAATTTGTATGACATAGAGGCGTTTAGACTAGACCATCTGGTCAGCCCAAAACCTAAATCAATCAATTGGGATTGATTAGATTGATCAGATTTTTCAATCAATTGGCGCCACAAGCTAAGCTCGGGCCTAGTATGAGCCAAGTTTGAGCCTCTTGACAGATCTTTAGCTCCAATAAATCCTTTCCAAAACCCACCGCTTCAGTTGACTCGAAAAGGGCTCGGCGTTCAGCAACAGGCACAAGCTCGGTCAACAAATGCGTCTCGGCACGGATCTATAAAATTGTTGTTTGAGAATTTGTTGATAATAAATAGGATAATGATTTATTTTACCTTGACTTCCGTTGGATGGAATTCCTCAAAAGCTGGGTTTATTTGCGTCTCGTGGTGGTGATTTTCCACCTCATCGTAGTGGGGTTCGTCGTACTGAAAGCGTTTGATTTGCGTCGAGTTTTACCAAGCAGAAAGGTAATGGTCAAAGTCAAGGGTCAAAGTCAAGGGTTCCAAATTCTTCATCATTCATTTCTTTACTTTATAAATTAAAGATCCAATCAATCTAATCAATGCAAATTTTTCCGTGTTATCCAACTAAGCAAAAGCCAATGTTTCATTCAAATCTGTCTACTCAAAAAAAAGTTATCCGCGTGAACACGTTTCTAGGCTATTTCTTTCAGGTTCACATCTATTCTTTATCTCGTCGAGCAAGGAATCGAAACATTTCACTGTAAACTTGCGATAGAAATTGAAAAATATAAAATTAAAGCCTGAAATTGATTAAAATCGCTTGCAATTGATGTTCTTGTCTTGTCCTTGTTTTCTTTTTATCGTGATTCTAGTTATGTTTGAGTTAAAATTGAAAGTAAAATGGTTTTTTAGATTGTTAGTGCTTTAAATCAAGTTGAAATGTTGCGATTTTTGAAAGAAATGGCCCAGAAATCTGTTCACCTAATTAACTTTTTTCTGAGTGAACAGATTTGAATGAAACTTTGGATTTCGCTTAGTTGGATAGCACAGAAAAATTGGGATTGATTAGATTGAGGCGATTTTAATTTTTAGAAAATCGATTTTAGGGGATTGAACTTGTGGATTGAACCGTCGAGCTTTTGCTTTCCGGGAGATTTCTCTAATCACTGAGCTATCCGGTGCTTGCTAGAAGAAAGAGGGAAAGACAAGGGGAAGAAGAAAGGAAGGAAGCAAGGAAGCAAGGAAGCAAGAAAGAAACGCAAAAAAGGCAGCGATCACTCAGTGGTCAACGATGGTCAACAATTCCAGAAGCTCAACGATTGCAGAAGCTCAACGATTGCAGAAGCTCAACGATTGCAGAAGCTCAACGATTCCAGAAGCTCAATGATTGAAGAAGCTCAACGATTCCAGAAGCTCAACGATTACAGAAGCTCAACGATTCCAGAAGCTCAACGATTCCAGAAGCTCAACGATTGCAGAAGCTCAACGATTCCAGAAGCTCAACGATTCCAGAAGCTCAATGATTGAAGAAGCTCAACGATTCCAGAAGCTCAACGATTGCAGAAGCTCCATTCAATTCTCCTCCAAATTTTTCTCCATTCATTTTTCTTGCTATTAAGTTGGATTACAGTATCTTTTCCAATCAATAGTCAATCTAAAACCTGTTCATGGTGATGTCCATTGACTTGATGATTGACTTGTTGATGATTGACTCGTTCATCGGTGAGTGTTGCTTGCGAGGTGATCGATGTACGCTTCGAGGAAGCCTGCGAAATGAGAGAAATGAGAGCTTTGAATTTTGGGCTTAAATTTGGCTTAAAAATTGGCCGGAAAGCAAAAGCTCGACGGTTCAATCCCCGAGTCTAAGATCAATTTTATAAAAATGAAAACCTGATCAATCTAATCAATCCCATTTTTTTCTGTGATATCCAACTAAGTGAAATTCAAAGTTTCATCAAAATTTGTTCACTCAAAAAAAAAAAGTTTTCCGGCCAATAAAACCTAATTCAGCTACGAAATACGGTAGCTGACTCAAAATACGGTAGCTGACTCAGTCTTAGATTGTGATCTATTTGTAATTCAATCTGTTACCTGATCATGGTGACTTCTCGGGATTGATCCATTGCTCTTGTGGCTTCTCGGCACCGATCCAACCAAGCTTGGCTGCTGAAATATTTGGTAACTAGCTCTGTTCGCATTAATAGACGTGTCTTTATTAGAAATCTTTCCAGTGCGCTCCACGACGAGAAAAAATGCTCAGAAACTTGAATGTTTTAAGAGCAATCGAGCTGAAAAGCCTTGATTCGAGTAGGCGTCGAAATTTCCATTCTCTGCCAATTTTTGGCTGTTTTGATCAAAGTTTCGCCCTATCTGGATGTCACACTAACTGTAAATGGTATACTAGGTACCACTGTCACAGCAAGTGCTAAGGCCACCGTTTCGGTCTATAACCGAAATTTTTTTTCGAAACTTTCACCTATTTCAACGGTTTCAACAATTCCAGAAAACAAAATGCGTTCCAAGATGCTCATTGCTTGTTGATGATCAACGATTTTATGAGTTTTAAGCGTTTTCTGGGGAGGACTCGACTCGGCCTAGAAAGCTGAATCCAAATCGAAATCGAACCGAATCTCTACACAAACAAATAATGAAAAGACGACTACACGACACTCCAATAAACAGTTCATAGTACTGTCGCGTAATTAGCTTTTTGTTCTTTGTATGCTTGCGTAGAGATTCAGATTCGAATCCGGATCCAAATCCAGATCTAAATGCAGATCCAAATCCGGATCCAAATCCGAATCCAAATCCAGATCCAAATCAGCACCAAATCCAAATCCGGATCAAAATCCGAATCCAAATCCAGATCTAAATCCAGATCCAAATCCAGATCCAAAGCCGGATACAAATCCAGATCCAAATCAGGATCCAAATCCAGATCTGAATCCAAATCCGGATCCAAATCCGAATCCGAACCCCGATCCAAATCAGGATCCAAATCCAGATCCAAATCCAGATCCAAATCCGGATCCAAATCCAGATCCAAATCCAGATCTAAATCCAGATCCAAATCCAAATCCGAATCCAAATCCGAATTCAGATCCAAATCCGGATCCAAATCCAGATCCAAATCCAAATCCGAATCCGAATCCAAATCCAAATCCGAATCCGAATCCAAAGCCGAATCCGAATCCGAATTGAAATCCAAATCCAGATCCAAATCCAAATCCAAATCCAAATCCAAATCCAAATCCAAATCCAAATCCGAATCCAGATCCAGATCCGAATTCAGAATCCAGATCCAAATCCAAATCATTAAAATCAAAAAAATTCACGGCCAATCTCCAACAAAACTGTAAACTCGAACAAAAGATAAAAGCTTCCGAGACTTTGGGAAAAACAGAAAATATGCGCGATGGGATACTGACTGATACGACTGAGTGATCAAGCTCTGTAAAGTGGCCTCATGCAGAGATTGATGAGGCCATCAGTCTCTGCAAAGTCTAAACCCATCATGCGATGCAACTGGGCTTTTTGTAAACGTGAAATTAGTAACAAGAAAGTAAAGAGAAAGTAAAGAAAAACTTTTTCTCTAACCTTGCTTCCGGTTTTCTGCGACGCGACACTGTGATAGGAGTTCGAGTGGGAAAGCTGAAAGAAGGAAGCTTTGAAAAGAAAGCTTTGAAAAGAAAGCTTTGAAACGGTAAATCTCTATTCACATTTACATTTAACTTAAGTATTTAAGTAATTAAGTAATTAAAGTATAATCCTTTAGTTTATAGCAAGCTATTAGCTGAAAACCGCCTTACCGCGGGCACTTTTTGAAGCGAGGCGTTGCTATGGTGGTGTGAGTGGTCCTAAAAAATTAAACCTTCAAAAAACATTCAATAACCTTTTCAAAACCCTCTGTGATATCCAGAATTGTCAAAAATTGAAAAAACTATTGAATTTCTTAAGTTTAACACGGAAATTTTGGCACCAACCTGTGCCGCCTTGTGGCTAGAGGTGATGCTACGAATGGCGCTGTGCTGAGAGACGCTTTCCTGAAAGGAAACAATAGAAATTCGATTTCTAAATGTAGATCATAGATTTAAGATCTATTTAAATGATAGTTTATTCAGTTTACATGATGAGCTCGTCGAGCGGATTGCTGAGAAACGGACGAGTTCGCGGAAATTGACGTCACATGAGAGATTTGAGCTGAAAAATTCGAAAATTTGGTTTAGCAATGGTTTAGCAATGGTTTAGCAATGGTTTAACAATGGATAAGGTTCATCTAAAGTTTAATATTTAAATAATTGGCTTAAAGTATTCGGTTTTTTCGTGGTTTCTGTTTATTTTAAAAGGATCCGTCTCGCTAAACGGCTCGTCTCGCTTTGAAAGCCTATAACTTTCTCTAGAGACAATATTTTTCTTAACCTTTCATATCATTAGATAGAGAACGTTTCAGGCTTTTAAATGATACCAAATAAAGCTTGATTTGCTTTTTCAGTCCAAGAAAACCAGGCGACACAACATAGGGAAAGAATAGGGGTATTTTGAACAGTCGTCCCACTTTGAAGGCCTATAACTTTGTCTAGAGATTATAATTCTCTCAACTTTTTATATCATTGGATAGAGAACGTTTCAGGCTTTCAAATGATACCAAATAGAGCTTGATTTGCTTTTTCAGTCCAAGAAAACCAGGCGACAAAACACCCGAGTTGGATAGGTGTCATTTGCTCAAAGTTGGCTCTGATTTTCAGGGACTGGAAGATCGAATTAAGCTCTATTTGGTATCATTTGAAAGCCTGAAATGTTCTCTATCCAGTGATATAAAAGCTTAAGAGAATTATAATCTCTAGACAAAGTTATAGGCTTTCAAAGGGTGATGACTCGTTGAAAACCTCCAGAAACTACGCAAGAGCCAAGTCTTCTATCATTATTGAAGTTAACGTTTGGTAGGCTGTACTTTGTACTTTGTGGTTTGTACTTTGTACTTTGTGGATTGTACTTTGTATATTGTGCTTTGTACTTTGTGCTTTTTACTTTGCACTTTCTGCTTTGTACTTTACTTTATCCACTTTCTGTCCTTCGTACTTTTTGCTCGCTTTCTGGCATGCTTATAGTCGAATTTAGTGTGCCAGGGGTGCACGTTTACAAGAGCACAAAGTGCATGCCACTTTTACGAATGTATTTAGCAAGCTTGAGTAGCTAACGACTTCTATGAGTTAATCGAAACTAAATCTAAATGAGCTAATCTAAACGTAAGTCCAGGGATACCCTAGGATAGGAAAACTCTAGTCGAATCTTGGCTCTTTGAAACTGAAACTTTAATCTATACCTAGTCTATATCTAAAGCGAAAGCTAAGATAGCTAAGATTGTCTTTTAGAAAACAGATCAGAGGGAAACGTACTTTAAAAGGGATAGTAAGGGTTGGATTGGGATTACAGTGACTTTAAAGTAAAGCTTAAACTTGTCAAATGGCTGGATAGTACTCTAGATTTCAAAGTTCGATCCTTCTATTCTTCTATTCTTCAATTCTTCAATTCTTCTATTCTTCTATTCTTGTTCTTCTCCTTACATTGAACCCTGCCCCTTCTAGAGTACTAAAGCGAAAGCTAAGATGGCTAAGCTTGTCTTTTAGAAAACAGATCAGAGGGAAACGTACTCTAAAAGGGATACTGTAAGGGTTGGATTGGGATTACAGTGCCTTTAAAGTAAAGCCTAAACTTGTCAAATGGCTGGATAGTACTCTAGATTTCAAAGTTCGATTCTTCTATCCTTCTATTCTTCTATTCTTCACCTCACCTCTCTCTCCTCTTCTTCCTTCTATTCTTCTCTTCTTTCTTTCTTCTTCCTTCTTCCTTCTCCTTCTATCCTTCTATCCTTCTATTCTTCTATCCTTCCATTCTTCTATTCGTTCTTCTCGCTTACATTGAACACTGCCCCTTCGCGAGGTGTCATTTTGTGGCAAAGCTGGAGGAGCGGCGGTATGACGAGGAGCTGGCACTGGATCGTTGGCATGCGGTGGAGGCTGTGGTGGCTGGAAATGGGAATTCATCGTCTAAGGATGATCAAGGTGCACTTTGTGCTTGTGTAAACACTTTCCTTTCTGAACCCAATCTTTCAGCAGCATCAAGCTGAAGAATCAAGCCGAAAGGGTACACACAGCACCAAAATACACGCTATCAACACATTTCACTCGCTCACTCACCGCTTGAACAGCGTGCACGTGTGGTGAGTAGAAAACGGGTGGAGCCGTGCTCGTGAGATGATTCGTTTGCTGATTTTGATGCTGAAATTTGAGTTTCAAAACCGGATTCGAACTAGGGAAGGGCACAGAGTCATGGTGAGATTTTCTCTGGGAACCCAATGCATTTTAAAGGATTGGATATGAGGAAACCGAATCTGAAATCAAAATCTGAAATCAAAATCTTCTAAATGACTTCCCAGACGAAAAATGAAAACAAAAAGCTGGGTCCGGAATCGAACCAGGATCTTCTGGGTGGTAGCCAAATCTCTTATCCACTAGGCCACCAATGCATCTCTTGTCCGGCTAGAAAGAAGCCTTTTAAAGCATTCGTTGTGGAAAAGTCAAAGCAAAACTCGAATCAAAGTTTCGAAAGTAAGACGGATGCTTTAAAAAGCTCTTTCTCTGGGGGCAGACAAGCTAGCCAAGTGGTCTAGTGGATAACGCACTAGGCTAGCATCCAGAGGATCCGGGTTCGACCCCAGCGCCGGCTTTTTGTTTTCGTTCTTTTTTTAAATCAACTTCTAGCAATTTCCAGCTAATTTCATTATGGTTTTTTTCTAATTTCTTTCAATTGTATATTATTTACCCAATTTTACACATATTCCTTCACAAATTTAGACTAAAATTCTCAAATCAAATGCAAATTAAACACTCTTTTCAAAAAAAACAAACGAGAAATACCGTATTTCTTCGAATAGAAGACCGGGTAAAGAGTATCATCGCGTACTCCTGCGTAGCAGCCCTTTTAAAATTTCTTTTTTTCATAAAAGCTTTCAATGAAGTGCTATAGGGCTGGAAAATGGCTAGCTCTGCTGCTACAAAAAAATCTGCTAGCTCATGTGGTATTTTTGAGTCATTTTCCAGCTCTATAGCACTTCATTGAAAGCTTTTATGCAGAAAAGAAATTTTAAAAGGGCTGCTACGCAGGAGTACGCGATGATACTCTTTACCCGGTCTTCTATTCGAAGAGATTATCTAGATTATCGGCGCCCCTAGGAGTTTATCGGCGCCCCTAGAGCATTATCGGCGCCCCTAGGAGTTTATCGGCGCCCCTAGAGCATTATCGACGCCCCTAGGGTTTATCGGCGCCCCAGAGCATTACGGCCCTAGGGTTTATCGGCGCCCCTAGAGCATTATCGGCGCCCCTAGGAGTTTATCGGCGCCCCTAGAGCATTATCGGCGCCCCTAGGAGTTTATCGGCGCCCCTAGAGCATTATCGGCGCCCCTAGGAGTTTATCGGCGCCCCCAGGGGATTATCGGCGCCCCTAGGGGATAATTGGCGCCCCTAGGGGATTATCGGCGCCCCCAGGGGATTATCAAGAATCTGTTAGCTCATGTGGTATTTTTGAGTCATTTTCCAACTCTATAGCACTTCATTCAAAGCTTTTATGCAGCTACGCAGAGGGATGCTACGCAGGAAGGCTGCTACGCAGGAGTACGCGATGATACTCTTTACCTGGTCTTCTATTCGAAGAAATACGGTAGATCTTTTATATTGTTCAGACAATTACCGGTTACGCAAAACGATGAAATGAAGATTCTAAACTAAAATGAATCCGATCGCTCACCTGAACGAATTGGCGTACACTTTTGACGACGCGAAGCGATTGGAATTTCTCATTGTAAGCTGGCGAGGTGACGGGCGCTTGTGCAAGAATTGGACCCGATGGAGGGCCGACATCGACGCGTAACTCATCCGGGGATCCTGAATTCGATTCTAATTGCTGTTGTGCGTTCCAGAATTGAGAAAGCTTGAATTTCAATCCTTAAAATGCTTTTGGTTTCTATTTTCAGCTCGTGTTTTGAGTGTTTTGAGTTTGAGGCTTTAAAAATCAAAAGATTGAAGCTTCTAGAAAGTCTAGAAAGTCGCTAAATCATAAAATGAAGGAGAATTTGTTTTTAATTTGTTTTTAATCGGATCTTTGATGACTCACTGGGCACATGGAGTTCCTCGTGCTCGTGGATTTGTTGAAGAGTCGAGGTACGAGATTTCGGAAGTCCAGTTCGTGGAAGTTGCGCTGGGCCGGATCTGGAAAGCGAATTTTGATTGGTTAAGCACTTGAGTGATTGTCGATTGTCGAATTTTTTGGATTGCTTAAGTGAATCAAGTATCAAACTTGATCTAGTATCCAGTTTTTGATATAAAAAACGAACTGTTTCGAGCGTTTACTGGCCACACTCTCAGTGACAGTTGTCGAGGTGATCTCGCTCTTTGGCTGAAAATTCGTTTATCGATATGAGGAACGATATGAGAAACGATTTAATAAGGAAATAGAGATTCTTTTGAAGTTATTGGCAAACGATTGGAGTTTATCGGCGCCCCTAGGGGATTATCGGCGCCCCTAGGGGATTATTGGCGCGCTTAAGGGATTATCGGCGCCCCTAGGGGATTATCGGCGGCTTCAGAGGATTATCTGCGCCCCTAGGAGTTTATCAGCGCCCCTAGGGGATTATTGGCGCCCCCAGGAGTTTGTCGGCGCCCCTAGGGGATTATCGGCGCCCTTAGGGGATTATCGGCGCCCTTAGGGGATTATCGGCGCCCCTAGGAGTTTATCGGCGCCCCTAGGGGATCATTGGCGCGCTTAAGGGATTATCAGCGCCCCTAGGGGATTATTGGCGCCCCTAGGGGATTATCGGCGCCCCTAGGGGATTATCGGCGCCCTTAGGGGATTATCGGCGCCCTTAGGGGATTATCGGCGGCTTCAGAGGATTATCTGCGCCCCGAGGGGACTATCGGCGCCCCTAGGGGATTATTGGCGCCCCCAGGAGTTTGTCGGCGCCCCTAGGGGATTATCGGCGCCCTTAGGGGATTATCGGCGCCCTTAGGGGATTATCGGCGGCTTCAGAGGATTATCTGCGCCCCGAGGGGACTATCGGCGCCCCTAGGGGATTATCGGTGCCCCTAGGGGATTATCGGCGCCCCTAGGAGTTTATCGGCGCCCCTAGGGGATTATCGGCGCCCCCATTCGATATGAGGAACGATTTAATGAGGAAATAGAGATTCTTTTGAAGTTATTGGCAAATGATTGGTGTTTATCGGCGCCCCTAGGGGATTATCGGCGCCCCCAGGGGATTATCGGCGCCCCCAGGGGGATTTGGCGCATCTAATGATACAAAGAAGATCTAAGAAGCCTGCTCAAATGCTAATGGTGGCTGATTCGAATTGGATAGTTGATTTATAATTGTTAAATAACTGGAATGGAAAAATGATGAAAAATCTACTTTTTTTTGCCACTTTTTAATCACTTTTTTCTAAGTCCTGGTCAATGCTAAAAATTTGTGTTATAGCTCAAAAGATCAGCCATTCTCTATACTTTAATTTGATACCAAAGCAACCGGAAACAAACGTATTCGTGTCAAGATATGAGCGTTTGTTTGAGAGTAGACGTTAGACGACGCGACGCTTTTATGGGGGGGACTGTTCTATTAGTTTTTACGGTAGTTTCTAGCTTAAAGGTAGTTACTAGCTTAAAACTAGTATTTTCTTTAGCTTTAACTGACTTAAAACTAGTATTTTCTTTAAAGCTCTCTCATTTCAATCTTTCAGCAAACCTGTGAGCGTTTTGATGTAACAGTTGAAGCTGAAACGGCTGAAACGGCCGTTGCCGAGCGGCTCTTTGATTGCGATGAAACAGTTGACTAAATTAGCCAGTTAGAAACGAGGAAAAAGCTTGAAATGATGTCAAAAATTGTAAAATATTGTAAAATTCGAGATAACGTTGAGCTTTTTAAGTATAAAACCAATAAAACCCACTGTAGCCGACGAGCCAATGGCTTGTGCGAGGCCGTGAAAAGCGTAGTTGCGCTCCTGAAAGTAAGTAAGTAGTTGCAAGTAAGTAGTTGCAAGTAAGTAGTTCAACTTTAACTCAAATTTTCTCTATGTTCTTACACTTCGAAATAAATTGTACTTTTCTATAACCAAATTTAATAAGGATCATTTTAAAGCCAACCTTAAGTCGATCTGATTACTGGGAGAGTAAAAGTAAAAGTAAAAGTAAAAGTAAAAGTAAAAGTAAAAGTAAAAGTAAAAGTAAAGGTAAAAGTTATAGAGTAAAATAGGAAAGTGCCCTAATTTAATCTAGATCTTTTCTAAGAGCTAAACGATCGTATTTTCTCTAATATTAGTGCACCTAGAGCTTTGCCTTAATTCCTCGAAATCTCGAGAACCGCTTATCAGAACCTATTGATGTGGGGTCGGAAAATGGAGCTGACGATGAGATCTAGTGGGGGGATTAGAGTGCTGAGCTTCTGGGAAAGCTTGGAAACGATAAAATTGGCTTCAACTCGGCTCGCCGGGGTGCACTACTATTAGAGAAAAGCCGGTACATGACAAACACTTTTAAATAGCGCACCGAACCCTCCAGGCACACCGAATCAATTCTAGAGTCATGAATAAGAAGAAATCTTGACCTAAGCCTTTTTCTAAGCCTTTTCCTAAGCCTTTCTTTCTCATTTCCAACTGATAAAATACTGTATTTTCTCTAATATTAGTGCACTATGAGCGTCGCCTAAATTCCTCGAAATCTCGAGAACCGCTTATCAGAACCTATTGATGTGGGGTCGGAAAATGGAGCTGACGATGAGATCTAGTGGGGGATTAGAGTGCTGAGCTTCTGGGAAAGATTGGAAACCGTAAAATAGGCATCAACTCGGCTCGCCGGGGGCGGGGGGGGGAGGAGGAGGAGGAGGAGGAGGGGAGGCCGGGGGGAACAGAGCACTACAATTAGAGGAACTACTTAGAGGAACTACTTAGAGAAAACCCGGTATAATCTATTTTCTAAAAAGAAAACAGGTTTAAATGTCTAAATGTCTAAATATCTAAATATCTAAATATCTAAACGCCTAAATATCTAAATGTTTTGAATATTAGCTTTCTAGAAAAACGAACACTATCCGTTTCCTCGTGATTGCGGAAAGTCCCTCGTTCCCATCGTCCGCGAAGCGTGTTTACGCCTTCTTGCAGAACGAAATGATCACCCATTGGAAGGTACTGTAAAAGAGTGAAATTTAGAACCTAACTTCTATTTAAAACACGTCAAATACTAGGTTAAAGTGCTACAATACAAAAAAAAAAGTTTAGTAGGGATTTTCTGAGTAAATTGTGAGCTTTGAATTGTAAAAGCTTTAAATGTGATTGCACTAAACAAAAGGAATTCTTGGAATTGTTAGAGTTCTTGGAGTTCTTAGAGTTCTTAGGGTTTTTAGAGGTCTTAGAGTTCTTAGAGTTCTTAGAATTCTTAGAATTCTTAGAATGGTTAGAATTCTTAGAATTCTTAGAGTTCTTAGAGTTCTTAGAATTCTTAGAATGCTTAATTCTTAGAGTTCTTAGAGTTCTTCGAGTTCCTAGAGTTCTTAGAATTCTTAGAATTGCTAGAATTGTTAGAATTGTTAGAATTGTTAGAATTCTTGATTCCTAGCTTCTTAATTCTCAGCTTCTTAATTCCTAGCTTCCAAATTCTCAGCTTCTTAATTCTTAGCTTCTTAATTCTCAGCTTCTAGATTCCCAGCTTCTTAATTCCTAGCTTCTTTATTCCTAGCTTCTTAATTCCTAGCTTCTTAATTCCTAGCTTCTTAATTCCCAGCTTCTTAATTCTCAGCTTCTTAATTCCTAGCTTCTTTATTCCTAGCTTCTTAATTCCTAGCTTCTTAATTCCTAGCTTCTTAATTCCTAGCTTCTTAATTCTCAGCTTCTTAATTCTCAGCTTCTTAATTCCTAGCTTCCAGATTCTCAGCTTCTTAATTCTCAGCTTCTTAATTCCTAGCTTCCAAATTCTCAGCTTCTTAATTCTTAGCTTCTTAATTCTCAGCTTCCAGATTCTCAGCTTTTTAATTCCTAGCTTCTTTATTCCTAGCTTCTTTATTCCTAGCTTCTTTATTCCTAGCTTCTTTATTCCTAGCTTCTTTATTCCTAGCTTCTTTATTCCTAGCTTCTTTATTCTTAGCTTCTTAATTCTTAATTCTTAGTTTCTTGGATTCTAAATGAAATTCGTAATTCTTTAGATTCTTAGAAGACTTAGATTTTGAATTTTACATGTTCGTGACGCGATTGGCGAATCGGCTTCTTTACGTGCACGAAACCGTCCGAGTTGATCGAGTGATGAGAGCCGTGGATTTGCTAGAAACATTTGCTAGATGATGAGACGATAAAAAACGATAAAAATGATGACCTTTCACACTACAAACGCTTCTGATTTGCTGCAGAACTGTCGGATTAATACGAGCTATAGCTTAGGAAAAGCTCGTAGCTATAGCTTAAGTTCTCAAAAAAGTTCCTCAAAAATCTCTATTCTACGAGTTTTTACAAGGGTTTGTAGTCTGACCAGGTCGACTACAGACTACAAACGCTTGTAACTTGTTTCATTAGTGTCGGATTAATACGAGCTATAGCTCAAAGAATAGAGAATTTCAAGAGCTTTCAAATGGACTAAAGCACATTGAAAACTATCAATTCTAAAGAAAGTTACAGTAATTTGTAGCCTGACGAACCGTATTCATGCGTAGTCGAAGCGATCAAGCCGGTAACTTTCTTTAGAATTGATATTTTTCCGTGTGCTTTGGTTCATTTGAAAGCTCTTGGAATTCTCTATTCTTTGAGCTATAGATCATCTCAATTCGATAGATTTGAAGCAAGTTAAAAGCGTTTGTAGTTTACGTTTGTAGTTTGTAGTGTCCATCTTTAGCATTCACTCATTTCAGCCCATAACTTGGCTTAAAACCGAGCTTTTCCTAAGCTATAGCTCGCATCAATTCGACAGCTCTGAAGCAAATCAGAAGCGTTTATACTAGACATGGGAAAATTCCAGCCCAAGTGAAATTGGTGAAGTCAAGGCCAAGATCCCATTGATCGCCAATTCACACCAAAAATCCCTCAGCTCTACTTGAAAGAGAAATTTCTTTTTCAACTCACCTTTTCAACAGTCACATTTCCACCGGCAACAATTGGCTGTTGCTCATAGGCGTTGTAGTGTTGTTGTGATGGGACATTATGATGTGCGTGATGTGAATGGATTGAATCGTGGTGCGATCGATGATCATCGTAAACCTCATCATAGACCGGCTCCTCGTAGTGAAGTTCGCTGGGTTTTTCCTGAAAAATCGAGAAAATCATTGCGCCAGAAAGGTGCGTTTGTAAGATTCGTTAGAGCTTAAAGTACAGCTTAAGTACAGCTTACAGTGCAGCTAAAAGTACAGGTAAAAGTACAGCTTACAGCTAAAGTACAGCTTACAGTACAGCTTACAGCTAAAGTATAGCTTAAAGTACAGCTTAAAGTACAGCTTACAGTACAGCTTACAGTACAGCTTACAGCTAAAGTACAGCTTACAGTATAGTACAGCTTACAGTACAGCTTACAGTACAATACAGCTAAGGTAAAGCTTAAAGTACAGCTTAAAGTACAGCTTACAGCTAAAGTACAGCCTAAAGTAAAGCTTACAGTACAGTTTAAAGTACAGCTCAAAGTAAAGCTAAAGTAAAGCTTACAGTACAGCTTAAAGTACAGCTTACAGTACAGCTTAAAGTACAGCTTACAGTACAGTTTAAAGTACAGCTTACAGTACAGTACAGCTAAAGTACAGCTCAAAAGAAAGCTGAAGTACAGCTAAAGTACATCTTAAAGTACAGCTTACAGTACAGCTTAAAGTAAAGCTAAAGTACAGCTTAAAGTACTATCCAACTCTGCTCACCTTTTCCAATGTCTTTAGCACATCTTGTGCTCTGACTGGCCGAAGCTTTTCGGTGACTTTTGGTTGATCGTAGAGATTCGGAATCAATTTTATCGAGCTTACCGTCGAATAGTTGTCCTTAAAAATTATGTAACTATTATCAATCTCTATAAATCTCTTGAACCTTTGAAATAGCTCTTGGTCTTGGGATGCCAGTCATCTGTGGAACGGGTTGATATTGGGGTGGTGGAGGAGCAGAAACAGGTTGAGCACTGTTCACTGGTACGCTAAAATCAAGAATTCCATAATTCAATAATTCAATAACTCAAGAATTTCATAATTTCATAATTTCATTAAACCAATATCTACTGTGCGTTCCAGAAGACAAATTCGCTTTTAGAGAAAAGCTCAAAACTCTTGTTTCTTTACTGGAATCGCGTTGATCAGCTCTCGAGCTCATTAACTGCTTAATATTCAATCATTCAAGTTTTTTTCCTAAACAAATAGTTAATCCTGGATATCATGTAATATTTTGATTTGATTAGTTGAATGAAAAAGCTTAATTTTAAATTTATTCTATATAGAGCAGTGGTCAATGGCTTGTTTATCAGTCAAACGAGCCTGGTTCGAGTCCGCTGTTTGTCGAATCCTTTGCTAAACTCTATAAAATCAATTTATTTGACGTAAAAGAGGCTAATAAATTTATCTTTTCCTGAAAAAAGGCCGCTTCGTGGCATCGCAACTTTTTTTCTTTTACACCAAAGTGAGAATTTTTTTTTTCGATTTTTTTCGACAAAACTCTTATCAAGTAGCAACGGGAAGGGGTTTTGTGACATCCAGAAAAGACAAAAAAAAAGAAAAATTTGAAAAGAATCGAATTTTTAGAGGGGTTTACAGTAAAAGAGTGAAATTTTTGAGCAAAACCCTAAAATTTAGCTTTTGCATTCTACTGATGAAATCAAAACACAGCATGACATCCAGGATTAGGTATTTGTTTAGAAAAAAACTCGAATTATTGATTAGTAAGCAGTTAATGCGGCCGAGAGCTGATCACGGCGTTTCCCGGAAAGAATCAAGAGTTTTGAGCTTTTCTCTAAAAGCGAATTTGACTTCTGGAACGCACAGTAGCTATTGGTTTAATGAAATTTGAGAAAAAGTTAAGAATAGAAATTTGAAGGGATTTTAGCCAAATTTAGACGAATTTAGAATAGAATTTAGAGATTTAGATTTAGCTCTATTTTAGCCCTATTTTTCCCCTACTCTAGCCCTATTTAGCCCTATTTTAGCCCAATTTAGCCTTATTTTAGCCAAATTTAGGCCGATTTAGCCCAATTTAGCTCTATTTAGCCCTATTTTAGCTCAATTTAGCCCATTTTAGCCCCATTTAACCCTCTTTTAGTCAGTTATTAGTTGCACTTTGAAGATTTCTTAATCTTAAATGTCTCCCAAACCTAGCATAAGTGGCAGTGCTGTGCTCAGAGTCGCCATTTGAAGCGTGCGACGTGAGAGTGTCCCGTCGATAAGCGTATCCACCGGCTGGGATCGAGTCCAAGTGCGGCGCGTTTCTGCAATTGGAAATGTAAATTGGAAATTTCTATCGAATTCTATCGAATTCTATTGAGATTCGATTTTTGGCTTTTTGACTTTTTGGATTGGCCTTTTTGGATTGGGCTTTTGGATTGGGCTTTTTGGTCTTAAAGTTTTTCTACGGAAAAGCATGAATGTTCCAATCGAAATCTAGGACTTGGGCAAGCCCTAGAAACCCTAGAACCAAAGGCTAGAAAACCCTAGAATCAAAGCCTAGAAAACCCTAGCCGTTTAGCTGTTCAGCCGTTTAGCTGTTCATTCGTTTAGTTGTTCATTCCTTCAGCTGTTCAGTCGTTTAGCTGTTTAGCCGTTCAGCCGTTTAGCCGTTCAGCCGTTTAGCTGTTCGTTTAGCTGTTCGTTTAGCTGTTTAGCTGTTCAGCCGTTTAGCTGTTCAGCCGTTCAGCTGTTTAGCTGTTTAACTGTTCATTCGTTTAGCTGTTCAGCTGTTTAGCCGTTCAGCCGTTCAGCCGTTTAGCCGTTCAGCTGTTCAGCCGTTTAGCCGTTTAGCCGTTCAGCTGTTTAGCCGTTCAGCTGTTTAGCCGTTCAGCCGTTTAGCTGTTCGTTTAGCTGTTCGTTTAGCTGTTTAGCTGTTCAGCCGTTTAGCCGTTTAGCCGTTCAGCCGTTCAGCTGTTTAGCCGTTCAGCTGTTTAGCCGTTCAGCCGTTCAGCCGTTCAGCTGTTCAGCCGTTTAGCCGTTTAGCCGTTCAGCCGTTCAGCTGTTTAGCCGTTTAGCTGTTTAGCTGTTTAGCTGTTTAGCCGTTCAGCTGTTCAGCCGTTTAGCCGTTTAGCCGTTCAGCTGTTTAGCCGTTCAGCTGTTTAGCCGTTCAGCCGTTTAGCTGTTCGTTTAGCTGTTCGTTTAGCTGTTTAGCTGTTCAGCCGTTTAGCCGTTTAGCCGTTCAGCCGTTCAGCTGTTTAGCCGTTTAGCTGTTTAGCTGTTTAGCTGTTTAGCCGTTCAGCTGTTTAGCCGTTCAGCCGTTCAGCCGTTCAGCTGTTCAGCCGTTTAGCCGTTTAGCCGTTTAGCCGTTTAGCCGTTCAGCCGTTCAGCTGTTTAGCTGTTTAGCTGTTCATTCGTTTAGCTGTTCAACCGTTTAGCCGTTCAGCTATTCAGCCAATCTCTTCGTAGAGGTTTTTATCAAATTTTACATCGAAAAACGAGTTTTTACACTTGAATACACAGCTGAGAACGAGGCGTCTAAAGTTGGTCAAGTTCCCTTCCCTCCCCCCTCTCGATCAACTTTAGACGCCTCGTTCTCAGCTCCACTTTGAGAACATTTTATGTTTAATCTACCAAGAGATAGTCCTTGATGTCTTCTATTTTTTTTGTATATTACAAATAAAATGATCTCAAAAATGAGGCTGAGAACGAGGCCTCTAAAATTGGTCGAGAGGGGCGATGGGGCGTTTATCCGGTATTCTTTTTCTTGTCCAAAAAAACCCTTCTTCTAAGTTAATTTAGTTTTTTTGCACCTAAATCTAACAAAATACGAGTAGAAAATCGAAAATTTGAAGTTCAAAACTTGCTAAAATTATTTGAAAAGGGTGAAAAGCTTGAAAAAAAAAAATCGAAATTTTCATTTTTCTTTGCAATTCCAATTGCTTTCAAATCACTTTTTCAAGCTCAAAATTTTGCTATTTTTATCTTCTCGGCACAATTGGCCTAAAGAAAGTGATTTTGTATGTTAAAGTTGACTCTATAGACTTTGAAAGCTCGAGAGGCTTATGATCAAATTTTTGGGCATCATCAATTACCCTTCAAAAAAAAAAAAATAGCTAGCAAAAAGCTCGGGTTTTCTGGATTTATTATTTAGATTTAGATATTTACAAGTGTTTTATCGATAATCGGCTTGGCATTCAAGTAATTCTTTAAGTTTAAACTTTTGTCACAAAGCTGACACTCAATTAAAGTGTTTTTTTTTTTTTTTGCTTTGGTTTTGGAGATTTCTATAGAATTTCTATAGAATTATAGTTTCTAATTAATTTATTGACTTAAATTCTTGAAGATAAGCTATAAATTCAATCAAAAAAAGAATAAGAAATGGTTAAGGCAAAGCACTAGAGAAAAAGGGCACTCAGCAACTTCTTGATCCCTTCTTGATCCCTTATTGATCCCTTCTTGAGCACCCAGCGACTTTAAGCAACCAAAAGTCGATTTTAAACGCATTTCTAGAAGCTGGCGCTAAAAAATTCGTAATCTACGCAAAAAGCTGGCTTAGAGAACGTGATTTTGGAAAGAATCTAGTGATTTAAAAGTCTCGTTTTGTTCCTATTTTGTTACCTGGGCAATGCTGCTTGTCCGATCCCGATCTGCGCACTCCCATCACTTCCACGATGAAGATAGGCTCCAGTTGGACGATATCCATCATGAGATGACATTGATGAGGCTTTTGATGAGGCTTTTGATGAGATACTCGATCTGGAAATGATTATTGTAAGGCTTTGCTCGTAAAACAATCGTAAAACAAGGCTTTGATCGATCAGAAACAATCGGAAAGCAACGAAAGTTTGAATAGAGTTTGCTAGATGCAGCTGGAGGATGAAAGAATATCTTTTTCTAAGTAATTTTCCAAGTAATGATAGAGCATTGGTAGAGCATTGATAGAGCATTGATAGAGCTACCGATAGAGCATTGATAGAGCTACCAATAGAGCATTGATAGAGCATTGATAGAGCTACCAATAGAGCATTGATAGAGCTACCAATAGAGCATTGATAGAGCATTGATAGAGCTACCAATAGAGCATTGATAGAGCATTGATAGAGCTACCAATAGAGCTTAGAAAGCTTAGAAAAAGCTCTACCAATAGAGCATTGCTAGAGCTTTTTCTGATTCTGATAGAGCTTCTTCTGACAAGCTGAACATAAAGCTTCTTTCCTAATTGAAAAATAATCAATCAAAGCTCAACAAAAGTCAGTCAAATACTCAAAAAATACTCAAGAAATACTCCAGAATTATTAAACAAAAATTGATTCGTCATTGTGACTTTAAAAATCTCTTTTTTTCTAGTAGTATGGCAGTGTCATTCTTTGCTTTTTTTTGATAAGAAATTGAAAGATATGAGAGAAAAAATTAGAGGCTTTACTTCAAAAACTACAATTTATAAAAGAAAAGATCGATATTTTAAAAGAAAAAGAATTGAAATTGAATAAAAAAAGATTGGAATTGAATAAAAAAAGATTTGATGTAGTTTGTGATCAAATTTTGCAAACCAAAACCTTCTAGAGCACTTGATTCTATCATTTTCTTGACTGATTTTGATTTTCTTCATTGACTGATTTGATTTTCTTGAAAAAATCAAGAACTCAATGCACTAGAAAAGGTGGGTTTAGAAAATTTGAGTATAAAGTACGTTGAGAGCTTTCTGGCTGGCTTACAGTTGCTTAGAGCTGCTTACAGTTGCTTAGAGCTGCTTAGAGCTGCTTATAACTGCTTACAACTGCTTCCAGCTGCTTACAACTTCTTCCAGCTGCTTACAACTGCTTCCAGCTGCTTCCAGCTGCTTACAACTTCTTCCAGTTGCTTCCAGCTGCTTCCAGCTGCGTCCAGCTGCTTATTAGGTTGTCCCATAAAAAATTGCGGTTTTTCAGAAATTTCTTTTTTCAACAAAAAATAAAAAGTAACAACGTAGATCATACGATATATTTTCCATGATTATTGTAGACATTTAACCAACGTTTTGGTAACTTTTCAAGTCCTCGCTTGTAAAAATCGGGTTGGCGTGAATGAAAGTAGTCCTCCAATTCGTTCTCGAGGTCACCTTGGTTGTTGAATTGCTTGCCTCGAAGGAAATGCTTTAGCGACAAAAATAAATAGTAATCAGATGAAGCAATATCCGGGCTATAAGCGGCATATGAAAGTACATTCCAGTGCAAATTGTTTTCCATAAAATCCTTCGATTTCCTCGATTTGTGGGGATGGGCGTTGTCTTCAAGCACAAAAACGGGATCATTCCATTCATTCTGATAGACCAATCGAAGAATTTTCTGCTCAACTTGTTGCATATGACGTCTATAAACATCACTGTGAAAAGTTTGACCCTTCTGGAGCAGCTCCCAAAAAAGTATGCCAGAGGAACACCAATCGATACACAGAAATCGCTTATTCCCATGAGTATTTCGTTTTTCCACCACTTTTCCCAATCGACCTTTCTTCAACCATTGTCGTTTCAACGCTCGACCATCATAGAATATCCACGATTGATCATGAGTCACAATATTGAAAAGAGGAAACCGACCGCGTCGATATTCGTTCAGTAGTTGACGGCATGACCGCGCTCTTTAGCCCTTAATCGAATTTTTCAAATGATAGGGAATTTGCCGCTGTTTCAACCACTTTCTTCCGGTTTTTTTGAGCCAACGCCATACTGTCATTCTTCAGCAATAGCTTTGTGCCAAAATCCGAGTCGATCCTTCGGGATTTTGCTGAATTCGGCGCCTCAACGTCTGTCGATTCACTTTTCTGGGACGACCGCTTCCTCGCTTTCGTGTGAGCCGGTTGCCACCTTTTCGGAACTTCTGAAACCACCATCGTGTAGTCCTTTCCTTGACGATTGTTGGCCCATAAAAGAATTGATTTCTCTCGCTGCTTTGGCCGCGGAAATCCTCTTCAAATATCGTTGATGGATTATTGATGGATTTCTTTACGAGACAGCGCCATGTGATCGATCACAACTTTTTTTGTTTTCGATTCCTAAAAAAGAAAATTGAGCACATAAAACTAGAATTGTAAATTAGTATAATAAAAAAAAGAGAAAGAAAAAGTGTTAATTTGTCGCTGAATACGAATCAAATGAAAAAAACCGCAATTTTTTATGGGACAACCTAATACAACTGCCTACAGCTGCTTTTAACTGCTTACAACTGCTTACAACTGCTTACAACTGCTTCCAGCTGCTTACAACTTCTTCCAGCTGCTTACAACTGCTTACAACTGCTTCCAGCTGCTTACAACTTTTTCCAGCTGCCTCCAGCTGCTTACAACTTCTTCCAGCTGCTTCCAGCTGCCTCCAGCTGCTTACAACTTCTTCCAGCTGCTTCCAGCTGCTTCCAGCTGAAGCAGCTGGAAGCAGCTGGAAGCAGCTGGAAGCAGCTGGAAGCAGCTGGAAGCAGCTGGAAGCAGCTGGAAGCAGTTGTAAGCCTACAGCTGCTTTTAACTGATTTTAACTGCTCTCTCGCTGACTATCAATTGCTTTCAGTCTTGAAAAACTAGAAAAAACCTTACTTAGTACCAAATTTAAATAGAAAACAATCAATTACCCATGCAAATATGTTGGATAATCATCTGGATGATCGTTTCTCAACGAGGTGACAAGTGGTGGCTCTTGATGAAGATGGTATTCCGATGATTTCACAGCTGGGATCGCGTCTTGTGAAGTCAGAGTCGCTTCATCATCCGAGTGTTCGGCTGAGTGCTAGAATTTTGAATGTAATAAAAAGAAAAGATGCCAGTAAAGGGAATCGAACCCCCGACCCTCCGCTTACCGGGAATTGAGCCTTAACCACTGAAATATCTGGTGCCTTGTCTCGCCCAGAGAAAAAGGCAAGCACAACCGGGAAGACGAAAGAAAAGCAGAAAATGGCCGTCTTCAAGCTACAGTAACCAGGCTAGTTTACAGTAAAATAGCAGCTTACTGATATTAGCTGGCTTGGGCTCAGTTTAGCAAGAGTTAGGGAGTAGATCAGCTTGAGAACTCCAGAAGACTTTGGAGAACTTCAGCTGACCGTTGAACCCAGGCTTAAACCCACTCTAGAATCTGGGTGCGAAGGACTGGTCTTAGAACGAAAGGACTGGTCTTAGAACCGAAGGACTAGTCCTAGAACCGAAGGAATGGTTCTAGAACCGAAGGATTGGTCCTAGAACCGAAGGATTGGTCCTAGAACCCAAGGACTGCTACTAGAACCGAAGAACTGGTCCCAGAACCCAAGGACTGGTCCTAGAACCGAAGGACTGGTCTTAGAGCCGAAGGACTGGTCCTAGAACGAAAGGACTGGTCTTAGAACCGAATGAATGGTTCTAGAACCGAAGGATTGGTCCTAGAACCCAAGGACTGCTACTAGAACCGAAGAACTGGTCCCAGAACCCAAGGACTGGTCCTAGAACCGAAGGACTGGTCTTAGAGCCGAAGGACTGGTCCTAGAACGAAAGGACTGGTCTTAGAACCGAATGAATGGTTCTAGAACCGAAGGATTGGTCCTAGAACCCAAGGACTGCTACTAGAACCGAAGAACTGGTCCCAGAACCCAAGGACTGGTCCTAGAACCGAAGGGCTAATTTTAGAACCCAAGTAAACCTGGAAAACCTGGAAAACCTGGAAACCTGTTGACTCCAACAATGCACAATTCAGGATTGAAATCTAAGATCCCAGGCCGGGTTGAACGGAACTCAGAAAAAGCCTTAATTGGATATCAGGAAACTAGTAGAGCTGCTAGAAACTAGTAGAAAACTAGTAGAAAACCAGTAGAGCTGCTTGCACTAACTAAAACTGACCCCGGTTTAGAGTGAGTTTGATAGCTCTCTAGTGCTCTCTAGCACTAGAGAGCTATCCAACTCTAGCTTTGCTCTCTAGTGTCACTCGTGGTTTGATTAGCACTAAACTAAGCTCAGATTCAAAGGTATCTTTTAGAATATCGAAAGAAACTGCTCAAAACAAACCCCATGATAAACGGCGTGCTCAAAGCCGTGCGACTCTTGGGTCGACTGCGAGAAGCGGTGCGGTTCCCAGTGATCCGGTTCAGTCGTTGCGTGGAACTAAAAGGAAAAAGGTGGCCTTAAAATCGAAAACGAAAAGAAGATTTGCCTTTCAAAAGGCACCCGAGCTGTCCGTTCTTTGAGATTTCAATTGAAATGAAGTTTTTTTTTCTTTTCTAAACCCACCTCCGTCACCGGGTCGCTTTTCTCCAAATGCAAGAGGTGAGAAGGCTGTAAATGAGAGAAATTTTGATCGAATTAGCATTGAATTGAATTAGCATTGAATCGAAAATCTTGCAATCTAGTTAATCTAGTTAATATAAACATTTAGTAAACATTTACGGTATCTTCCGTTTGGATCATTCCCTTTTAAGCTTCTGGACACACTTTAAGATCTAATTTAAGAATCCTGAGCCGGAGCTTAAGCCTGAGTTGGTGCCTAAGTCTAAGCCTAATCCTGAGCCTAAGCCTAAACCTAACATGTCAGATCTCAAATTCCAGACATGAGATCGACCTGAAAATTTGCCAGGATGCTTCTATGGGGGGCGGATGCACAACACCAAACGGGTGTGCCTTAGCTCCCAGAACTCGCTGAGATCCAAAAAATGGCGGTTCAGCCCAAACCCAAATAGACTTAGTGCTAGGCGCTCGCCGCTAACCTACGCACTAAGTCCAAGCCTGAGCGAGTTCTGGGCTAAGGTCTCAGCTTTTTGAGCTTCAGCGTGCCAGAAAGCTTGAGTTTTCTGGGCCATAAAGTACATAAACTAGCTGGAAATAGCTCTAGTAGATTCAGATCTATATCAAGAACTCAATCAGACCCAGGAATCAGACTTTGAGCTCCAGCAAACGCATGGTTTCTCACACACTTTTCAAAAGAGTTCCAGAAAGTGTCAGAAAGTTCCAGAAAGTTGCCACAAAAGAGAAAATTCCAGAAAATCGTTTGTTTTTTTGCCACAAAAGAGTTCAAGTGTGGTAGAAAGCTTGCTGGAGTTTAAGCTTTCTGGAGTTCAACGTACAGAAATCGGTTTATATAGTATTAGTCTAAGATCTGACTTCAACTGTAGCATGGAGTTCAGCCTCGTGATCACTGTGACGAACGAGGGACTCTTTATGGCCGTGCTCCTATAAATAATAGATTTTCATCGACAAGATATTAGAATTAGAGATATTAGAGATATTAGAGATATCGGAGAATAAATCCATAGAATCGAAGTTTTGCTGAGACTTTTTTCCCGTAGATAGGTCATTTTTAAACGAAAATTGTCTATGTGGAGCCTGTGGTTCCTATTTTGATCTAATACGGTTCCAATAGGGTTCCAATAGAGTTCCAATACGGTTCCTATTTTGATCTAATACGGTTCCAATAGGGTTCCAATAGAGTTCCAATAAGGTTCCTATTTTGATCTAATACGGTTCCAATAGGGTTCCAATAGAGTTCCAATACGGTTCCTATTTTGATCTAATACGGTTCCAATACGGTTCCAATACGGCTCCTGTTTTAATATAAAAGATTCCAATACGGCTCTAATAGGGCTCCAATACGGTTCCAATACGGTTCCAATACGGTTCCAATACGGTTCCAATACGGTTCCAATACGGTTCCAATACGGTTCCAATACGGCTCCAATACGGCTCCAATAGGGTTCCAATACGGTTCCAATACGGCTCTAATAGGGTTCCAATAGGGTTCAAATACGGCTCTAATAGGGTTTCAATACGGTTCCAATACGGCTCCAATAGGGTTCCAATACGGTTCCAATACGGTTCCTGTTTTAATATAAAAGATTCCAACACGGTTCCAATACGGTTCCTATTTTGATCTAATACGGTTCCAATACGGTTCCAATACGGCTCCTGTTTTGATCTAATACGGTTCCAATACGGCTCCTGTTTTAATATAAAAGATTCCAACACGGTTCCAATACGGTTCCTATTTTGATCTAATACGGTTCCAATAGGGTTCCAATATGGTTCCAATACGGTTCCAATACGGTTCCTATTTTGATCTAAAGGATTCCAGAGTCAAATCTGCATCTAATTTCCATCTAATTTGCATTTGCTTTTGTCTCCAAATTTACATTGAAAATTCTGATTTTAGTTCTGAGTTTAGTTCTGAATTTTTTACCTCGTGTTGAATTGTATTCCCAACCTGAACCTCCGTCGAATGATCGCTGTTTCGATGAAGGAAAGCGCCGGTTGGAGCCGAGTCTTTGTGAGTAGTCACTTCTTCGTTTGACAGAGTTGAAGAGGAGCTCTAGAAGCAAAAAAAAGCTTATAGCTTTAGGTATTCAATCAACAACATAAGTTCTTTCTTACATCGTCCTCAATTGCCCTCGTCTGCATGGCTTGCTGCAATTCGGTCTTCAAATGTGGATCGAGTGGTTTCACTTGGCTGGCTGTGCGCTTGATCTAAACATCATGTAAAGCTTCAAAAGTTGATCCTAAAGATGAGATTCTAAAGATCCTAAAGACCCTAAAGATCCTAAAGACCCTAAAGACCCAGAAGAACCTAAAGATTCTAAAGCCCTTAAAGACCCAGAAGACTCTGAAGAGCCTCACAAACCCGGAAAGCTCAGATCATCCAGATAGCAAAGTGATAAACCTAACAATAAGCTAATCAGCTTAGCTAGTAAATCCGATGGATACGAAGGTAGGAGCTAGAATGATTCAATGGACTCTAGAGGATCCAGGAGACCCTAGGGTATATTCCAAAAGATTATAAAGGACCCTGGAAAACTCATAGAGACTAGAATCAAGGCTTCCAGGGTACCTTAAGACCCTGGTAGTAATAGTTCTAGGTCTTAGGACCCTAGGACTCTAGAACTTAGGAAATAAAGGTCCTAGAACCCTAGGGCCTAGGAAGTAAAGGCCCTAGAACCCCAGGATTTAGGAAATAAAGGTCCTAGGACCCCAGGATTTAGGAATTAAAGGTCCTAAGATCTTCGGACCTGGGAAATAAAGGGCCTAGGACCCCAGGATTTAGGAAATAAAGGTCTTAGGACCCTAGAACTTAGGAAGTAAAGGCCCTAGAAACCAGGACTTAGGAAGTAAAGATTCTAGAACTCTAGGATTTAGGAATTAAAGGCCTTAGGACCCTAAAACTTAGAAAGTAAAAACCATAGGACCCTAGGACTTAGGAAGTAAGGGTCCTAGGATCCTAGAACTTGGGAAATAAAGGGCCTAGAATCTAGGAATTAGGAAATAAAGGTCCTAGGACCCTAGAACCTAGGACTTCGGAAATAAAGGTCTTAGGACTCTAGACACTTGGAAATAAAGGTCTTAGGACCCTAGAAACTAGAACTCGAAGACCCTAGAACCTAAGACTCGAGGACGCTGGTAGTAAGTGAAACAAAGTCAGCTATAGAAACTGAATGAAACCCATAAGAGCTTAAAAGAGTCCAGCTCTATGATTCTAATGTATTGAGAGAATCTAGAAGCAGAAAAAAGACTATAAACGGGTCATAGCAGGTCAGAATGCGATAGAGCAGCAGTCAAGCAGGCCAGAATGTCATAGCTGGCACTAGAGTACACTTGAGTAGCCTAGGACCCTAGTAGTAAGCAAATCAAAGTCTAAAATGAAACTCGTTTCAGTGTTGAATGAGAAAAATGGAAGCCTTTTCACCTTTCCTACTACGCAAAGTCTTTTCCCTTATCATTTTCGCGGGGATTTTCCCGGTGCTGAGACTTCTCGCCGGCTAATCCCACACCTTTCATTCCGTTTTCTTTGGATACCGGAGAAGTTTGAGTTTTCCTAGAGTTAAAAAAAAATCAAAGCCCGTGTTCGACAAGAGAAACAGGAAAATTTGAACTTTTTTCTTTCTTTTTGAGCTTTTTAAACCCTGGAGTTTGGTGATATTCGGTTTTTTTTAAAATTTGAAATTTGATCTTCTAAACTAGAAGGATTGGCAAGCGTGAGTTCCAGCTTTGAGAATGTGTCGAATAAAACGGCTTTCACTACCAAAAACTAACAAAGTTACAATTATGAAAAGAAAATCTCGAACTCACAGCCGAATTCTCGACAGCAATCACATCAGTCGAGTCGAAATCGCGTTTAACGATCGATCGAAGCACAACAATTGTCGATTCCTCGTCATCAGACTCCTCGGCTTTGTGGCTGGAACTTTTTTCATCGATTTTGTCAGAGGTGATAGATTAGAGTGCTAGAAACAGAGCGCTAAAAGTGGAAAAAAACGACGAGGCATTTGGCTACCCTAAGAGAGTCATAGTTGCTCCCGCCGTTTACCCGCGCTTACGTGAATGGTCTTTGCGGACGTCCGCAAAGACAATCTGTCTCCCCTGTTTTGATTAGACCTCTTCACGTTAACATTCAGAGCACTGGGCAGAAATCAGAGACAGCCAACGTCCGCAAAGATCATCTGTGAGGCAGTCAACGTCCACAAAGACCATCTGTGAGACAACCAACGTCCGCAAAGACCATCTATGAGACAGCCAACGTCCGCAAAGACAACCTGTGAGACAGTAAACGTCCGCAACGACAATCTGTCTCCTCTGTTTTGATTAGACAGTCGGATTCCCCGTGCCCATGCCAGTTCTAAGTCGACTGTTTCATGCTGGCCGAAGCACACAGCCCGAACCCCATGCACACAGCCGCGGCAGTCCACGGGACAGTCCCGACACCAGGCCAAGCTCCACAAAAGCGTCACCCAGCCGCGATCAAGCCGTACCTCATGCCACGACCCGACCAGGCCAGTCCTTAGAGCCAGTCCTTAGAGCCAATCCTTTTCCCGAAGATCCAATTTGCCGACTTCCCTTACCTACATGATTCTATCGAGGCTGTTCACCTTGGAGACCTGCTGCGGATATTGGTACGATCCGGTACGAGATTCAAATTGGTTCCCTAGGTTTCCACGCAAAGTTATTGGCCAAAAACCTAAGCCCCCTCCACTATGAACTCTCGTAACTTTGCGGCCTAATAACTTTGCATGGATATTATCTTTTGAGCTTGTTTTGGTGTCATTCGACGTGGAATTTGATTCTGCATCGAATGATAGTCAAAATAGACAAAAGCAAAAGATTAGTGCTGAGAAAACCCTACAAAACCTTAGATTTCCAACGGCAAAGGGAACCGACAGATGTTTTTGTTACAAAACTAGTTTGTAGTGCCCATGTCTAGTCTGAAATCAGGCAATACATAAGCAAACTGCTTGGCAATCTAAGGTTTTGTAGGGTTTTCTCAGCACTAATCTTTTGCTTTTGTCTATTTTGACTATCATTCGATGCAGAATCAAATTCCGCGTCGAATGACATCAAAACGAACTCAAAAGATAATATCCATGCAAAGTTATGAGGCCGCAAAGTAATGAGGGCGGGGCTTAGGTTTTTAGTCAATAACTTTGCGTAGATATTGCATTTTGAGTTGATTTTGGTGTCAATCGACGCCCAATTTGATTCTGTATCGAATGACATCAAAACAAGCTCAAAGGGTAAGGTCCATGCAAAGTTATTGGCTAAAAACCTAAGCCCCGTCCACTATGGCCCCCCGAACTTGGCGGCCTAATAACTTTGCATGGATATTATCTTTTGAGTTCGTTTTGGTGTCATTCGACGCGGAATTTGATTCTGCATCGAATGATAGTCAAAATAGACAAAAGCAAAAGATCAGTGCTGAGAAAACCCTACAAAACCTTAGATTTCCAACGGCAAAAGGAACAGACAGATGTTTTCGTCTCCAGTACTGTTCCGTACAACAGAAAACTGGCCCTAGAAACAACCCTGGCTTTCACTAAACCCTTTCAGCATCACCTTAGCTATTGTTAGTTGACCTGCATTTGGATTTTAGTCACCATTTTCATCAGGATTGGCTTTAGAACCAAATTTTCAACGCCAGGCCATACCTGGCTTGATATGGCTGGCTTTAGTTGTCCGAAATTCATCCATTTAAGCTAACACCTTTAGCCAACCAATTGCCTGATATTTCTTTCAAAATCCCCCACAACGAACCCATTCGTGTGCCCTCCGAGAATCGACTCGACGCGCACATCCGAGATCGTCGTGTTCGTCTCGTCGTCCGGCTGAAAATGGGAAACTTTTTTTGCGCTAAGCATCAATCTGGATGTCACACAGTAGGGATTTTTCAAAATTTTCTCTCATTTCCAACTTTCCAACTTTTCACCAAATCAATCCCCCCGTGCATTCCAGTGCATTCCAGAATCGCTTTTGCCATTTTCAAATTCCACAAATGATGTCATTTGTGGCTATTTTCATCGCCGATAACCCGATTCACTCAAAATGGTGAGTCAGGATCCCTCAAAAATTTTCCCTATTCGATTCTCGGCAACCCCAAGGTGAAGACCGAATATCGATTTGGGACTAAAGATGAGTTTTTTTTTGTGGGGGGAATGGCGGTGATAAGGAGGGAAAGGGGACGATTCAGCGCCAAAGAGGAACCCAATTGTAAATCAAAAGTCGATTTTCTCTCCGGTTGCAGAGAAACGTCACTGTGAGTAGTTCAGGGGAAACTCTAGAAAGGGAATTGCAAATTTCGATGATTGATTGGGCATTTTGAGCAAGGCCAGCAAGGCCAATAAGGCCAGTAAGGCCGGTCAGCAAGGCTAACAAGCAAGGCTAGCAAGGCCTACAAGGCCAACAAGGCCAGTAAGGCCAGCCAGCAAGGCTAACAAACAAGGCTAACAAGCAAGCCAACAAGGCTAGCAAGGCCAACAAGGCCAACAAGGCTAGCAAGGCCAACCAGGCTAGCAAGGCCAACAAGGCCAACAAGGCCAGTAAGGCCAGCCAGCAAGGCTAACAAACAAGGCTAACAAGCAAGCCAACAAGGCTAGTAAGGCCAACCAGGCTAGTAAGGCCAACAAGGCTAGCAAAGCCAACAAGGCCAACAAGGCTAGCAAGGCCAACCAGGCTAGCAAGGCCAACAAGGCTAGCAAGGCCAACAAGGCTAGCCAGCAAGGCCAGCAAGCAAAGCCAGCAAGACCAGTAAGGCCAACAAGGCCAGCAAGGCCAACAGGGTCAGCCTGTCTGGCTAGCAAGGCCAACAAAGCCAGCCAGCAAGGCCAAAATTAGAGCCTGCCTACCGCTGATCCAGAAAATTGTTGGTTTGTACAAATGGATCAATATTAACTATCGAAAACAAAACAAAACTATGGAAAAAAAGAGCCAAAGAGTCTTTTCTAGCGGGTGAGATCGAACCCGGATCGAAGAAGAGCGAAGAATCGAACGTTCTACAAGACTCTTAACTACTCAGCCATGACAACACCAAGAAAGCGATTAGAAAAGAAGCTAAATCCTCCGCAATACTAACCATATTCTGTTGATAAAGTCGACTGTTTCGCAGATCGGAGAGAAGATCGGTTGGAATCGGTGAGCGGAGTGGTTGTTGCTGTTGAATGGGTGGCGGTGGGGGTGCGTAGTCCGGGAATTCCTGGAAATGTAAGCTTTGTACCAGTTCGAATAGCTAGAAAAGCTAGAAGAGCTAAAGCTAGAAAAGCTAGAAAATCTAGAAAATCTAGAAAATCTAGAAAAGTCTCAAAATCCTTTACAAAGTGATCAAATTGATTAGTCCTTTCTCCGATCTGGAACTCACCTCCTCTCTCGCCAAGATCCTCCCATGACTATCCTCCAAAACGATCTCTTCCGTAATCTCGGGCACAAGATCATAGTGATTTTCCTCTTCGTGCTGAAGAATGGGCAACTCGTCATGATGTGGTGCTTGTGGAGTAATCTCAGGCACAAGATCATAGTGATTTTCTTCTGCGTACTGAAGAATGGGCAACTCATCATGATGTGGTGCTTGTGGAGCAAAAGCGCGAACATGTGGCACATCTGAAACAACTAGATTCTTCGTAGCGCTTCTTAAAGCTTTTAACTTGACTTAACTACTTAAGAATTTCAAGAATTGAGTTTTCAACAACGAACTGATACAGAAACGCAATCCAATCAAATGAGCAGTTCCAATCGAATCACGGATTAGATTGCAACTGCTTAACTCTTAGTTTAATTGCTTTTTTGAAACTAACACAATATTTTACAGAATGTAGAATTTTCAATCAAAATTCAACCAAATTTAAGACAAAATTTTGCAAAAACGCCTTTGGAATGTCTATTTAAGGCCTTCACACCCTCGGCTCCAAGGCCCCTCGGTGGTGTAGTGGATAACAGCCTTGCTTCACGCGCTAGCTGAGCACCCTTTTGCTCGGGTTCAATTCCTTTTGCAGCTAAATCTTTTACTTTTTGGTTTATTTAGGTATTTCTTTCTAATTTTTGAATGTCTTAAAGGGTTTTTAGTGAGCATTTTGCAAAGGCGTTTTTGCCAAATATCTTGCAGCTAAACTGAGAGAATAAAGCAATTCGATTTGAGAGTTTTATCACTCGATTTCTCGGGATTGGCTACTCCAATCAACTTCTATTTTGTATTATTTGAAAGCCTGAAGTGTCTTCTTTTCACCTATTTAAACATTAATATTGATATTATTTTCTAGACAAATTTAAAGCATGAGTTCAAAGCTTAAAGCTTAAAGCCTAAGCTTAAAGCCTAAGCTTAAAGCCTAAGCTCAACGTCCAAGCTCAACGTTCAAGCTCAACGTTCAAGCTCAACGTCCAAGCTCAACGTTCAAAGCTGAAGCTTAAAGCCTAAGCTTAAAGCCTGAGCTCAACGTCCAAGCTCAACGTCCAAGCTCAACGTTCAAGCTCAACGTTTAAGCTCAACGCTCAAGCTCAAAGTTCAAAAATCCCTTAAACAACTTAAAGCCTTAAGCTCAAAAGACTCACTCTGATATTCTCCGTCATTTCCTCCAGTGATCGTCGAATCAGACTCATCAGAAGCAACAGTGTGATACGATTGAGTCGATTTTTGTGAATTGATTGAGCTCAAGGATTTCTGGGATTTCTGGGACTTCTGGGACTTCTGGGACTGCTGGGATTTCTGAGATTGATTAGAGACGATCGACGCGGTTCGAGAGTGATCCTTTGAATGGAAAGAAGAGGCCGGCTTTGACTCATTTCCGCCCATTGTAAGCGAGTGTCTCTGGAATTCGATGTACTTTATGCTCAAATCTTGCAAACGCACACCTCCTGGTACACTTCAGATTCTTTATTTATATCAGGAACGTACTAGGAAATCAAAAAAACCCAGAAAACCCTTTGCGTTTACAAAGCTTGAGTTCAAGTACAGAAAAAAGCTGATCTTTTAAGGAGTGAGTTGGACTTTATAGCTGTAAACAATCGGCTTCTAGTGCACTGAAGTCTTTGCAAGGCTTGGACTGAGTTCAGTGCACTGGAAAAGGCTTGGGCTGAGTTCAGTGCACTAGAAAAGGTGTGTTTACAAGGTTTACAAGGTTTAACAACCTTTTATAACCTTTTACTACCTTTAACAACCTTTAACAACCTTTAAGAACCTTTTACAACCTTTAACAACCTTTTACAACCTTTAAGAACCTTTTTACAACCTTTTACAACCTTTAACAACCTTTAACAACCTTTTACAACATTTTACAACCTTTAAGAACCTTTTTACAACCTTTTACAACCTTTAACAACCTTTTACAACCTTTTACAACCTTTAAGAACCTTTTCCAAGCTATCTACCTCAGCCAAGGCCGAATCGATCTTGTGCAGCGTGTCTTCAGAAGTGTTCGACGTAGCGTTCGACGAGGCGGTGGAATGAACCCGCGCCGAGCGAGGCGCAAGCGACGATTGCGTGGAAACGAGTGAGTCCTGAAAGCGAGCATTATCCAGCCCCCTTAGTCACTATGCTCAATCTGCTGAGTCAATATGCTCAATCTGGATATCACGTGATCGATCTAGGCAATGAAATCAGAGATTCGATCAATTTCAGAAAAAACAAATGGACATAGTGAACTCTGGGAGGTGTAAAAGCCAAATTTTAGCTTTCTTTCTTTAGCTTTCTTTTCTTTGCTTTCTTTTTCGTTCACGGATAGCTCGGGTGCCCAAAAACCCAAAAATTCTTTCACAAATTTACCCTTTTCAACGAGTGTTGATCGTCGTGAGTGGCCAATTGAGCCAGCTTTTCGTTCACTGATTTCACGTCGTGTGAAGAGATGGACGATGAATGGAAATGAGTTTCATTCGATGTTTCGTGATGCGTTGTGATCGAGTGCACCTGAGAAATCGATTTTAGGAGAATTCGTTTAGCAGAAGTGCTTGATGAAGAGAAATGATGTAAAAATGTAAATCCTAGGGCACTAAGGCCTTGCTGGCCTTGCTTGCTGGCCTTGCTTGTTAGCACTAGCGCACCAAATCAAAGAGGGAAAATTGTAACAGCTTGAAAAAATTACTTTAAACTTAAGCTGGATGTCATGGAGCCGATTTAGGCAATGAAATTAGAGATTTGATCAATTTCAGAAATTTTCTATAACATGGTGGACTAGATGGGTGTTCAAATAGTGCAAATAGGCTTTTATACCCTTTGCCATTGGCAATCGGCCCCTTTGCCATTGGCAATCCACCCCTTTGCCATTGGCAATCCGATATTGGCATTGGCACTGTACAGATACATTGACACTGTACAGATACAGAGGGGAAACTTGTCCAGAGCCTGGCCAGCGCTATGCTAGGTCTCAGGAAGTCATGAGCCTGCCTCAGACCAGGCAAAGCCGGAAACCAGACCAGCGCCTGGCTCCTAGTTTGCATTAAAGCCAGGGCCAGAGCCTAGGACCTAACTTTCTGATTGTGGGAAATTTGATACGCCCCTTTGCCATTGGCAATCCGACTTTGAGCTCAAATATCTCGGCGTTGAGCTGTCCAATTGAAAAAGTTTTTGTACCAATCGATAGAGAAAGACTTGGCGCATCGAATGATACCAAGAATAGCTAAATTGGACAGCCGAGCGCCAAGATATTTGAGCTCAAAGTTGGATTGGCAAAGGGGGCGGGGCCAGAAAGACTTTTTATACGCGTCCCGCCCTCTTTGCCATTGGCAATCCAACTTTGAGTTCAAATATTATCGGCTTTGAGCTGTCTTAGTATTGAGGCGTTCAATTTAAACAATTTTTCTACCAATCGACAGAGAAAGTTAGATTGCCAATGGCAAAGGGGCGGGGCGTTCCTTATATACGCACAAATGTCCGATAACTAGCTGGAGATGCTTTTCCCATTTTTTTAAATCCTTTTGAACGAACCTGATGACTATCGATGTGCTTTTGCGTGCTCGAGTGGTACTCGGTGTGATCGTTGGACGGCTGAAAGAGTTGAAATGAAAGTTGAAAGATGTATTTCAATTTGAATGCAAAATGGAAACTTTTGGCAGCTTTCAATACGCCAACTTTAGGGTTTTAAAAACGTGGCTTCTGGGTTTGTTGAAAAAGTTGGCTAGATTTTTGCATATTCACACTGCTTTAGCGTTGCCAATCGATGTGCTAACTAAAAGTAAGTTAGATTCCTATTGACGTGAGGTTTGGCGCGATAGTGGCGCGAGCGCGCTTTCTAATGCGTGGATGCGCTACCGTACCCCGCACAAAAATTCCGTTTTGCCATTCCTTTCATTTGCCTGCATTCCATGATGGAATCGGAAACTTTGTCCGACTTTTATGCCGAGGTTTTTAAGTTTTAAGTTTTCTTCTCCCTACATAAAATCTATTATTTTTTGTGGCGCGTTTTTAAATTACTCTCTCTCTTTCCCCTCGTTCGTTTCCTCCTTTTTATATTGTTTGCCCATAGTTTATTGTTTAAAATTCTAATACAGTGTTATTTCGTTTTTTTCTTGGCTTCTTTCACTCTATTGTTTTGAATCCGTTCATACATGCCGTATAAACTCACCTTAACCAATTCCTTTTAACTAAAACGCAAATCGAAATAATCTGCGGTGCTTTGGTGATTGGGAGAGGCGATTTTTTTCCTGGCTTAGTTGAATCTAATGTTTTGAGTGGTTGTATTGGTGTTGTTACCCTTTTATCTACCTTTTCTAGGGTAATCAAGTATGCTTAATAGATTGGTATAGTAATAGTAATAGGTATAGTAATAGCTTAATAGATTTTAGCAAGTTTTTGGCAATTCTAGCCTAGTTTCATGTACTTTAACCACTAAACGCTACCTCAAAGCTTGTGCGCTACCTTTTAGAGCATGTTTCCCCCGCCCGGGGGAAAAAAAAAAGGGGCCTTACCCCCCTATTTTACGCAACGTTTTAAACTTTCCCCCCCCCCCCCTTCCCCCCTTTCGCAAACGCCCCCCGTTCCTTTCGCCCCCTAATCCTTCGGCCCCCGATAACGGACCCCCCCGCCCTGTTTCAAGTAATCAAATAAGCTTATACGAAATGTTTCAAGCAAGTTTCATATTACCGTTTTATTTTGCTTTTCAAGTTTAAGCAGCTTTGAGGTAGCGTTTAGTGGTTAAAGTACATGAGATTAGGCTAGAATTGCGGCCAAAAACTTGCTAAAATAGTCACTAATCTATTAAGCACATTTGTTTACCTTAGAATAGATAATAGATCAATACAACCACTCAAAACCTTCGATTCAACTAAGCCATGATAAAAGTGTCCCCTCCCAACCACCAAAGTACCGATCTTCTTGTTACCTATTCTTGGGTTTCGTGTCAAATCATTTTAGAAAAGGGTTGGTACGTCTAAAGGTGTTAGGTAAAGGAGTTAGTTATTAACTCTTAGTGAGTCTTAGTCTTAGTGTCACAATATGGTGCATGCTTCTTAGAATTTTTTTAGTAATTTTCTTTGCAAAAGGCTAACTCTTTTTATTTACAGGTAGAAAAATCGAGTAGCAAACGTCAATCAAGATGCCAATCAAGAGAAAGCTCGGGACATTTCCAAGGCCAATCAAGCAGTTCAAGAAATGCTTGCCTGCTTGCCAAGAAGCTCTGCCGATGAAGAATTTGACGTCATTTCGGATGGAGAAGTTGTGTTATGACCTGAAGTTGGAAGTCTTGGAACAAATGGACGCAAAAGATATCGTCGAATTGGCCAAGGTCAATCAGGGATTTCGAAAAATGCTTGCCCGGGATCCAACACTCGTTTTTGGTCGTCATCTTCATTCAATTTGCATCAAATATCGCCAAATTGGACTCAAGAAGTTTCCCGAATCACCGCCAATCAAATGGAATGCCATTCACTTCCCTTTCATCATAAAGATTTATTCTTGTGACTTCTTAAGCGTGACCTCATGTGATTCCTTCAATGATGTGATCGATTTTCTCAAGCAATTGGGCTCGGTGAAAAGCTTGTGTCTTTACGTGGATGAAAGCGAAAATTTGGCGAAACTCCTTGAAAGTTTTCGTCTGTCGATCAACCACTTTGTCGCGTTGCACCGGAAGTTTTCCGCATTAGAAGAGGACGACTCGGTGCGAGCTTTGCTCAAGGATTTCATTCGGAAAAAGCTTAATGAGTGCATGAAAGTCCGGTTTCACTGTGGATCCCAAAGTGAACTCGATTTCTATTATGAGGCCTTTGTCAAGACTCAAGTGAGATTTATGACTTGGCAAACGAAAAAACGATTTTGGGGATCGGTTCCTGGTGGGATTGTTGAACATGGAGTGCCCAGTGGACATAAAGACGCAAGCGTCTTTGTTATGCTTGCTCCCGAGTATACGGGTTATTCACTTGACTGGATTAACTGGGCTTTTATGCATCTCGCAAGGGGATATGTCACCGGAGAAAAAACTCGTCCACTCATCGAAATGGCAAATGAACATTTGAAAGTCACTCATGACAAGGGAATGAACTTCAACGAAAGAAACAGTCAGTGCTTTCGACGCAAATTCGATTCGTCGTCGGACTGCATTTACGTCTTCAACGAAGAAAAGATATTCTTTGCCAAGTGCGTGCCAAGGGATGAGTGAAATATTGATGTTTTAAGTTTTTATCTATTTTGCGAATGTACATAATGTTTTCGTTTTAGCGTTTTGTTGGTTTAATAATCATTTCTTTCACTTTGCACATAAATAAATCGTTGATATTTGTTTGTTAGAGAATTTTGGCGTGGTTAACAGGTCCCCAGTGTTTCTTGAAATTAAATGACAAATTTCATTTGTCCCATTTTTTAGTTTCAATTCACGAATGATGTTTTTTTATTTTCAGATACGAGAATGCCTATTGAAACTCGGGCACAAAAGCCAGAAGCAAAGGCAAGAAGCAAAAGCAAGAAACCGAAAGAATGAAGATCGGTGATTAGCCGATGTAGCTAGAAGATCGCACGACTTCTCACACCGGAAGACGTGCTGAAATTGATGATGGCAAACAAACGACTTTACTCGAGCTACCTGAGCGACCAATCGATCGTTTTCGGACCTCATGTTCACTCGATGCATATAGATGAGCCCTGCGGTTCGATTAAGGAATTCTCTACTTTCTCTGGATATCGAATCTGTTTTGACCATCTTCAATTGATCAAATGAATCAACGCAACGATCAAACGATCATTCATGTAATACGCTCTGATGGATTGTGGCGACAATGCATCAATGTTGAATATAAAATGATCCTGAGGCAACTGAAACCGGTGAAGGAACTGAGCTTTGAGGGCTCAAATGAGGATTGCAAGAGATTCTTCATCAACTTCCGCGCATCAGATTGGTCAAAAAGGAGGCAGTGTTAGCCTTTGACTTCAGAGAACAATCACTGAAAGAGGAACTCAAAGATTTTGTCGAAAAACGCATGGAGTGCGAAAAGATCACCGTGTTTTGCGACTTTTCTGAAGAAAACGACTAACGATCTTCGCGTCGATTCGGAGTCGATTTATTTGATTGTTTTTGTATTAATAAAGTAGTCTCTTCAATCTCTTCCACGTTAGCTACAATGCCTTGACAAAGACGCAGATTGAATTTGCACAAATCGGTAGGGCTGATTTGAACTTAGTCATTCTTGTCAAGCATGGAATTCCGAGCCAAAATCCAGAAGCAAGTTTCTACGACTGCATCACCAATTCGAATGATTCGAATGGTTCGACTGATTCGACTATCCAGAATTGTGAAATCATTACCTTTCTTACTAATTACCCGGGGAAAAAACAACTTCGTGGAGAAAATCGTTTACCAGTGCTGAGTCGCCAAGAAATTGTGAGAAGGCTTTGAGAACTTCGAGTTGAAAATTTTGTGCCTCCGTCGTCGAATCAATTCAACGGTTCAAATCAATCAATCAATCAAAAGACGGCGTTTAGATGCTCCAAGCCAACGAGTTTAATTAAATCCACTTTTATGCGTTTTACATGTCATCTCAATGAAATGATTGATTTTAGCTTTTTCGTGCTGTTTTGTTTGATGATTGTTGTGTTTAATGTTGTTTGGTTTATTTCTGTATTTCACATACCGGATTTCCTAAAATTGAACCCCATGAGGCTCTATTTTTTCATGGCCCCTCCAGGGTGGGGCTCTACTAGAGGGATGGGGTTCAATTACAGGAAATACGGTATATTAAAGTTAAGGTTTGGATAACAATAAATCATTAAAAGGATGCTTTGGTGTGAAATGAGTAAAAGTTGTATGCTTTTAAAGGTATCTTTGATTGTTAATCGGGAAAGTTTAAGCTGTGAAGGATTTTTTGGATAAATTTGGTCTTTCCGTTTGGCCGTTAGTGTATTGAAAAGTTTGCCCCGTTGATTTGAATAACTCGCAATGAACATTTAAAGAAATGGGCTTTATTAGAAAGATCGAAAATATGGTAAGTAAATTTTACGATGCTTAGCCTTGCTAAATATTTTTTACAGTAACAATTTGCCGAACCTTTGCAGTGGTGACAGGCGGCAGAGTGACCGCGCTGAAAACCGCGTCGAGAAGACCTAAACAAATTTGATTAAATACCAAAAACAATTGGATATTGGATTGAACAGTTTGATCTAAAAGAAAGCTAACTTCGAGAGCTAAAGCTAAAGAAAGCTAACTTCTTGTATCTTTCAAAGACAATCAAAAACTTTCAATGTTTACCCATTGTTTTTTCCTCAAAAAGGGAAAGTGCGAAAATTTTGCGCCCATAAAAACGTGAATCAAAGCAAATAGGGAAGGGTTTGGCTTCGAAAATTTCTATTTTCTCAGGAGATTTTACGAAATTTAGTTAATTTTTATAAAAATGCGAAGGAGTTATCATCGATTTCTTGAGATTTTTGAATATTTTCAAATATTTGAATGGTCAAAAACGAACTGTCATTGTCGGCGGTCATTTCCAAAAACAAGACGAGAGTCGGGCCAAGTTCTCTGAAAAATTTGAAACATTAAAGCAAATAAAAAAGGAAATAAAATAAATAATAAATGGCAGGAAGGCAGATAAAATTATTTTTTTGATGAAATTTCATGTAAAAGTGATTAAAGTGAATCGATTAAACAATAATTTATCTAGTATTAAAAGATGGAATCGATTTTCCAAGTCCTTTCAGAGTACAGGGTTGTCCAGGGCTAGCTCTATCGACAGATAAATGCTAAATGGCTAAATCCATTTAGCAAAACTGCTAGATGTTAAATCGGTAAATGCTAGATGGGAATTAGTAAATAGTGTCGTGGATCCGGGCCCGGACTTTGGCATAACAAGTACTACAATATAGCTATTCCCTATGGGTCTTCGATCCTTCTTTCTCTCTTCCGATCTGATTTGTGGTGAACGCGCGTAATTTGCGTATGGCAATTATGCCGTATATAAGCCGACCTCATCCTCTCAATCATGATTCAATCTTCCGGTATCTTGATCTTGATCATCGTCTCCTCGATCTGATCGAGGCGACGATGATCAAGATCGAGTGATCTCTCCCAAAGTCGCACCTCCAAAAAAAGCAAATAAAATAAATAATAAATGGTAGGAAGGCAGATCAAATGATTTTTTTTAATCCAAATTCAAAGTTATTTTAATCCAGTTTAAGCCAATCCTAAGCCATTTTAAGCTAAGTTTAAGCCATGTTAAGCTAAGTTTAAGCCATTTTAAGCTACTCTAAGCTATTTTAATCCAGTTTAAGCCAATTCTAAGCCATTTTAAGCTAAGTTTAAGCCATTTTAAGCTACTCTAAGCTATTTTAATCCAGTTTAAGCCAATCCTAAGCCATTTTAAGCTAAGTTTAAGCCATTTTAAGCTACTCTAAGCTATTTTAATCCAGTTTAAGCCAATTCTAAGCCATTTGAAGCCATTTGACGCCAATTCTAAGCCATTTGAAGCATAAGAGATTTCAAAAAGCATAATTCATTTCGTTCACGATATCCAAAAAATCGTGAAAAAGATTTGAGCTCTGAGGCCAAGAATCATCCCAAAAAAAATGCGACCAAAAATCGATTTCCCCCATCCCATAAAAATACGGTACTTTTGAAAGAAAGATGATAAGAAAAATGAACGAAAAGAGAAAAAACACAAAAATTTAGCGGAGCCGAACAGCCGAACAAAAAAGATTTCAAAGAATTTGAGGAATTTTTTTGTTGAGATTTTTGAACGCTAAAACGCTTTTTGAACGCTAATAGATGTGACAAAGAGAGTTGTTTGTTTATGTTAACGAATTTATGCATCTTTCAACCCCTATTGTCAGCGATTCTGAAACCAGGGGCTAAGCTGGAGCGCACAGCACAGTTTGAGTGTGCTTTAAAAGTGGAAATGATGATTTTGAAGGGAAAATGATTTTAAAAGGAAAACTGATTTTGTATCAAGAATTTTTGAGAAAATTCTGAAACCAGGGGCTAAGCTGGAGCGCACAGCACAGTTTGAGTGTGTTTTAAAAGTTGATTTTTGTCCTTTTCGAACGCTAATAGATGTGACAAAGAGAGTTGTTTGTTAATATTGTTTGTTTATGTTAACGAATTTATGCATCTTTCAACCCCTATTGTCAGCGATTCTTCTGGGAAAAGCAAAGTGTCGACTACGAGAAAAAAAAATGTGTTTTGAGCTTAAGATCACGAGAAATCACAAAGCGGAATTCAAAACCATTTTTTGTGTGGCCAGTTTGGGGTATATTGGGCCAGATTGGGGCACATTGGGCCATATAGGGGCATATTGGGCCAAATTGGGGCATATTGGGTCATATAGGGGCATATTGGGCCAAATTGGAGCATATTGGATCATATAGGCGCATATTGGACCAGATTGGGGCATATTGGGTCATATTGGACCAGACTGGGGCATTTTGGGTCATATAGGCACATGTTGGACCAGATTGAGCCATATAGGGGCATATTGGGCCAGATTGGGGCACATTGGGCCATATAGGGGCATATTGGGCCAAATTGGAGCATATTGGATCATATAGGCGCATATTGGACCAGATTGGGGCATTTTGGGTCATATTGGACCATATTGGGCCAGATAGTGGCATATTGGGTCATATTGGACCAGATTGGGTCAGATTGGGTCATATTGGGGTATATTGGGCCAGATTGGGCTAGATTGGGGCATATTGGGTCATATAGGGGCATATTGGACCAGATTAGGCCAGATTGGGTCATATTGGGGTATATTGGGCCAGATTGGGCTAGATTGGGGCATATTGGGCCAAATTGGGGCATATTGGGTCATATAGGGGCATATTGGACCAGATTGGGCTAGATTGGGGCATATTGGGCCAAATTGGGGCATATTGGGTCATATAGGGGCATATTGGACCAGATTGGGGCATTTTGGGTCATATAGGCACATATTGGACCAGATTGGGGCATATTGGGCCATATAGGCGCATATTGGACCAGATTGGGGCATATTGGGCCATATAGGGGCATATTGGGCCAGATTGGGGCATATGGGGGCAGATCGGGTGCGACTCTCCCAAAGTCGCACCTCCTTGATGCACACAGAAACGCTGTGTCTTCCGAAGCGGATCCTCTTCAGGAGGGATCCTCTTCACACCTAAGCGATCACCGGCTTCCTCCTCATAAAAATTTTTTGCTGTGATCACTCTTTGCTCTCCCACAACACACTAGCAGACTTTCATCGCAGAATTAAATGCGAAATGGCAAAGATCGTTGCCTCTACAAGGTGCAAAAACTTTAAAATAGCAAAAAGTTAAAGTAGTTTTCTTCCAAAGACATCCTCACAGGAAACAAATCAATTCTTAACGAGAATTCTCAACGACAATTCTCAGCGGCAATTCCTAATGACAATTCTTAACGCCAATTCATAACGCGAATCCTTAACGAGAATTCTCAACGCCAATCCTCAACGCCAGTCCTTAACGCCAATTCTCAACGACAATTCTTAACGACAATTCTTAACGCCAATCCTTAACGCCAATTCTTAACGCCAATTCATCACGACAATTCTTAACGACAATTCATAACGCCAATTCTCAACGCCAATCCTCAACCCCAATTCTCAACCCCAATTCTTAACCCCAATTCTTAACGACAATGCTCAGCGACAATGCTCAACGCCAATTCTCAACAACAATGCTCAACACCAATTCTCAACGATAATTCTTAACGCCAGTTCTCAACGATAATTCTTAACGACAATCCAAAACCTTTCTTTTTCATTTATCGTTAGAAAAATCTATTCTAAACAGAAAGCGGATAAAATAAACAAATCTGGGCTAATCTTATCTTAATCTTATCTTAATTTTATCTTAATTTTATCTTCAAGTACATCAAAAAATCGAAGAATCAATGAAAAACCAATCCGCTCATCAGGATTATGAAAATTTTTAACAAAGCTGACATAAAGCTAAAAACAATGAGCGAACAATGAATTGGATTGGATGGAAATGAGAGAAAAACCCACGGATCACTGATAAAATGAAAGAAAAGAACAAGAAAAAGACAAAAAAGGGGGGTAAACGGGAAAACGGGGAAAAACGGAGTAGAAGTGCCACGATTCCCCCAATTTTCTTTTCTTTTTAGATTCGATTTGTTTGAGAAGAGATAAGACTGGGACAACCATCAAATTCCCTTGAATACACCAATCAAAAATTTCTCCACTTTTTCTGATTTTTGCTTCTTCTTGAAAAGAAAGATGACGAAAGAGGGGAAATCATGATTTTGAAGGGAAAAATGATTTTGAAGGGAAAACTGATTTTGTATCAAGAATTTTTGAGGAAATTATGAAACCAGGGGCTAAGCTGGAACGCACAGCACAGTTTGAGTATGCTTTAAAAGTGGAAATGATGATTTTGAAGGGAAAAATGATTTTAAAGGGAAAAATGATTTTGTATCAAGAATTTTTGAGGAAATTATGAAACCAGGGGCTAAGCTGGAACGCACAGCACAGTTTGAGTGTGCTGGAAGTTGAATTTCGAGATTTTACAAACATTGGACTTCTGGTGCAGTGAATTCTTTCATTTTCTTATATAAGCTACCGTTTTTCGTAAGCTACCGTTATAAACCGCAAGTTCTTTTCGTTTAAAGCCTGCGAAAGTTGACACAAATTGAAAAGTAACGTATTTTGTGCTCGAAATTCTTAAACGCAGCTTTTCTGGTGCACTCACGTCTTCAGCTTTCTTGCTTTCTTGGTGTCGCAAGAAGAAAGAAGAATTCAGCGTCAAATTTGAGCTCAAAGTAGCTCGCAGTTCGTCTTTTCTTTGATACAATCAGTCAGAAATCACATTTGAGCAGAAATTCCGAGTTACAAGCATAGAAAGTAGCTAAAATGATGCGCCAGTTGAGGAAAATAGCAGCCGGTCGACTGTCGTTTCGATTTTGTCCGGCGTTTGACTTTGCTTTTTGCTTCTCTTAGCTCTAAATGCTTTGAGTATTCTCTATCGCACAAACGTACAGCATCTGGCACACCATTGCCACATATACATACACCCAATGACCATCCAACATCGCCAAAACACTCAAGCCATTCAAAGCTAAAAGAAGAAAAAACAAAATCAGCGGCCGGACTCGAACCCGAGGGCACCTGCTTCGTATCCAAGCCCACTACCACTCAGCCACCACGACATCTGTTTCCCCGCTCTGGTAAGTCAAGTTATAACCTCAAGGTCTTTTTTCTGAGATTCTCTACAAAACAAAAATCACTCCTCGAGTTTATAAGCGGATTTTCCCAGGATTTTCTAGAGACAATGGTGAGCGAGTGGTAGTGGGTTAGAATACAAAGCCAAGCCTGTCGAGTTCGAGTCCTTCATCTGCTATTTCTTTGACATTTTTTGGAATTTGCAAAGTTAATTATTCTCTTTTTCAAATCAAATTCAATTTTCAGTAATAGTAGTAATAGTACAAAGTAGACTTCGGCAAACAAAACCAAAACCAAAACAGACCAAAACCAAAACCAAAACCAGACCAAAACCAAGACCAAAACCAAAACAGACCAAAACCAAGACCAAAACCAAAACCAAAACCAAAACCAAAACACCAAAACCAAAACACCAAAACCAAAACACCAAAACCAAAACACCAAAACCAAAACAAACCAAAACTCAATTTGCATATAAATTAACATGTAAATTTAAAATTGTAAAATGTAAATTTAAAATTGCAAAATGCAAATTTTAATGTAAAATGCAAATTTAAAATTGTAAAATGCAAATTTTAATGTAAAATGCAAATTAGCCTTTCACTTTTTCTCACTCCACAAAATCTCGCGGCCGAAAAAAGGACCAAAACACGACCTCGAAATTTCGAAACAAAAAATAGCCTATGGGATAGACTTTTGGATGCTGATTTCAAATCTGCAAACAGATTTTCGCTAGCTCCTCCCAGTCGCGAGATATTGGCGAGTTTTGGTTAGTTTTGGTTTTGGTTTTGGTTTTGGTTTTGGTTTTGGTTTTGGTTTTGGTTTTGGTTTTGGTAGTTTTGGTTTTGGTTTTGGTAGTTTTGGTTTTGGTTAAGTTTTGTTTTCCGGAGTCTAGTACAAAGTATATAGGATTTGGTATATATTATACAAAATATAGAAAACTAGCGAATGGAATCGACCATCCAGAATATCTTGTTCACAGATGAAAAACCGTTGAAGGCCTTCTTAACAAGCAAAATGATCGAATATGGGCCAAATCTCAACCGATCGCTACGGTTTCTCGAATTGCACATCCAGAAGAGCTCGATGAAGCCTATTTGGTTGCCACAAATCGCTCAAAATCAAAGCCAAAGCAGCAAAAGCCAAAGCCAAAGCAGTCAAAGCAGCCAAAGCCACACAAAATGCTCGAAGCCACACAAAATGCTTGAAAAGCCTCGAAAGCTTGAAGAAATCACTGTTGAATGGGTGAGAAGAGCTCGATCCAGTCTATTTGACTGTTGACGTGACTATTTGACCGTCGTTGACGCTTTCCCGAAAGTCTGCGAGCCTTCTCAAATGCTAATGGTGGCCGAGATTCGAATTTGATAGTTCATTTATGATTGTTAATGTACAATAAATGTTATTCAGTTAAAAATTGTCTTTATTGCTCTTGCCTGCGTTAAAATCAGAACTTTATCTTGTTGTGACAACTATGGCGCATCGCTCGAGCGATGATCGTTTGTCGATGGGGATTTTCTAGTTCACCAACCGGCTTTACAACATTTTCGCTATTTTGCTTTGGCTATTTTGCTTTGGCTATTTTGCTTTGGCTATTTTGCTTTGGCTATTTTGCTTTGGCTATTTGGCTCTGGCTATTTTGCTTTGGCTATTTTGCTTTGGCTATTTGGCTCTGGCTATTTTGCTTTGGCTATTTTGCTTTGGCTATTTTGCTTTGGCTACAGGGTGATCAGAAAATACGGCGAATTTTTTGCGCATCGTCAAATTTAGCCCTCAGCACTTTTAAAAAAGATTTATCTCGAAAGTTTAACAAGAATTAACAACTTCAAGCTCAACAATAACTTTTCTATCAAAAATTCCTACATTAAATGTTCAAAATTTCCACCTTTGGCCTCAACACATTTGCTAAGCCGCTTCGGAAAGTTCTGAATGATGGTCGCGCATTCTTGCGTTGTAATTTCGCTCCAAGCGCGAGTCAAGGCCGTTTTCAAACCGGCAACCGTGGTGTATCGATACTTGCGAAGCCTTTCTTCAAGAATTGACCACACAGAAAAGTCCAATGGGTTCAAATCTGGTGCGTTTCCCGGCCACACATCCTTGTCCCAAAATCCAGGAAAGAGCTGCTGACAGAGCTGTCGAGTGGAAGTAGCGCCATGGGCTGGAGCCCAGTCTTGTTGTAGAACAAAACCGCTTTGGCCAAAGTGTTTTGCAACCCAGGGAACTAAAACATCCTTTAGAACCTTTTGTTGATACACGGAAGCGTTGATTTTGACGTTGCGATCGATGAAGACAAGAGGTGTCTTTCCGCTTGAACACACCCCGGCCCATACCATGACAGAAGCTGGAAAATGACGCCTCACCATAATTTTTGCTGCGAAAGTGTTCTTAAGACCTTTCTTCAACAGCTGGCGATGATTTTGAAAGTTGTGCTTTGGCTCGATGGTAAAAATTTTCTCATCTGTGAATAAGACCTTATCAAGATTCTGTCCAGTGACCAGTCTCTTCATCAATCGCGCTCGCTGTAGTCTCTTTGCTTTCATAGGATCGTCCAAGAAGTGTGCCCGGGCAATCGGAAAGACCCTAAAATTCAAAGATTATTAATCAGAACAACGTAAACAAGCATTATAGAAAAGAAACATCACAAAAACCAAAGAAAAACTTGATATCAAAAGGTCGAGAAAAAATTCGCCGTATTTTCTGGTCACCCTGTATTTGGCTTTGGCTATTTGGCAGTTTAACAATTCAGCCTACAATTTGTGAATTTACACTTTTCAAATCGTTATTTGGTGTGCTTTGTCAAAAAATTTTCTGTTTTTTTTGGTTGGCTAATTTTTTCAAGGTCAAGGGTTCAATTTTAAATGAAAAATTGAATTTTATATCGTATTTTATTCGTTATTCTTTGTCTATTATTGAATTCTAGCTAATTCTTTAAGGGTTTTTTTTAATATTTCCTGTATCTAGACCAAGAAATTTAGAAAAAAAAAGAAAAACCAGAGAATAAACTCCAAATTTTCAATCACAATCATGTTAAATCCTGAAAAATTTGACAAATTTGACAAATTCGATAGCGAAATTTACATTTTAAGCACAAAAAATGACAAAAAAGGCAGAAAATGACAAAAATGACAAAAAATGACAAAAAAATGAGAAATGCAAAGGTTCGACCAAATTTTTTAACTGAATAACTTGAGATTTCGATGAGAGAATGCGAGGTGTTGAAATGGGGCAAAAATCGAGGGAATTCCTGAGGTAAGTGGGGGTTTTGAGAGGAAAATCGACCATTCTGGATGTCACGAAAGAAAAAGGGCGAGTTTAGAAATGTACATATTTGTGTTATCTTTTGGGCAACGGTTACGGTAGCTTGGTTATATAAGGCGGGTACTTTGTGCTCTCCGGTAAACGCTCTCCTTTGGCACACTCGCTTGTGTTTTGAGGGGTGTACCAGAGAGCGAAAAGCGCGCAACAAGATCGTCAAGTTACCGTAATCTTTGGCTCATTTACAGTCACCCGTAAGTGGCGAGACCTTTTTGCGGAAATATTTTCAATACGGTCGTTGAACCGATTGTCCATAAGACATAAACGAGTTTTGCTGCTGTTGCGGGGATTGGAAACCGACCTGAAAATCGTTTAAAGCTTGAGAAAAAATGATTTTACTTTCAATTTTGCTTATTGAACTTTTTATACGCGCCCCACCCCCTTTTGCCATTGGCAATCTAACTTTGAACTCAAATTTCTTGGTGTTGAGCTGTCCAATTTAGCTATTCTTGGCATCATTAGATGCGGCAAGTCTTTCTCTATCGATTGGTGTAAAAACTATTTAAATTGGACAATCCAAAGTCGAGATATTTGAGCTCAAAGTTAGATAGGAAAAAGGGGCGGAGCGCGTATATAAGAAACGCCCCACCTCCTTTGCCATTAGCAAGCTAACTTTCTCTGGTACGAAAACTATTTAAATTGGACAGCCCAGCAACAAGATATTTGAATTTAAAGCTGGATTGCCAATGGAAAAATGGGCGGGGCGCGTATATAAGAAATGCCCCACCTCCTTTGCCATTGGCAACCCACCCCCCCACCAACCCAAGTCTAAAGTTTGTCTCACCCCCCCCTGGCATCCCTTCATCCGCAACAGTTACATTTGCGTAAACGTTTCCATTCACCGGGGTGGCCCAAAAAAAGTTTCAATAAAATTTCATAATTTTCAAGTCCACACATCTTTCGGGAGCACTCAATTCCTTCAATTTTCTCAAAAAGCATCACTTTGCTTTTGAAAAACGAAGAATTTGATGCACTAGAAGGTGTGGGTTTTTACATTTTGAGCAAAACCACAACAATAAAACCAGAAGAAAGGGTAAGTCTCAAGCCTTGTAGCAAGAATTAGAAAAAGCCAGTGATGTGTGGCTTGGCTTTGTAAGGCTTAGGCTTAGGCTCAGGCTCAGGCTAGGCTTAGGCTTAGGCTTAGGCTTAGGCTTAGGCTCAGGCGCAGGCTAGGCTTAGGCTTAGGCTCAGGCTTAGGCTCAGGCTCAGGCTAGGCTTAGGCTTAGGCTCAGGCTAGGCTTAGGCTCAGGCTCAGGCTAGGCTTAGGCTTAGGCTCAGGCTAGGCTTAGGCTCAGGCTCAGGCTAGGCTTAGGCTTAGGCTCAGGCTAGGCTTAGGCTCAGGCTAGGCTTAGGCTCAGGATTAATAGGATAAACTAGGAACCAGTAGTTAGGTTGAAATTTGGCCAATTATGAAATTCTGAAAGTTTATTTTTAGTACGGGAAGCACGTCAAAGCTCAACAATGACAACATCAGCGAAGTCGTGGAGGCATCCGGTCGTTGAGCGGAAAAGGAAAAGGAAATGCGGCCACAGATGGACGACCGGTTTTGGTTTGAACAAAGCGATGACGATCTTCCGATCAATGCTGAAGTGTTGCTGAAGGTGTGAGCCGGAAAGATCAAACTTGCACCCACGCCTAAAATCCTGTAAGTTTTAGCCTTGATGGTTTTTATTAATAGATTGTTGATCAACATTTTTAGAATCAAGCTCGATCACGATGGCTGCCCAAAGCCAGCTGCTCGACAAGGATCCACTTTTCTTCAACAAACAAATGCTTGAACATGGTGCGCACAATGATCAATGCAACTGATTAGTAGTATTATTGAATCTCTAAATATTGTCTTTTAGATAAATGCAATACAATTTCTTCAGACGATCGTAGCGAGTTGTGCGCTTGCAATCAGACCTCAGAGTTTGTTGATTTTTACGTATTTGATTGCCTTTTTAGCGTTCAATCACTAATCCCTGCAAACAAGGAAAAACAACTGACTTTTGTTGAGTCAAAGGATATTATAAGGTAAGTGGAATAAAGGCTTAGATTTTAAATCATTTTAGTTATACTGCACAGAAGCTGCGTAAGGACATTTTCCACAAAGGAGCCTCATCTCACACGAAAAAAAAGGAAGAAAAAAGGCGACTTCAAAATGAAAACAATACCAAATTTTCTCTACTTGACTCCATTTATTCGCACGTTTGTGATCATGTACACAATTTCGACTTATTCTTTTTAATGGACTCGGTTTGTTTGAGAAAAATTGGAATAAAAGACTAATCATTGATAAGCAATTTTTAGATCTGGGACAAAAAATACGAAAGGATAAAATTTGGTAGAGCTGAATGCGTGTTTTGCTCGTGCTTGAACCGTCACCAACAAAAAGTTTTCTTTTCCACAAAAAGCGAAAGAAAATCGTTGTTTCATTTTCCGGGGTCTTTATTTGTTCGAAATTTCCCTGCCCTATGGTGAGATCAATAGTAGCAAAGTAAAAAATTGGAACATTTATTGAATGTCCACCCCGAATTGTGTCTCCCGTTTCCACCGAATAAAATGAAAGTTGTCGAGCGGGAATCGAAAGTTCACTTGCCACACCTTCCTGAATATAATGATTTACTTAGCTTTTTTTACTTTACAATTTAAATAACTCAAGGATTTTTCTTTTAAAATGGAATAACACAAAGATAACTTTACAACAAAACTACCCACTTTTGGCTCAATCCATAAAGTAACCACTTTCGGGTCGAGAGCGAAGAGACGAGCCGCAATCTCGGTCACCTTTGATACCTAAAAATATTGTTATTATTCCTGGTTGCTACCCTTCCAACTCTTTTTGCAAAACACTTACCGTCGATGAGGTGGGAAGTGGCCGCAAAAGGGATTTCCCCTGATACGAGATGCTCACTTTGACAACGTTAATCTTTTTCGCCTTGTTTTTATCAGCTATCGGTTCACCATGAATCTAAAGCTGTGGTGTCAAGTCAGTTTGACTCCTAAGAACAAAACCTGAATCAGCCGCTTAATATCGTTTTCATGTGGCGCCTTTAAAGCCTCTTCCAAGCCGTTGCATTTGCTGATAAATCTAAAGATAGGTAAATAGCGAAGTGAATGTGAAAATTTGAATTTAGTCGGTTGTCTGTGCATAATAATTGACTCACCACAATTCAGCCGATCTCCTTTCAATAGCGCTGATGTCTCCCCGATTTAGCATCGTCAATTTCGACAGCTTGGCGATAATCATCTAAAAATAGATGTTTGATTGTTTATGCAAAAAAAATTATCTAATCAACTAAACAAGCTCACCTCTCTAACATCAAGTCCGTTTAATCCTTCAAAGTTTGCTGACGTGACAAAAAGTGTCTGCAGTCGGTCCAAAGTGGCCAAATTATTAATCGATGACCACTAAAACACGTTTAAAGACAGAAATGAACATTTACTTAACCTCATTGATCGGATTTCCTTTCAAATTCATCGTTATTAGGCGTCGAAAACGTCCTTTTAGCCCCAAAATCGTTACAACGTTACAACTCTGTAGACTCTAGTTTTCCAAACTAAATGGAATCTTTCTTGGTTCATATTCAGAGATATACTTCTCCATGAAATTCTCTGGATCGATGACCTCGAGGCTTTTGATCGGGTTCAGTTCCAGATCAACAAGTCTAAATCAAAGCTTGTTTGGGCGAAGTTTAGTTCGCAAACCGCAGCTTTTTTCCACTTTGTCCCGGATTAAATGTTGTTAGACGATTTCCACTCGCGTACAAATCGGTCACATTCGGAAATCTTGACAAAACGGCTGAGATCTAAAACAAAAAAAGCAATAAATTTGTATACTCGATTTTACTTACCGTTGTCTCCGTAACTTTACAATAGTTGAGCACAAGCTGAAACACGGGAGCCGTAACAATCGGAAAAAGTGAAAGCGACGAAACATCGGCCAAATTTTCCATAACGTTATTCTTCAAGCTTCGTATTGTAATGCAAAATGAGAGCACAGCAACCTTAAAACCAGCCCTTTCCGTTTCGGAAAAAAAGTTGATAATCTCGAAGATATCTTTCCATCTAAAACACGATTATTTTCTTCAAACAAAAAGCTCACCTATGTAACAGATTCCCGTGCAGATTTAACTCAGTGCAATTGATAAAATGTGGCGTAAGTTTGGGTGGTGGACTGGAGACGCGCATTCCAGCCAAACAAATAACACCGAGGTAGAAAATGTTTCTGAAAACGATAGAATCTTCCAACGAGCATCTAGATAAAACTTCCCCTCATCTACGCAAATATTTAATCTGCCGTTAAAGACAACTTACTTTTGCTTATCATGAACTTTATTCATCCCAATCTTTTCTATCGTCACACCACCCATTTTCTCGTTTTCTTCGTCGTCATTGATTTCATAGCGTTCTCTTATCTAAAACAAATATTTCTTAATTAGACGTTGAATCCCAAAGCCACCTGATCAAGTAAATCCCGTCCACAATCGATCACATTTGTCTTAATGAAGGAGCCACCAGTTGGATGCCTAACCAAATTTTTAATTTGATAGTTAGTGCATTTGGACAAGGAGCTAGCAGCCTCGTTGGGAAGAAATATGACGAAAACTCACTCCGTTTGGAAATAGGTTTTTCCTTCGATTGTTCCGTTGTGTCGGCCTCGACTCGGATTGTCCCATTCGACTCCGATCCATGTTCCTAAAAGTTTCTAATAAATAACACAAATAATTTGTATTTTTTACCTTTTTGTCCATCGACCAACCCCACATATCGAACGGACCCCCGTTCATCGACTTGTCCAATTTTCGTGATTCGATCGCCAGCTGAGGGACCCAATTCTTCCTCGACCATTCCTCCTAGTACATTCAACTCTCTTTTCCAAAAATTCAACCTTAAGCGGTTATGTTCGACAGAATAATCAATAACCCTTAAAAGATTTAGACAAAAGATTCATTTAAATCTCAATAGCGATGCAGTGTGACATTCTATAAAAACTCAAAAGCTTTTCAAACATTTATACACCGTCATCCATGATTAAACTATCACAAGTCATTTGCAAAATACACAATACTAAAAATGATTCCAATGCACAATATAAAACGAATTTTTAGTAAAAAAAGAAATAAATCTAATTTTAAATGTCTCCATCAACCAAATTGGCGGGCACGGCTCTGTCTGAAAGAAATTTGAATTAAAATTTAAGTCTAAATAATCTTTTTTCAAATGCTAAAACACTCACCGATTTGTTTTGGTGGTGCCAAATTAAGATTTTTCATGATCTCCACAAACTCCTCTTCACTCTTTGAAAGCCGAGGGTTCCATTGTTTTTCTTCTAAAGACAAACATAGAAGGTTCTTATTTACAAATAAGATATACCCGCCACAGTGGTTTCCCCAATTCCATCGTAGTTGTGTCCGACAAAGAGCGAATAATCATCGGGTAGCGAAAAGATTTGCGTGGTCACCGATTTGTAAAGCTTTCTCGAATCACCTAAAATAGTGTAAATAAAATTGAAAAAACTTTTTCATACCTTGTTGAAAATTGGAAAATTGGTTTTTCATACTCGGATCAACAACGCGTCACCGGTGAAGGCCATTCGATTGCGATGATTGAAATAAGTTAAACAGCCTAAAATTAAAATCCGTCTTCATTTATTATGCCAAAACGAACTATTCGTGTGTCCTGGAGTGGCTCGTACTTCCAATTGTTCTTTTCCAAACTAAACAAAAACTAAAGGTTGTTTTCAAAAACCTCACGCACCTTAATGATGTCTCCATGGGTAACATGCAGATCAGCTTTCGCACCACCATCTTTAGCAATAACCGATTCGAAGCCGGAGACTAGCTACAAAGCACTTTATTTTCCTATGAATTTTTACATTTTAAATTTTTTACAAACTAACAACATGCGGCTAACAGACTGAAGCCGGCTCAACGTGGAAAATGAGCATCTCCTTTTGACGAGGCTTCAAATTTGACCAGTCATATCAACGCATTGAAAGTTGCTAGCGAGCTGAAACTTTTTATATCAGACAGCCTAGATTAACCACTTCCTTTTGGTAACGAAACTTGAACAAAAACCTTGTAAAAAAGTACTCTGAAAACCTTTTTAATACTTAACGAGGCCTCGTTAAGACTTAAGAGCATGAGTGTCTCTTTGGTACGAAAGTAACATGAGTCGAATTTTATGTAGACGCAACCCCTGATCGAATCGATTTATTTAGCCGAAACATCAAATTTTCCACAATAAAACAATCAAACAGATATCGCCATCTGTCTTTAACACAACAAATCATCGCTGAAAAAGGAAAATTGTACAACTTTATTTCACAGACCACTGAAAATCGGAAAAATGACACAATCAAAGGACCAAAATTGTACAAAACCCGAAAAAAACGCTCAAAACTCCATCATTTGCGATTGCAATTGAACGTAGAAGGCGAAAAATATTTTAGAATGGATGTGGCCAGGTTGACATGTAAGCAAGTAAACACAATCCCTGCTCGAGTCAATGTTTCGTTGAAAAAATAGACCGTCCGTGAAATCAATCGAGGATTGCATAAACTTTTCTGTCTTGTCTTTGTCATACTTTTTCAGGTCTTCGATCGCCATTTTGATGCCTTCCGACAGACTTTCGCCGTCGAGTTGCTTCATTCCATGGAATTGCGAAAGAAAATCAACAATTTGGTCATTCACTTCCTGAGAACAGTAGGCTCTCACACTAAAAGTCGCCTTCAAATTCTTGCTTGGGATTGGCTTTTTCACTAGTGATTGCACCATATTTTCAAAATCGCCCCATTCCGCGCAACCCATGTGAAAGAATTTGATCGAAGTCTCGGCAAAAGCCTCGTAGTGGCAGTGAAACGCAGATGCACTACACACAAAATAGAATTTTTCGCAGCCTTTCGCCTGATTTACAATGAAACTCTCAAAAAGCTTGCTGATCACTTGATTTTTCAAGGTAATGGGCGGCAAAAGCCAGACGGAGTGTTCAACCCTCGAGCGGAAATTCTCAAAAAATTCCTGCAAACACGTTTGAACTCTTTCATGGAGGTCCAAATGCCTCACCGAGTTCAATTGATTCAGAATCGTTGTCTCTTCAACGTAAAAATATCCGGTGCCCGCGAATATCTCCAATTTGTCACAAGTGTTGATTCGTTTGCTTAGTGGAAGGCCAGCGACATCAAGATTGGCGCAAGATGAGCCGGGGAACTTTTTGATTGAACCACGCCGGCTCCCTAACCGAATCTCGTCCACGTGACGGCCGAAAACGAGCCACGGATTGCGTGAAAGCATCCATTGAAATCCCGCATTCACTTTGGCCAGCTCGATTGTATCTTCCGCGTCCATTTCCATCAGCAGATCCAACTTCAGGTCATAACAGAGCTTCTCCGTCGGAAACGAGGTGATATTCCTCATTTCAAATGGCATCTCGAGCGACATTTTTGCACCTGTAAAAGAAAACGATTTGTTTTTTGTGGGGAAATGCAAGAGGAGACACAAAATACAAGCAATTTTGAGTGGCAAAATGGTTTTCTAATGTTTTGGAAACCAAATTTGGTTCTTAATCACTTTTTCAAGCCAACAACTTGTCTAATTTCATAAAAATGAGACCAATTAGCTATTTACCTTGCCTTGAAAATGCAATTGAAACGTTTCTAAATTCTACAACGGAATGTTGAAATAGCGCTATTTCACCGAATTGCCAATAGAATGCGTTAAAAAAACGTTAAAGCTACAAAAACGAGAAAAACCAAACGCTGACGCCACTTTTAGGGAGTAGAGGAGAATGAGAAATTTGAAAACTTTCACCGATTCTTTCTTGTAACTGAATATTCTGAATTAAAGGGAATTTTTCAATGAGTTTTAGTGTTCTAGTTAAAGTTAAAGGCTATTTTAGTGTTTTTAAATGGAAGGTCGCCAAAATTTGTTTTCAAATCCGAATCTTTGGCTCTACAAAATTTCAAAAATGTCATGTTTCAGTTTCAGGAAAGCTTTTTTTGTATCAGCAATTATCATGGTGTTATGTAGTCATCATAGAGCAAACAAAAACGAACAAAAACACTTTTCTGAAATGAATGCTTCTGAAATTTAGTAGAGCCGACTGTTTGCAGAAATCGAAAAAATAGGTAAAGAGAAAAGGTTTTGAGAGTGAAAAGTGAAGCGAAATTGATTTTGCTTTAAATGGTCTTTCCTTTTATATCGCTACCAATTGATAAGGTTCGGGCATTATTCAACATCTGGAAGGGAAGGAGGAGAGGCGATTTGTGCCAACGGCTCGATTAGGCCAAAAAAATAAACGTGATAGTGCGAAAGAGGGTCTAAAATAATAGGTCTAAAAGATATGGATTTTAAACATTAAAGGGAAGACTCAACTACAACAAATGTATTTTAGGCAATCTTCTTCATCATCGAGATCTTCTTCATGCCGCCACTGCTCAGAACACCCAACAGAAACCACAACAACTCCAGCCACTCAACCACCACATTGAGATGTGCGATTCGAGTGCGATCATGATGAGGCTTTTTATCAACTTGTGTGGTCATCGGAGGGCACTTACATAAGGTGTTGACTAAATCGGAAAAGCCATCCAATTTTTTGCTTGCTTAACAACGTCAATGAAACCTTTACTTACGGGAACCAAAATTTTATTTTGAGAGTGCCGTACGCCTCGCCGCCTCGCATCGAATTCTAACAAGGGAATGGTCCCAACTTACCGGACGATTTCGTCACGCCGCCGAGATGGAAACGCCTATCGAGCATGGGGAACACGATGCGCTATTTAGCTTTTGCCCATTTTCAATGGGTCACAAGAAAAAGGCCTCCAAAGTTTGAGCGTCTACTCAGGAAATCGCACCTCGGGCATATGTAGGCTCTTTTCTGATGCGAAAAAGATGAAGATGAAGAAAAAGGAAAGAAAAAAGAACAAAATCCAAAATCAAAAAATTATGTGGAGCAGTGTATATGTCGTAGCCGATTATGAATGAGTGGGTCTAGGAGCGTCCAACCATCAAGTATTTGGTATCATGCAACGCAGAATCATTCATAATTATGTTAAATTTTTTAATTTAGAAAGATTGGATAAAAAGAAAAACAGAGCAAAAAACTGTTTGTTCAAGAAAAAACTTTGAAGCCCCATAATTTTTTTTTCTTTTTATCCAATCTTTTCTAATTTAAAAAATTTAACATAATTATGAATGATTCTGCGTTGAATGATACCAAATACTTGATGGTTGGATGCTCCTAGACCCACTCATTCATAATCGGCTACGGGGGTCCCGCCGATTTTGAATGAAACGTTGTAGCGCCGGCAATTTTTAACCTAAACTCACAAATTTGGTACCAATCGACGCAGAATTTAATTCGCTACAAGATGATATAATATTGTCCTCATACATTAAAGGGTTGCTCTACTAGAAAGATTTGCCAAAAAATTTCATTCATAATCGGCTACGACAGATAAAAAAACCCACATTTTTGCAAGTTTTTTTCCAATGTGAATGTGAAAAAACGCCCGAGACAAAGTACAGCACAGAAATCAAGGCTTCTCCACGGTACCAACCGGCAGATTGTACTCTAAATGAAATATAGTCAAAATTGCTTTGTTGCTAAAACTTTTGGAGATAAATCAAAGCTAACCTGTACATACTAAGGCTGAGGATGAATTTACAAGAGTACCTGAATTACTCCGGCCCCGGTGATTGCCGTCCAACCAACTTTACCAAAACAAAGTCTGGGGAAGACACTCTGAAATAAAAAGGTTTGAAAATACGAGTTCCTATATTGACCATGATACCACGGAATAACTTTTAGTTTAGTTGTGCTTTGTCATTGTTAACTACGAGCTTCGCGAAGTCGAGCGAAATTTGTAACAAGACTAAATTAGAAAGGTCACGCATTTTAGCTGGTAAATAATTTTACCTTATCAAACCGTGTTCAACCAAAAGAGCAGAAGTACGACGAGAACCTAGCGTGTCTTCCCAAAGTCATGTAGCCAACAAAGTTCGAGGAGCAGACTAAAAAAGAGTCCGACAAGCCAAATTTACAAAAGCACTCACCTTTAGCTCGTTTGGCAAATCAGAGATATCACTTAGAATGCTCGTTGAAAGTCCTTGAGTTAAGCTATCGATGCGCAGCCTAAAAGAACCACGACGAATATTTCTTTCGGTGAAAACTAGCCGAATTGGGTCCTCCACAGTCGCTGCGAGAGGTTCTAAAAGCCAAGTTGTGTCTCCCAAAGGTACACTCTGAAATTGTATTAAAACAACAATTTAAATTTCACAGAATACCGCTTCTTTTGTAGTCTCACTAGTCATGGATGAAACAACAGCGTTGTTTTTCGTTGCTCACAATCCAACTCTAAAATGAAATAAACTAATTGAGGAAAAACATACCACACAATTTCAAGTTTAGATATACATTCATACAACAACTTCAATGCAAAAAGAGCAGCATTTCTTGACAACCGATAGGGCAGAAAAGCTGATACCGAGTCATCCAATAACACCCAACAGATCTAAAAAAATTAAGATGTCAAGGACTTAATCAATACCGCTCTGAATAGTGGCGCCTCTCGATCCAGTATTTGCAAGAGCGTAACTGCAGCTGGTTCTCGAACTTCCAAGGATTTTGCATCAAAATCGTTATTTTGAGCAATCAATACAAAGCGTCCATCGCCGTTTCGCACCACTCCGACTAAATTTTTTGAATAGATATTTCTTTTATGTTAAGGCCACCATTTGAGTGATATTGTAACAATATATGAGAACATCAACCGAAACACACCTTTCATGGCGAATGGAATCGCTCGCGAGATCAGGGAAGTAGCCGTCTCAATCAATTGCCAATTGCGATCGTGGCCAAACATTTGACAGCTATTATCGTCTTAAATAGCTATTATTTTAAAAATTCGATACCATTTTCCTTTTCGTTTCAATTTTCCGTTTTCCAACTAAAATAATCAAAAGCATATTCAAAATGTAAGAGGCTGTCACGAGGTTTCGAGAGATGTCGCAAAGGGTCTAAAAACTCATTCTTTTTGTAAGCTAAAATAATCATACCTGCAGGAAGGTAACTGTTTGCCGGTAACGATCGTCAAGCTGCGAGAGAGCAAGAAATCAATGACAAAGTTGTAACTAAATCAAATGTGTTAGAATTTCTTTGTTAAAAACAAACATTTTTGTCAGGTGTAAAATCTTCGCTGAGTTGGTCCAAAGTCGTCTTTATTGATGGGCACAAAGTGTCGAATCAGGGGTCAGATCGACAAAGCTGAAAAGAAGTACACATTAGATGCAAAGAACACATTTGTTACCTCAGAAAAGGCATCAAGCAAAGTGCAAAAATGCTTGTTTTCGATATGATTGAAACGACACCTAAATAAAAGTTGAATGAAGATAAAAGTTATCAAGTTTCAACCTTTATTCGCACGGATTTCATCAATGATATGCATCTCATCGACTCCCTGCTTCACAAGTTCTCATCTTTGGCGTACAAAATTCTTTCAGTGTATTGTCCACGGTTTGCACCTTCACAATAAAAGATTTACATCGAAAAAATAAAATTACTTCAGTCGACGGCTTTGAAATCCTCGTAAGCAAGAGTACGTCGAGAAATATAGTGGAAACATTGAAAATGAACGACCCTTTCTATCGACCTTTCCGGTAGATCGCTTGCAAGTTCCGAGAGCTGTAGCTGTAGCTGTAACACCAACAAGGCAAGTATTTCGTTAAACAATACACCATAATCAGCTGGACTGAGAGATAAATTCTTGATCGCAATGGCAACGATCAGGCATACTCATCTATAAGTTACGATGTCTTCCCAGATAGCCTCGTTTGAAATCTGAAAATCAACACATAAACTTGTCTGTGAGAAAGTTCCCTAACCTCTCGCTTGCATTGTGTTAAAATAGGCGTCTCGTCGTTGGCTAAAAATACCCAATCATTATAAACAAAAATAACTCCTACATTGAAGTAAGCATTGATTGCTCAGCATAATTGAAAAGCAAGTCCAAGTTATGCCTTGATATGCTTGCAGCTTTTGTCCCTTTCCCGGAATTTCCTGTGAAATATTAACTAGAAATTAGCAAAGTATTTCTTGAAACCTTTAGAACTTGGAATATATAGTCATGGGATTGTTGCTTCTCGACAGCCCATCGACAATTTTCATAAGCGCATTCAGTACACAACAAGCGAGTATCCTCGAATGACGCCCGTAACTAAAAAAACTAAAGATTTGGTTGCTCAAAAAATCAACCAATGATCGATGATATGCTCCACCAAGACTGTTAACCTCTTCTCTGACAAGCGAATGGAATTCCGATGTACTTGTACGTTGTACTTCGAAAAATAGACGAATGAAACCCATTAAATGACAGTAATGTACCAACCAAATTCTGCATGATATTTGGTTTCACCAGATTTTCCATGATAAATTCCAAAAAAAATGACGGCAATACTTCTCTGTCCCAACCTAGTATTCTAAAAGAAAATATCTTTATATGAAAGTCATTCGCAATGGTTAACCTTTTTAAAGTGGATCCGGATAAGCGATGCGCATCATAATAACAGACGACGGCTGCCAGTCCTTTGAGAATTCCTTCGAAGTTATGCATTTGTAGATCCGCGATTAACACAAATTCGATCGCTTCGCTCTCCTGCATCGAGAAGAGTTTGGCCAAAATCGCTGCCTCTTCGCAAATCTTTGGATTCAGTTCGACTTTTTGATTGTGCACTCCAATTTCTATGTCTCCATTTGTGGTTTGAACTTTCTTGAATCCCGGTTGACCTTTGTCCTAAAGAAGTAAGTTTGCAGGAATTAGTAACGGAAGAAAACTTGCCGTATTTTTCGTGGTGTTGATGTTTGTTCAGGAGAGAAATGAAATTATGACACGGCTTCCGGATCATTGAAGCTTTGTAAGTCTTGAACGTAGTTGGCTAGCTCTCTTGCCAAGATCCATACCTGAAACTAAAACAAAGCATCGGGAAAAAATTTTTGTAATAAAACGAATCAAATAAATAAAGTAACAATTTAGAGGATAGAGGACAAGGGTTTTTTGAAAATATCGAGAGGAATTTCCTCTCGATTATTTAGAAAAAAAGAATCTCTGCAAGAATTGAAATAAAAACGTACTTTTGCGGGGAATACACTCTCACCAAAGCGCCTCACCTAACGAGGCATTTGTGAAAATGCGAACGGAATGATAGTGGACGCACATCAAAGCACACCATACAAAGAGCAAAGAAAAGTTTAAATTTGAGAAAATGCAAGTGCGTAAAATTCATGTAAAAATCGGAGGGAAAGCTTGGTGCAATTTGATTGAACATGCTGCGGGTATTGGATTGAAAGTGTGATGCTCCAATACAATTGTGAAAATTGTGAAAACCAATGATGAGAAATCAGTTGTAAACTTTATATTGTCCCGTAAATTTCTGAGCATAAACCGGAACATTTGAGCCGAATTTTGTAGTTCATAAGGCAGGTTTAAATTTAAACAAATTTGAAAATCTTGTAGCCCACACATTGATTTTGGTTACCCCCATTCGCCTAACGCCAGCGCAATCTTTGTTCTGAAGGCCTGCGCCACGACAATCAAGGTTTTGAATATCAAAATTAACATATCGTCTCATTTTCTCTGATCTACATTGTAAACCGCTAAAATTAGCATTTATCTATCAAATAAAAGGAATCGATTTTGTCAAATTTTTCATCGTAAACCATTTCAAAGATGATTCGTCGCTTTGTCGCAAAATTGTATTCTGTCTTCAGAAGTGTTCGATTCATTCGAAGTTTGTTTTCTTTTTCTTTGGTTAAATTTTGATGTTTTTCTTGGCAGCCGTTAATTTCACTACTTTAAATTTTGAATTTGAAAATGTATAAATCAACAGTTGCCGTTTTTCTCAATTTTGTTTTTACAAGTTACCGTAAATGCTGTAATAGAGCGACCCCATATAGGAGCGTCGCGTAGTCTAAGTTTACACTCAAAGAACCACTCATCTCTTGGCGCACAGACATTTATTCCTGCGCGCTTTAATATCAAATTAAAGTAGAGAGAATGGGTGATTTTTTGAAATATAGCACATATTTTTAGCATTAACCAGCGCTTAGCACAAAATGATTGAGAGGTGGCAAAAAAGAGCCGATTTTCACCGATTTTCAATCATTTTGTGCTAAGCGCTGGTTAGTGCTAAAAATATGTGCTTGCTATATCTCAAAAAAATCACCCATTCTCTCTACTTTAATTTGATACCTAAGCGCGCAGAAACAAACATACGGGTGTCGAGATATGAGCGATTCTTTGAGTGTAAACTTAGACTACGCGACGCTCCTATAGGGGGGTCGCTCTATTACAGCATTTACGGTACATCAATTTTCTTTTTTTCAGATTCAAGAGAAGGCTCGAAGAGACAGGCGGCTGGAGCCGGTAAGGACAAGCCCACGAACTCATCGAACAATGGTTCTCCACGGAAATTTTTCGAGAACATTATGCCGGTATCATTTTATTTAATATCTACTGGGTGTCTCAAAAAAGGCTCCTTTTCAAAGCGAATTTTACAAAAGCTTTAAGTAGCTATTGGTGGCACTCCTGGTGTCAAAACTGTTTTTCTTTAAGACAATTTTTCCACTTTTTTCGAGAATTTTTTGTTTTCTTGACCCCCTTTACATGAAATTCTTTCACCACCACCATAAGACTTTTCCCATAAAATTAAAACTTTTTACTGGCATCGTGGTGTCATATTAGAGTTTTGTTCATCTACCATTATCTGATAATCTTCGTACATAAGCGATTTTCAACTCGCCTTTTTAAAGTTTAAAGAATACGCTGATCAATAAAGTGTATGGTTAAAATTTGTAGTTATCTGAATAGTGTTTATTACGTACCACGATGCCAGTACAAATTTTTAATTTTATGGGGAGCCTTATGATCGTGGCCCATATGGTGATGGCGATCATGGTGGTGAAAAATTTCATTTATTCTGAACAAAACAAGAAAACAAAAAATTCTCGAAAAAAGTGGAAAAATTGTCTTAAAGAAAAAACAGTTTTGACACCAGGAGTGCCACCAATAGCTACTTAAAGCTTTTGTAAAATTCGCTTTGAAAAGGAGCCTTTTTTTGAGACACCCAGTACATAAATCCTTGGACTAAACCATTTATATTTTAGTTATTTTTCTCATTATTTTTTTATTTTTTAGAGTGGATGTCTCAACGGGTCGCCGAAGGAGCATCGGTTGAAAGATGCCTTACGCGTATTCATGAGTGGTTCTTCGAGTGGCCAAGAGATTCAGCCAAGAGGTGAGTGGTTCTTTGAGTGTAAACTTAGACTACGCGACGCTCCTATATGGGGTCGCTCTATTACAGCATTTACGGTACATCAATTTTCTTTTTTTCAGATTCAAGAGAAGGCTCGAAGAGACAGGCGGCTGGAGCCGGTAAGGACAAGCCCACGAACTCATCGAAGGAAGGTTCTCGACGGAATTTTTTGGAGAAGCAGGTGGTATCATTTTATTTAATATCTACTGGGTATCATTTTATTTAATATCTACTGGGTGTCTCAAAAAAGGCTCCTTTTCAAAGCGAATTTTACAAAAGCTTTAAGTAGCTATTGGTGGCACTCCTGGTGTCAAAACTGTTTTTTCTTTAAGACAATTTTTCCACTTTTTTCGAGAATTTTTTGTTTTCTTGACCCCCTTTACATGAAATTCTTTCACCACCACCATAAGACTTTTCCCATAAAATTAAAACTTTTTACTGGCATCGTGGTGTCATATTAGAGTTTTGTTCATCTACCATTATCTGATAATCTTCGTACATAAGCGATTTTCAACTCGCCTTTTTAAAGTTTAAAGAATACGCTGATCAATAAAGTGTATGGTTAAAATTTGTAGTTATCTGAATAGTGTTTATTACGTACCACGATGCCAGTACAAATTTTTAATTTTATGGGGAGCCTTATGATCGTGGCCCATATGGTGATGGCGATCATGGTGGTGAAAAATTTCATTTATTCTGAACAAAACAAGAAAACAAAAAATTCTCGAAAAAAGTGGAAAAATTGTCTTAAAGAAAAAGCAGTTTTGACACCAGGAGTGCCACCAATAGCTACTTAAAGCTTTTGTAAAATTCGCTTTGAAAAGGAGCCTTTTTTTGAGACACCCAGTACATAAATCCTTGGACTAAACCATTTATATTTTAGTTATTTTTCTCATTATTTTTTTATTTTTTTAGAGTGGAATGTTCAACGAGTCGCCGAAGAAGGATCGGTTGAAAGATGTCTTACACGTCTACACCGACGCCAGCATTGACACTGACCTTAAGAAGACAGTCGCTCCTTCCGGAATCGGAGCCGTTGTGTTTACAACAGTTACATCGTCTAACAACCGAAATCGAGTCCAGATGCAACTGTAAGGATTTTTATGCTATAACATCTTAGATGTCAGCTTTTATGTTATGTTTTTTATGCCATAACTGTAGTACTGAACATTACAACTGGAAAAAATGCTTTGTATTATTCCTTAAAATATTAGTTTCTCTTCTAAAATAAAATCTTGTCTACGTTTAAATTAGCCAATAAAAATATAAAATTTTGTCAATTTAGCTCCTTCAATATTACCAATTATGGAACTGGAAGGAACACAGATCGAGCAGAAATTTTCGCCGTTACAGTTATTTTGCGTTATTTGCTAGACAAATACAGGTAAGTATTATTCATTTGTATGATGATAATTTTATAAGTACAAATTTTTTTGATTTTTTAGAAGCCGAGAGATCATCGTGAAAACAGATTCGGAAGCTGTGATCCGCGAGCTTGAAACCAAGGACCAACAGGCAGGGCAACTTTACAAAGAGTTTGTTTTTGAATTGGTATTTCTCTATATTTTATTTTAGCGCAGCAAACTTGCATGATCTGGGAACACATTTTACACACGGCGTCACGATCATGTGGATCGGAAATGGTGAAGAGCAAAAAAACCGTCAAGTAATGATTTAGAAAATGTTATTCGCAAAATAGTCTTACACTAAATTTCTATTTAATTTGATTCATTTGGTTAATTTCAGGCGGACTTTCTCGCGCGTTATGCTGCTGGACTCCGCGAACGGCTACAGAAGAAAGAGCCGCGGCCAAAACGCGGTAACAAGGAATTTAAGATTGAGCGTATGTTTTTGATTTATTTTAAAGTAAGCATTTCTGTATATATATATATAACAGTATTTATTTTCAGATGATGCAAATTTGACCGCCGAATCAGAGATCGTATACCCGTATCCGGATGAACCTCTCATCGCCAACCTTCTTCAAAGCGACACCTTCGTTACCGAAATCGAAGCCCATCGCGGTCCCGATATCACAAATATTCCCTAATCATTTACTCGCTTCACTTCTGATAACTTGAATAAAATTAAAATTAATTTAGTAAACGTTTGAGCAATAAAACATCCGAGCACAGCATTCGACTTGGTGAATTTATTTTAATTCTTTACCATGCATCGCACAAAATTCGACTTTTTTTCTACCATGTCCTAAAACAAAATAGTGCGTCACCCATAAACAAATGAAGCATCTAGTATTCTCCCAATCGTCTCCAACTCTTGCACAGCAGACTCTAAAAACATAAATGAAAGCAGATATGAATCAAAGTTTACCTGGTTTTTCGACTCTAGTGCGAGTTTTGTAGCTTGCTAAAGTTCTTCTAGCTCCTCCGAGTTTTGTCTGATTCGATCAATGAGACGACATAGGTCGTAGATGGTCACAGGATTCTGGCATTTGTATTTCTTTGCCCTGGCCAGCAAAGTATCTTGTTTTACATCCGTACGTAGCCGTGGTCTTAACATTAAAGAGGCTAGAAACACCAAACATTCTCACCATATCATAAATCTTTTGGAGCAGATCAAAGTCATGGGTCCCGGCTTCGGTTGCTTCGGTTTTTTCCCGATGCTTTGTTTTAGTTTCAGGTATGGATCTTGGCAAGAGAGCTAGCCAACTACGTTCAAGACTTACAAAGCTTCAATGATCCGGAAGCCGTGTCATAATTTCATTTCTCTCCTGAACAAACATCAACACCACGAAAAATACGGCAAGTTTACTTCCGTTACTAATTCCTGCAAACTTACTTCTTTAGGACAAAGGTCAACCGGGATTCAAGAAAGTTCAAACCACAAATGGAGACATAGAAATTGGAGTGCACAATCAAAAAGTCGAACTGAATCCAAAGATTTGCGAAGAGGCAGCGATTTTGGCCAAACTCTTCTCGATGCAGGAGAGCGAAGCGATCGAATTTGTGTTAACCGCGGATCTACAAATGCATAACTTCGAAGGAATTCTCAGAGGACTGGCAGCCGTCGTCTGTTATTATGATGCGCATCGCTTATCCGGATCCACTTTAAAAAGGTTAACCATTGCGAATGACTTTCATATAAAGATATTTTCTTTTAGAATACTAGGTTGGGACAGAGAAGTATTGCCGTCATTTTTTTTGGAATTTATCATGGAAAATCTGGTGAAACCAAATATCATGCAGAATTTGGTTGGTACATTACTGTCATTTAATGGGTTTCATTCGTCTATTTTTCGAAGTACAACGTTCCTTTGCAATTACATCGCAATTCCATTCGCTTGTCAGAGAAGAGGTTAACAGTCTTGGTGGAGCATATCATCGATCATTGGTTGATTTTTTGAGCAAGCAAATCTTTAGTTTTTTTTAGTTACGGGCGTCATTCGAGGATACTCGCTTGTTGTGTACTGAATGCGCTTATGAGGAGTTATTTTTGTTTATAATGATTGGGTATTTTTAGCCAACGACGAGACGCCTATTTTAACAGAATGCAAGCGAGAGGTTAGGGAACTTTCTCTCAGACAAGTTTATGTGTTGATTTTCAGATTTCAAACGAGGCTATCTGGAAAGACATCGTAACTTATAGATGAGTATGCCTGATCGTTGCCATTGCGATCAAGAATTTATCTCTCAGTCCAGCTGATTATGGCGTATTGTTTAACGAAATACTTGCCTTGTTGGTGTTACAGCTACAGCTACAGCTACAGCTCTCGGAACTTTCAAGCGATCTACCGGAAAGGTCGATAGAAAGGGTCGTTCATTTTCAATGTTTCCACTATATTTCTCGACGTACTCTTTTTCAAAGGAGGATTTCAAAGCCGTCGACCCTGAAGTAATTTTATTTTTTCGATGTAAATCTTTTATTGTGAAGGTGCAAACCGTGGACAATACACTGAAAGAATTTTGTACGCCAAAGATGAGAGAACTTGTGAAGCAGGGAATCGATGAGATGCATATCATTGAGGAAATCCGTGCGAATAAAGGTTGAAACTTGATAACTTTTATCTTCATTCAACTTTTATTTAGGTGTCGTTTCAATCATATCGAAAACAAGCATTTTCGCACTTTGCTTCATGCCTTTTCTGAGGTAACAAATGTGTTCGTTGCATCTAATGTGTACTTCTTTTCAGCTTTGTCGATCTGACCCCTGATTCGACACTTTGTGCCCATCAATAAAGACGACTTTGGACCAACTCAGCGAAGATTTTACACCTGACAAAAATGTTTGTTTTTAACAAAGAAATTCTAACACATTTGATTTAGTTACAACTTTGTCATTGATTTCTTGCTCTCTCGCAGCTTGACGATCGTTACCGGCAAACAGTTACCTTCCTGCAGGTATGATTATTTTAGCTTACAAAAAGAATGAGTTTTTAGACCCTTTGCGACATCTCTCGAAACCTCGTGACAGCCTCTTACATTTTGAACATGCTTTTAAAGACACCTTTAAATATTAATTATGGTATGTGAGCAATAATTTAAAGGCCTAATAAGCCTATTGCATATATTATTATATTGTATTGCAGGTTCGATTTGTAAATGCTCTTCGCAAGTATGAGGTGTACTTTCGTGAAGCCTCGCAAACTTCGTATAAACCAACGTCTAGCTTTACAACGGAAAAAGTTTGATAGGCAAGTATTGATTGGAGAGTCCTAAAATTTGAGGCTTCTGGTACTATCAGTAAAGAGAAATTCGCTGGAATGCTTGTTTGGTGGTGCCATTTAGTTGGAAAACGGAAAATTGAAACGAAAAGGAAAATGGTATCGAATTTTTAAAATAATAGCTATTTAAGACGATAATAGCTGTCAAATGTTTGGCCACGATCGCAATTGGCAATTGATTGAGACGGCTACTTCCCTGATCTCGCGAGCGATTCCATTCGCCATGAAAGGTGTGTTTCGGTTGATGTTCTCATATATTGTTACAATATCACTCAAATGGTGGCCTTCCCTGTAAAAGAAATATCTTTTCAAAAAATTTAGTCGGAGTGGTGCGAAACGGCGATGGACGCTTTGTATTGATTGCTCAAAATAACGATTTTGATGCAAAATCCTTGGAAGTTCGAGAACCAGCTGCAGTTATTCTCTTGCAAATACTGGATCGAGAGGCGCCACTATTCAGAGCGGTATTGATTAAGTCCTTGACATCTTAATTTTTTTAGATCTGTTGGGTGTTATTGGATGACTCGGTATCAGCTTTCTGCCCTATCGGTTGTCAAGAAATGCTGCTCTTTTTGCGTTGAAGTTGTTGTATGAATGTATATCTAAACTTGAAATTGTGTGGTATGTTTTTCCTCAATTAGTTTATTTCATTTTAGAGTTGGATTGTGAGCAACGAAAAACAACGCTGTTGTTTCATCAATGACTAGTGAGACTACAAAGAAGCGGTATTCTGTGAAAGTTAAATTGTTGCTTTAATACAATTTCAGAGTGTACCTTTGGGAGACACAACTTGGCTTTTAGAACCTCTCGCAGCGACTGTGGAGGACCCAATTCGGCTAGTTTTCACCGAAAGAAATATTCGTCGTGGTTCTTTTAGGCTGCGCATCGATAGCTTAACTCAAGGACTTTCAACGAGCATTCTAAGTGATATCTCTGATTTGCCAAACGAGCTAAAGGTGAGTGCTTTTGTAAATTTGGCTTGTCGGACTCTTTTTTAGTCTGCTCCTCGAACTTTGTTGGCTACATGACTTTGGGAAGACACGCTAGGTTCTCGTCGTACTTCTGCTCTTTTGGTTGAACACGGTTTGATAAGGTAAAATTATTTACCAGCTAAAATGCGTGATCTTTCTAATTTAGTCTTGTTACAAATTTCGCTCGACTTCGCGAAGCTCGTAGTTAACAATGACAAAGCACAACTAAACTAAAAGTTATTCCGTGGTATCATGGTCAATATAGGAACTCGTATTTTTAAACCTTTTCATTTCAGGGTGTCTTCCCCAGACTTTGTTTTGGTAAAGTTGGTTGGACGGCAATCACCGGGGCCGGAGTAATTCAGGTACTCTTCTAAATTCATCCTCAGCCTTAGTATGTAATGTAAAAAAAATTTATCTCCAGAAGTTTTAGCAACAAAGCAATGTTGACTATATTTGATTTAGAGTACAATCTGCCGGTTGGTACTGTGGAGAAGCCTTGATTTCTGTGCTGTACTTTGTCTCGGGCGTTTTTTCACATTCACATTGGAAAAAAACTTGCAAAAATGTGAGTTTTTTTATACACTGCTCCACATAATTTTTTGATTTTGGATTTTGTTCTTTTTTCTTTCCTTTTTCTTCATCTTCATCTTTTTCGCATCACTTCAACAAGAAATCACATAACAACACAACAATACTATAAGATAGGCTGACAACGCGCACACTTACCCCTACACCATCCGGTCACATCCGGATGAGAAGAAAAGAGCCTATATATGCCCGAGGTTGGATCCCGTAAGTAAAGGTTTCATTGACATTGTTAAGCAAGCAAAAAATTGGATGGTTTTTCCGATTTAGTCAACACCTTATGTAAGTGCCCTCCGATGACCACACAAGTTGATAAAAAGCCTCATCATGATCGCACTCGAATCGCACATCTCAATGTGGTGGTTGAGTGGCTGGAGTTGTTGTGGTCTCTGTTCGGTGTTCTGAGCAGTGGCGGCATGAAGAAGCTCTCTATGATGAAGAAGATTGCCTAAAATACATTTGTTGTAGTTGAGTCTTCCCTTTAATGTTTAAAATCCATATCTTTTAGACCTATTATTTCCGCAATTTTTTAAGCTTTGGAATGGAAACGCCTTTTCTATTCTAAATTATGTTTTACGGAAAGCAGCTGACGTCACTTACAACCACAGATACGCCTTTTCTCCCCAGCACCGTACCTCAAATCTTGAAAAATCCTGAACAAATCAATAACCGAGAATTGTCGAATCTCCCATTTTTCATTCAATTATTCTTCTCTTTCGCACTATCACGTTTATTTTTTTGGCCTAATCGAGCCGTTGGCACAAATCGCCTCTCCTCCTTCCCTTCCAGATGTTGAATAATGCCCGAACCTTATCAATTGGTAGCGATATAAAAGGAAAGACCATTTAAAGCAAAATGAATTTCGCTTCACTTTTCACTCTCAAAACCTTTTCTCTTTACATATTTTTTCGATTTCTGCAAACAGTCGGCTCTACTAAATTTCAGAAGCATTCATTTCAGAAAAGTGTTTTTGTTCGTTTTTGTTTGCTCTATGATGACTACAGAACACCATGGTAATTGCTGATACAAAAAAACTTTTCTGAAACTGAAACATGACATTTTTGAAATTTTGTAGAGCCAAAGATTCGGATTTGAAAACAAATTTTGGCGACCTTCCATTTAGAAACACTAAAATTGCCTTTAACTTTAACTAGAACACTAAAACTCATTGAAAAATTCTCTTCAATTCGGAATATTCAGTTACAAGAAAGAATCGGTGAAAGTTTTCAAATTTCTCATTCTCCTCTACTCCCTAAAAGTGGCGTCAGCGTTTGGTTTTTCGGTGAAATTGCGGTGAAATAGCGCTATTTCAACATTCCGTTGTAGAATTTAGAAACGTTTCAATTGCATTTTCAATCTAAAAGCCCCATTTTCGATCTAGATTTGATAAGTTCCACATTTTTACGTGATTCTGTTTGTTGGGAAATTTCCGGTTTACATGTTTTGTAGGAATTTATTACTAGGTTGTTACCTGTTCAGTTTTTTTCTTGGGCGTTAATGTGATTACGGGTGTTTTACGGTGTTTGGTAACGTTTTTGTTACTGTTAATACTTGTTAATTTTGTAATAATAAACTTGCTATTTAAGGTGTTTTCGAGCGGTGATTTGGTTGAAGGGCCATATTATTTTTGATTTATGACAGGCTTTGTGGAATTTTGAGCTTTGTTTGGGAAGCTTTGCCTGTTATTGACCTTTCACCTCTTTGTCTCATTTTTGAAATTAGACAAGTTGTGGCTTGAAAAAGTGATTAAGAACCAAATTTAGTTTCCAAAACATTAGAAAACCATTTTGCCACTCAAAATTGCTTGTATTTTGTGTCTCCCCTTGCATTTCCCCACAAAAAACAAATCGTTTTCTTTTACAGGTGCAAAAATGTCGCTCGAGATGCCATTTGAAATGAGGAATATCACCTCGTTTCCGACGGAGAAGCTCTGTTATGACCTGAAGTTGGATCTGCTGATGGAAATGGACGCGGAAGATACAATCGAGCTGGCCAAATTGAATGCGGGATTTCAATGGATGCTTTCACGCAATCCGTGGCTCGTTTTCGGCCGTCACGTGGACGAGATTCGGTTAGGGAGCCGGCGTGGTTCAATCAAAAAGTTCCCCGGCTCATCTTGCGCCAATCTTGATGTCGCTGGCCTTCCACTAAGCAGACGAATCAACACTTGTGACAAATTGGAGATATTCGCGGGCACCGGATATTTTTACGTTGAAGAGACAACGATTCTGAATCAATTGAACTCGGTGAGGCATTTGGACCTCCATGAAAAAGTTCAAATGTGTTTGCAGGAATTTTTTGAGAATTTCCGCTCGAGGGTTGAACACTCCGTCTGGCTTTTGCCGCCCATTACCTTGAAAAATCAAGTGATCAGCAAGCTTTTTGAGAGTTTCATTGTAAATCAGGCGAAAGGCTGCGAAAAATTCTATTTTGTGTGTAGTGCATCTGCGTTTCACTGCCACTACGAGGCTTTTGCCGAGACTTCGATCAAATTCTTTCACATGGGTTGCGCGGAATGGGGCGATTTTGAAAATATGGTGCAATCACTAGTGAAAAAGCCAATCCCAAGCAAGAATTTGAAGGCGACTTTTAGTGTGAGAGCCTACTGTTCTCAGGAAGTGAATGACCAAATTGTTGATTTCCTTTCGCAATTCCATGGAATGAAGCAACTCGACGGCGAAAGTCTGTCGGAAGGCATCAAAATGGCGATCGAAGACCTGAAAAAGTATGACAAAGACAAGACAGAAAAGTTTATGCAATCCTCGATTGATTTCACGGACGGTCTATTTTTTCAACGAAACATTGACTCGAGGGATTGTGTTTACTTACTTACATGTGAACCTGGCGACATCCATTCTAAAATATTTTTCGCCTTCTACGTTCAATTGCAATCGCAAATGATGGAGTTTTGAGCGTTTTTTTCGGGTTTTGTACAATTTTGGTCCTTTGATTGTGTCATTTTTCCGATTTTCAGTGGTCTGTGAAATAAAGTTGTACAATTTTCCTTTTTCAGCGATGATTTGTTGTGTTAAAGACAGATGGCGATATCTGTTTGATTGTTTTATTGTGGAAAATTTGATGTTTCGGCTAAATAAATCGATTCGATCAGGGGTTGCATCTACATAAAATTCGACTCACTCAAAGAGATGCCAAAGTGGGTACTTATACTATTGAGTAAATTCAGATTGAGTTGTATTTATCGGAATCTTTATTTTAGTTGATAAACGAACTTGGTTTACGCTTGAAGTACGCGCTCAATACGCACATTCACGCTGATCACATAACTGGTACGGCTGCGTTAAGAAATGTTTGTTTCTAACAAATATAATAATGCCCAAAAGATTTGTTTTGTGATAGATTTCTGAAACACTTCGACTCATGTTACTTTCGTACCAAAGAGACACTCATGCTGAGACAGACAAGGAGACACTCATGCTCATCTCTTTGAAAAGCCTAAGTCTTAACGAGGCCTCGTTAAGTATTAAAAAGGTTTTCAGAGTACTTTTTTCAAGGTTTTTGTTCAAGTTTCGTTTACCAAAAGGAAGCGGTTAATCTAAGCTTTCTGATAGAAAAAGTTTCAGCTCGCTAGCAACTTTCAATGCGTTGATATGACTGGTCAAATTTGAAGCCTCGTTAAGCCTCGTCAAAAGGAGAAGCTCATTTTCCACGTTGAGCCGGCTTCAGTCTGTTAGCCGCATCTTGTTAGTTTGTAAAAAATTTAAAATGAAAAAATTCATAGGAAAATAAAGTACTTTGTAGCTAGTCTCCGGCTTCGAATCGGTGATTGCTAAAGATGGTGGTGCGAAAGCTGATCTGCATGTTACCCATGGAGGCATCATTAAGGTGCGTGAGGTTTTTGAAAACAACCTTTAGTTTTTGTTTAGTTTGGAAAAGAACAATTGGAAGTACGAGCCACTCCAGGACACACGAATAGTTCGTTTTGGCATAATAAATGAAGACGGATTTTAATTTTAGGCTGTTTAACTTATGTCAATCATCGCAATCGAATGGCCTTCACCGGTGATGCGTTGTTGATCCGAGCTTGTGGAAGGACCGATTTTCAACAAGGTATGAAAAACTATTTTCAATTTTAATTACACTATTTTAGGTGATTCGAGAAAGCTTTACAAATCGGTGACCACGCAAATCTTTTCGCTACCCGATGATTATTCGCTCTTTGTCGGACACAACTACGATGGAATTGGGGAAACCACTGTGGCGGGTATATCTTATTTGTAAATAAGAACCTTCTATGTTTGTCTTTAGAAGAAAAACAATGGAACCCTCGGCTTTCAAAGAGTGAAGAGGAGTTTGTGGAAATCATGAAAAATCTTAATTTGGCACCACCAAAACAAATCGGTGAGTGTTTTAGCATTTGAAAAAAGATCTAAAGGATCAATAGATTAACGCAAATTCCGTGAAATTTTACATTTACCATAGGCTTTGTAACTAAAAATGAAATTCTTTAGGCAAATGTTTAACTTTTTGTTAAACCCTTAAACTTAAACCTTTAAACTTATATCATTTTGCGTTAATTTTAGCGTTTTAAATAGAATTTCATCAATTTAGTGTGAAAATGTTTGCCGCCAACTACGATATTATCAACATTTCTAATAATGACATAAAAATTTTTTGTAGAAGTTACGTTTTTGATCGAGTATCACCTCGAATCACGTAATCACCTGGAATAAATTGAATATCTTTACATTTGAAGGGAATTTGCCACCAAATCACTTAAGCGGCTGTTAATAAAATATAAAATGTTAATATAAAATTTTACCCCTCAGGATCTTAAAATTTTACCCCCCCCCCCCGGATAATCCACAAGTACCAAATTCCTTTTATATTGTGCATTGGAATCATTTTTAGTATTGTGCATTTTGCAAATGACTTGTGATAGTTTAATCATGGATGACGGTGTATAAATGTTTGAAAAGCTTTTGAGTTTTTATAGAATGTCACACTGCATCGCTATTGAGATTTAAATGAATCTTTTGTCTAAATCTTTTAAAGGTTATTGATTATTCTGTCGAACATAACCGCTTAAAGATTGAATTTTTGGAAAAGAAAGTTGAATGTACTAGGAGGAATGGTCGAGGAAGAATTGGGTCCCTCAGCTGGCGATCGAATCACGAAAATTGGACAAGTCGATGAACGGGGGTCCGTTCGATATGTGGAGTTGGTCGATGGACAAAAAGGTAAAAAATACAATTTATTTGTGTTATTTATTAGAAACTTTTAGGAACATGGATCGGAGTCGAATGGGACAATCCGAGTCGAGGCCGACACAACGGAACAATCGAAGGAAAAACCTATTTCCAAACGGAGTGAGTTTTCGTCATATTTCTTCCCAACGAGGCTGCTAGCTCCTTGTCCAAATGCACTAACTATCAAATTAAAAATTTGGTTAGGCATCCAACTGGTGGCTCCTTCATTAAGACAAATGTGATCGATTGTGGACGGGATTTACTTGATCAGGTGGCTTTGGGATTCAACGTCTAATTAAGAAATATTTGTTTTAGATAAGAGAACGCTATGAAATCAATGACGACGAAGAAAACGAGAAAATGGGTGGTGTGACGATAGAAAAGATTGGGATGAATAAAGTTCATGATAAGCAAACGTAAGTTGTCTTTAACGGCAGATTAAATATTTGCGTAGATGAGGGGAAGTTTTATCTAGATGCTCGTTGGAAGATTCTATCGTTTTCAGAAACATTTTCTACCTCGGTGTTATTTGTTTGGCTGGAACGCGCGTCTCCAGTCCACCACCCAAACTTACGCCACATTTTATCAATTGCACCGAGTTAAATCTGCACGGGAATCTGTTACATAGGTGAGCTTTTTGTTTGAAGAAAATAATCGTGTTTTAGATGGAAAGATATCTTCGAGATTATCAACTTTTTTCCGAAATGTGAAAGAGCTGGTTTTAAGGTTGCTGTGCTCTCATTTTACATTACAATACGAAGCTTGAAGAATAACGTTATGGAAAATTTGGCCGATGTTTCGTCGCTTTCAAATTTTCCGATTGTTACGGCTCCCGTGTTTCAGCTTGTGCTCAACTATTGTAAAGTTACGGAGACAACGGTAAGTAAAATTGAGTATACAAATTTATTGCTTTTTTTGTTTTAGATCTCAGCCGTTTTGTCAAGATTTCCGAATGTGACCGATTTGTACGCGAGTGGAAATCGTCTAACAACATTTAATCCGGGACAAAGTGGAAAAAAGCTGCGGTTTGCGAACTAAACTTCGCCCAAACAAGCTTTGATTTAGACTTGTTGATCTGGAACTGAACCCGATCAAAAGCCTCGAGGTCATCGATCCAGAGAATTTCATGGAGAAGTATATCTCTGAATATGAACCAAGAAAGATTCCATTTAGTTTGGAAAACTAGAGTCTACAGAGTTGTAACGTTGTAACGATTTTGGGCTAAAAGGACGTTTTCGACGCCTAACAACGATGAATTTGAAAGGAAATCCGATCAATGAGGTTAAGTAAATGTTCATTTCTGTCTTTAAACGTGTTTTAGTGGTCATCGATTGATAATTTGGCCACTTTGGACCGACTGCAGACACTTTTTGTCACGTCAGCAAACTTTGAAGGATTAAACGGACTTGATGTTAGAGAGGTGAGCTTGTTTAGTTGATTAGATAATTTTTTTTGCATAAACAATCAAACATCTATTTTTAGATGATTATCGCCAAGCTGTCGAAATTGACGATGCTAAATCGAGAAGACATCAGCGCTATTGAAAGGAGATCGGCTGAATTGTGGTGAGTCAATTATCATGCACAGACAACCGACTAAATTCAAATTTTCACATTCACTTCGCTATTTACCTATCTTTAGATTTATCAGCAAATGCAACGGCTTGGAAGAGGCTTTAAAGGCGCCACATGAAAACGATATTAAGCGGCTGATTCAGGTTTTGTTCTTAGGAGTCAAACTGACTTGACACCACAGCTTTAGATTCATGGTGAACCGATAGCTGATAAAAACAAGGCGAAAAAGATTAACGTTGTCAAAGTGAGCATCTCGTATCAGGGGAAATCCCTTTTGCGGCCACTTCCCACCTCGTCGACGGTAAGTGTTTTGCAAAAAGAGTTGGAAGGGTAGCAACCAGGAATAATAACAATATTTTTAGGTATCAAAGGTGACCCAGATTGCGGCTCGTCTCTTCGCTCTACCAAATTTTATCCTTTCGTATTTTTGTCCCAGATCTAAAAATTGCTTATCAATGATTAGTCTTTTTTATTCCAATTTTTCTCAAACAAACCGAGTCCATTAAAAAGAATAAGTCGAAATTGTGTACATGATCACAAACGTGCGAATAAATGGAGTCAAGTAGAGAAAATTTGGTATTGTTTTCATTTTGAAGTCGCCTTTTTTCTTCCTTTTTTTTCGTGTGAGATGAGGCTCCTTTGTGGAAAATGTCCTTACGCAGCTTCTGTGCAGTATAACTAAAATGATTTAAAATCTAAGCCTTTATTCCAATACTTACCTTATAATATCCTTTGACTGAACAAAAGTCAGTTGTTTTTCCTTGTTTGCAGGGATTAGTGATTGAACGCTAAAAAAGGCAATCAAATACGTAAAAATCAACAAACTCTGAGGTCTGATTGCAAGCGCACAACTCGCTACGATCGTCTGAAGAAATTGTATTGCATTTATCTAAAAGACAATATTTAGAGATTCAATAATACTACTAATCAGTTGCATTGATCATTGTGCGCACCATGTTCAAGCATTTGTTTGTTGAAGAAAAGTGGATCCTTGTCGAGCAGCTGGCTTTGGCCAGCCATCGTGATCGAGCTTGATTCTAAAAATGTTGATCAACAATCTATTAATAAAAACCATCAAGGCTAAAACTTACAGGATTTTAGGCGTGGGTGCAAGTTTGATCTTTCCGGCTCACACCTTCAGCACCACTTCAGCATTGATCGGAAGATCGTCATCGCTTTGTTCAAACCAAAACCGGTCGTCCATCTGTAATGAAAATTTCTCCTGATTCTTTTACCATAACCCGGGAGGTCTATTGATAAATATGATATAAAAAGATGGTGAAGAAATCCGGTGCCTAGCAGGGCTGATGACGTGAGTCATTGAAATCGGGTTTTCCTCGTTCCTTTAAAGCCCTATTGATATTGATTTATTGTTATGGTGTCTTTCGTCTTAAAAATTGAATTTTCAAGTCGTATTTCGTGGATTTGGCCCCGTACATGATCACCACTCAAGAGTCAATCGATGAGCTCAATCAACAGCTGAAGAGAGAAGAGAATCCGGTAAAAAATTTCTCGAAAATAATATTAGGTGTGTGAAAAAGTAATCCACGTTTTTAACGTTTAAATATAAAAGACCATAAGTTTCGTTAAAATAATTTTTATTCAACGAAGTAATCACCATTCGAACAACCTTTTGAAAGAAGAACAACCTTTTGCCAACGTTCTACAAGTAAAGACATTCCACGATAATAAAAATCTTGGTCCTTAGAGGCAAAGAAAAGATCAACCTCGGTTTTGACATCTTCTTCGGAATTGAACCATTTATTGGCCAAAAAGTTAGACAGAGACAAAAATAAATAATAATCAGATGGAGAAAGGTCTGGACTATAAGCTGGATGTGGTAAAACCTCCCATCCAACACTCTGGATTTTTTGTCGAGTCTGTAAAGAGACATGTGGTCGCATGGATCATGGAGCAACAGGACACCTTTCCGATTTACCAATGATGCGCGTCTCTCAGTGAGTTTTTGTTCGACTGCATCAATCTCGGCACAATAGACATTCGAATTAATCGTTTGGCCACGTGGTAAATAGTCTATGTGCAGTCTATGTGCAGTCCACCAAACTGTCATTAAAATTCTTTTAGGATGGACATTGTCATTTTTACATGGAGCAACAGGACACCTTTCCGATTTACTCCATGACATTTGTCATTTTTGTCATGGACATTTTTAGGATGGACATTGTCCCAGCAGGTTTACTACGTTCCACCCACTCGTCCAGACCTTCTAGAATTATCGTAATCAACCCATTTTTCATCACACGTAACAATTCGATCAATAAATGGCTCAAGTTGATGTTTACTAATCAAAGAATTGGCGATTGTAAGGCACATTGTTTTGTTTTCTTCGCTCAATTCATGCGGTATCCATTTGTCCAACTTTTTGATAAAATTCATGGCATTCAAGCGTTTCCTTACGGTTGACCCATCACAATTTAATGTAAGGCCTATTTCTGAAGAGGTTGAACGAGGGTTTTCGAGAAGACAGCGTCTTATTTGGTCATCAGATAAAAATAAAAAAACGTGGATTACTTTTTCACACACCTAATAGAAATAAACAGGAAAATCTATTATAAAATATTGTAAAAAGATCAAATTATCTCGCTATTTGATGCGATTTTTCAGATTGACAACGTGCAATTCCGCGGAATTCAAGTTATAATTCGCTTTGTCAGGCTGTTTTTACAACTTTACCCCCTTCCGTGCGTTCCAGCTTTGCTATTTCACTAATCAGTAAGTCCAGCGAAACCCTAGGGGCACGGTAATGCATAGCAAGACAAATCAAGGTATATGGTAGTTTTCGATTCAATGCTCTAGGGCTGTTTTTAAGCGTCTAATACCTCGTGTGCACTCCAGCTTTGCTATTCCACTAATCGATGGGTCCAGGGAGGCCCTAGGGGCACGGTAATGCATAGCAAGATAAATCAAGGTATACGGTAGTTTATAATTCGCGAATTAATTCGAGAAATGCCAATCGACTTGGGATGAAGACACGTGGGGAGAGCTGAGATTTGGCGATCATCACCAAGCGACAACGCTCGAATGCTTTAAACCGTGCACAAGGTTTGCGAATTTTCTAAGGAAATCGGATTTACAATAATTTTCTTTTTATTTATTGAATTTCCGATGGCTCAAGGTAATCGATTTGATGGGAAAATGATTTTTTTTGAGGTTTGATGTTTTTTTTCATGATTCTCGTTATATTATGATTTCTTATTGATGATTTCGTAATCACAATCATGTTAAATCCTGAAAATTTGACAAATTTGACAAATTCGATAGCGAAATTTACATTTTAAGCACAAAAAATGAGAAAAAATGAGAAAAAATGACACAAAAATGAGAAAAAATGAGAAATGCAAAGATTCGACATCATTTTTTAACTGAATAACTTGAGATTTCGATGAGAGAATGCGAGGTGTTGAAATGGGGCAAAAATCCAGAGAATTCCTGAGGTCAGTGGGGATTTTGAGAGGAAAAGCGACGATTCTGGATGTCACGAAAGAGAGAGGGCGAGTTTAGAAATGTACATATTTGAAATGTACATATTTGTGTTATCTTTTGGGCCGGGGTAGCTTGGTTGTACGAGGCGCGTAATTTGTGCTCTCTGGTAAACGCTCTCCTCTGGCACACTCGCTTGTGCTTTGAGGGGTGTACCAGAGAGCGGAAAGAGCGCGACAAGATCGTCAAGTTACCGTAACCTTTGGCTCATTTACAGTCACCCGTAAGTGGCGAGACCATTTGCGGAAATATTTTCAATACGGCCGTTGAGCCGATTGTCCATAAGACATAAACGAGTTTTGCTGTTGTTGCGGTGATTGGAAACCGACCTGAAAATCGTTTAACGCTTGAGAAAAAATGATTTAACTTTAAATTTTGCTTATTGGACCTTTCATACGCGCCCCGCCCCCTTTTGCCATTGGCAATCTAACTTTGAACTCAAATAGCTTGGCGTTGAGCTGTCTAATTTAGCTATTCTTGGTATCATTAGATGCGCCAAGTCTTTCCCTGTCGATTGGTACAAAAACTATTGATACTGGACAATCCAAAGCCGAGATATTTGAGCTCAAAGTTAGATTGCCAATGGCAAAGGGGGCGGGCGCGTATAAAAGGTCCTTTCGGCCCCGCCCCTTTTGTGAAAAATGCTGAAAATAATAAAAACAAAAAATTTGTTTTCAATTTAAGTTTTTAGCCAAGTTTTGCGGTCATCGGACATTTAAAACGCGCCCTGTTCTTTTGCCATTGGCAATCCAACTTTGAGCTCAATTATCTTGGTGTTGGGCTGTCCAATTTAGCTATTCTTGGTATCATTCGACGCGTCAAGTCTTTCTCTTTCGATTGATACTAAAAACTATTTAAATTGGACACCCCAAAGCCGAGATATTTGCGCTCAAAGTTAGATATGCAAAAGGGACGGGGCGCGTATATAAGAAACGCCCCGCCCCTTTTGCCATTGGCTTTCTCTGCCGATTGGTATAAAACTATTGAAATTGGACAGCTGAACGCCAAGATATTTGAGCTTAAAGTTAGACTACCAATGGAAAAAGGGGCGGGGCGCGTATATAAGAAACGCCCCGCCTCCTTTATCATTGGCAACTTAGGACTCAAATTTCTTGGTGTTGGGCTGTCCAATTTAAATAGTTTTTGTACCAATCGAAAGAGAAAAAGCCTTGCCGCATCTAATGATACCAAGAATATTCAAATTGGACACCCAAACACCAAGATATTTGAGCTCAAAGTTAGATTGCCACTGACAAAGGGGCGCGGCGTGCCCCAGAATCTCAAATTTTGTCTAAAGTTTGTCTCAGCTCCCACCTGTTGCATCTCTTCATCCGTCAACAGCTTACATTTGCGTAAACGTTTCCATTCACCGGTGGAAAAGTCCATCTGAAATGAGTTTCTAAGTAGAATTTCATAATTTTCAAGTCCACACATCTTTCGGGAGCACTCAATTCCTTCAATTTTGTCGAAAAGCATCACTTTGCTTTTGAGCATCACTTTGCTTTTGCGATTTTGAATCGCTTGAATCATAGGTAAAAATTTGTGTGCTTTTCAAAGCGATTTTTACCTATCGTAACCCTTTCCAATCAACTTTAAACTGTGTTTTTTTTGAAAAGAGCGCAAAAATTGACCTTAGAAAAGTGTTTTTCGGAATTTTTTTAACGGTTCTCACTAGGCAAACAAGATCGAAATGGAAATTCCCGCCTTAGAAGTAACTCCGGAGTCTTTTTTTGCGCTCTTTTCAAAAAATCCAGTTTAAAATTGATTGGAAAGGTCTACGATAGGTAAAAATCGCTTTGAAAAGCACACAAATTTTTACCTCTGATTCAAGCGATTAGAAATCGTTTCAAATTTTTGCATTCTTAAAAGTCTTATGGTGCCACTTGTAGGGCTAAAAAAGAGCTTTCAGAATCTTTATGGCACAGGCTTCTACGATGACTAGCCACAATGTGACAAGCCTCCAAAGAAGCAGCATTTTTTTGGAGAGGATATAATTTTGGCCGGTACCATATGGTCTGTTAACATCCAGTTTGCAGTTCTGGCTTTCCTTGCCGGCTCAGGAGCTTTTTCTGGGCCAGGCAAGGCAAGGCCAGGCAAGGCAAGGCCAGGCAAGGCAAGGCCAGGCAAGGCAAGGCCAGGCAAGGCAAGGCAAGGCCAGGCAAGGCAAGGCCAGGCAAGGCCAGGCAAGGCCAGGCAAGGCCAGGCAAGGCCAGGCAAGGCCAGGCAAGGCCAGGCAAGGCCAGGCAAGGCCAGGCAAGGCCAGGCAAGGCCAGGCAAGGCCAGGCAAGGCCAGGCAAGGCAAGGCAAGGCAAGGCCAGGCAATAATTTTGCCCGGTGCTGTAGGCTCGATTAGGAAATCAAAGAACACGAATTTCTAGATCGCTTACAAACATTGACTCACTTGAAAGAACGTCTCGACCCTCATCTTCACCAATCCCGATTCCATCATACCATCCTCGATAGTCTCCGACAATTTGATCGTGATGATATGCCCGATATCGGGACGAGGATTCACTAGAATCTATTACATATAAAGCAGAAGAGACGTCTGTCCGTCTGTTCGTCTTTTTTGTCTGTCCGCCTGTGCGTAGCCATTGGCAAAAAGAAGGGGGGCTTAGATTGTGTGGAAACGTGGAAAACGTGGACCTTTCGAGGTCCACAGGTTAAGCAATAAATGAACAAGTAGGACGAATAGGAAATCGAATCGACTAGTCGATCAATAGTAGATCAATCCCAGAAAAAAAACAAACCTTTATTCCCGCACATGAAATCCAAAACGATTTGCCGTCCAGCTTGATCTAAACGATTCGCCGTTCGGAGCATTTCCTCGCACTGTCGGCGCACTTGGTCGTTCTAGAAATTTGCATAAAACAAGGCTTCCAAGAAAAAGACTTCTAGACTGTCTATCGGACTTCTAGACTGCCTAATGGACTTCTAGACTGCCTATCGGACTTCTAGACTGCCTAATGGACTTCTAGACTGCCTATCGGACTTCTAGACTGCTCTATCGGACTTCTAGACTGCCTATCGGCCTTCTAGACTGCCTATCGGCCTTCTAGACTGCTTATCGGCTTTCTAGACTGCCTAATGGACTTCTAGACTGCCTTCTAGACGGCCTAAAACTTTGGGAAATCTCATTTTTAGCATTTCAATGAATTTCTACAATTTTCACACCAATCAGATGTCAAATTTAAAGAAGATTTAACTCAAAATCTTTTCCATTAATTTCCCATCTTTCCCATTACCTTATCCGGATTGAAATTCACGTTTTGGGGTGCTGGTTGTCGGAGAGCTGGTGGCTAAAAATAATATTCAAACTAAGAATTCAGAAACAAAGTTGTTTTCAGAGAGATTTCCAAAAAAAAGACTATAGTCGACGCTCGAAAGTAAATCATTGAAGGGATTCTCTAAAAAATGATTTACTATCGAGCGTGATTTATTATTGAGCGTGATTTATTATTGAGCGTGATTTGCTATCGAGCGATGTACTATCGAGCGATGTACTATCGAGCGATGTACTATCGAGCGATGTACTATCGAGCGTGATTTACTATCAAGCATGCTTTACTTTCGAGCGTGGTTTACTTTTTAGCCTGATTTCCTATCAAGCGTGCTTTACTTCCAAGCGTGATTTCCTATCGAGCCTAATTTCCTATCGAGCCTGGTTTCCTATCAAGCGTGATCTACTTTCGAGCGTGATTTCCTATCAAGCGTCGACTGTCATAATCATAGTTCAAATTGTTCACATAGAAATCAAAAATTTTCGAACAAACCGCTTGCTGTGTTTGTGCTTGAGCAGACGCTGGCAATGGTTGCATCGTTTGAGACATCTGAAAAGTGGAATTGAAGCTACTGCACTCAAACTGTGCCTACCCCTTAGTCGTTTCACTAATTTTAGCTAAAAAAGTAGCTAAAAATTGCTAAAACGGCTACAGTACCCAAAATTTGTCTATATTGAGCCGTTTTTTATTGTTAAAAGTTCAACTTTTTAAGACTTTTATTCTTCATTTCGCAGAAAGTTCTCTGTAAATTACTACTAGTTTTCAAGAGGAGATTCAGCGCTATTGAATGATTATAATAGTTTAGTTTAGCATTAAATGTTCACCAGTATTCACCAACAATCGGTAAACCAGAAAAAAATGTTTGATGCAAAGAATTGGCGGTGAGAGGAGTCGAACCCGCGACCTCTCTCTTCCGTTCGTTTTAGAGACAAGCGCGTTAACCACTCGACCATGCTTGAGACCGATCGGCCGTGCTTGAAAGAGCTTAACTCGGCCACTCGGCCATCCTTGAAAGACGTGAACTCGCCACTAAATGTGAAGAAACCTGGTTAAGACCGGTTTTTTCTGGCTAAGCTTTCATTGCCTCCATGGCGCAGTGCGAGCGTTCTTGCCTCCAGCCCACATGGCGCGGGTTCGACTCCCGCCCGCGTAGCCAATTTTGGTTTTTTAAAAATTTAAAAACATTTTCCATAACTAGATGAAATTCTAAGGTAAACTAACTAAAAGTTATTTAAAACGGCTTATTAGAAGCGGAGGAGTAGTGCGCACAAATAGACAGACACAGCTCTATTTAGTAGATAGTAACTACGCAACTGTAAACGCAATCACAATCGTGCAATCAATGTGTTAAAGCTCACCCGTCTCTGCACAATCATTTGTGGAGCATTTTGGAGTTGTTGTTGTTGCTGTTGTTGCTGCTGTTGCGCTCTTTGGTGATTTTGGGTTTGTTGATTGGGAATCGTTTGGAAAAGGCCACCAGATTGGAGTTGCACCTGAGAATGAAATATATTGCTAGATTGATTGAGAATATATTGTAGATAGCGTAGATTTCCGGAAAGGGCATTGAAATTTCGACCTTTTGCTTTTGCTTTTACTTTCCGACCAATTACTCTAACCACGAGCTATTTTCGGTATCTTAACTTGCCAAGAGAAAGAAGGAAAGACAAGGGGAAGAAGAAAGAAAGCAAGGAAGAAAGAAAGCCAGAAAGAAAGCAAGAAAGAAAGAAAGCCAGAAAGAAAGAAAGAAAGAAAGAAGGTATTCAACAGGACCTGGATCGGTTGAACAAGCCGCTGTTGTTGCTGGGGTTGAGTGGTCTGCACGACGACGCGCATCGGCTGGAACTCGATTTGATTCGATTTGATTTGAACTCGACTTAGTTTTTACTACTTAAATGGCTCAAATCACTAATTGGGACTTAGCTTTTTGTAACTTTTTGCAAGAAATTGAGTAAACTTTAAGTGTTTTGGTGAACAAACTAGACTATTCGTTAGTTTTTTTGCTAGATTTCGTTAGATTTCGTTAGATTTGTTCCAATTCCAAATCTATTTTTAACCCATTTAGCTATCGATCACACCTGAGCATTTCCTTGCTGTTGGCCGATCCGATTTTGATTCGTCGTTTGAACTGCTGGTGGCGGTTGGGTCATATGCGAGAGGCGATATTGCAGTTGCTGAGGTTGAGGTGAGTCATCGGATGATGGGCGACGCTCCTTGAAACAAGATTTGCCTTAGATTGTTTGATTTTCTTATCGAGTCAAACGTTGTTTCAGTGTGCCAGGTGGTGAACGTTTGCAAGGGAAGCTCAAAGTATACACAAAGTATACACTAACACTTCATTTGGTCACTTCCAGAGTATATGGCCAATCCGGAGGGTTGGCGTCTGGGGTCGTGCGCGGATTGTGGGACATTGGGATGGGATTGTGGCATACGCGCACTTTGCCATTGGCACTCCAACTTTGAGCTCAAATATCTTGGTGTTGAGGTGTTCAATTTGAATATTCTTAGTATCATTAGATACTCCAAGTCTTTCTCTATCGATTGGTGCAAAAACTATCGAAATTGGACAACCGAACGCCAAAATATTTGAGCTCAAAGTTCGATTGCCAATGGAAAAGGGGCGAGGCTGGCTAGCTGGCTGCTCAAAGCTTACCTGTAACAATGGGACATTTCTTTGTTGTTGCTGCTGTGGCTGATGGTTGTTCTGTGGAAGCGGTTGAAAGAGGGTGTGCAGATCCTGGAATGGAAAGAATGCAAATCCTGGAATGGAAATCCTGGAACGGAAAGAATCCATCATACTTTGAAGAAAAACTCGTCTTTCTTTTTGCCTCAAATCTCAGAAAATGCTAACTTGGTGCGCTAGATCGCTTGCGCTTACCTGTCTTGCCCCGCGTCCAATCCCGGCTCTCATCGGTTGACTCATCAAAGAATTTCGCTGTAAAAGTTACCTTTTTTTAAAGTAAATAGTTCAGTTATAGCTTTGAATTAAATCTTACATCATTTGGATTCGAATTTGAAAAAGCTCGCTGCTGAGCGGGTTCATTGATCGACTGAAAGAGTGCTGATGGAGACTGAAAAGGGAAACTCTTTTTGATTGCTTTTGAATGTTTTTAATTGCTTTTGAATGCTTTTGATTGCCTTTGAATGCTTTTAATTGCTTACAATTGCTAAACGTTTTGCTACGAAATCAAAAAAGATTTTGAGCGCTACTTGATCTGGTAGATCATACCGAATTCGTTGATCTACCTGCATTGGCGAGGCTGAAGTAGTTGGTGAGAGAAGCGGCGATTTTTGGGGTTGATTGAGGAGACGCCGCGGTGGCTCGCTGGGCAATTGCTGAAATTGAAAGCTTGCGGAATAAAGAAAGTGTACTCAAAACTTCTAAACACACTCTTTCTGGTGAGTTCTTTCTTTGTCTAATGTCTAGTGTCTAATTTCTTTGTCTACTGCTTGACTTGACTGCTTGACATGTCTGCCTGACTGCTTGACATGTCTGCTTGACTTCTAGCGCCCAGTTGAAACATCTCTAACAGAACAAGTTTTACAAGTTGTCTAATTTCTAATTTCTTTGTCTGCTTCGTCGCAGTGCTCAGCTTTTCAATCAGCCTTCTCACCTGAAACAATCCGCCGTGTGGCAAGCGTTGCTGTTGCGGTGATTGTTGTGCGATTGCGATGCCAGAAATCGGTGACATCATTGGGGGAGAGTCGGGTGTGAGTGCTCGAACGGCAGCTCTTTCCTCATCGTCAATCAATTTTTGCGATTTTTTCTCCAAGTCGAACTAAAAAGCTACTTTTAACACGCTAAAATTGATGCTAATTTTTATGGTTTAATTTTATAAAATGTTAATTACAATAGAGCCAATTATAAGCTCAATTATAAACATTAAAAATAGTTTTAGGAATTTAGGAATAGAATTTAGGCATAAACATTAAAAGCTCAACGAAAGTTTTCCCCAAAAGGAATCGAACCAGGGATGTCCGGAGCCGGCTTCGAATCCCGATCCGAATTCGAATCCAGATCTGGGTTTGGATCTGGATCTGGGTTTGGATTTGGGTTTGGATCTCTGTACAAACAAACAAAGAACGAAAAGACGACTACAAGACACTCCAATAGACAGTTCATAGTACTGTCGTCAAGTCAGCTTTTTGTTCTTTGTGTGCTTGCGTAGAAATCCAGATCCAAATCCAAATCCAGATCCAAAGCCGGATCCAAATCCCGATCCAAATCAGGATCCTGATGCAAATCCGGATCCAAATCCAGATCTAAATCCAGATCCAAATCCAGATCCAAAGCCGGAGCCAAAGCCGGATCCAAAGCCAGGGCCAAAGCCGGATCCAAATCCCGATCCAAATCAGGATCCTGATCCAAATCCGGATCCAAATCCAGATCTAAATCCAGATCTAAATCCAGATCCAAATCCAGATCCAAAGCCGGATCCAAAGCCGGATCCAAAGCCGGATCCAAATCTCGATCCAAATCAGGATCCTGATCCAAATCCGGATCCAAATCCGGATCCAAATCCAGATTTAAATCCAGATCTAAATCCAGATCCAAATCCAAATCCAAATCCGAATCCAAATCCGAATTCAGATCCAAATCCAGATCCAAATCCAGATCTAAATCCAGATCTAAATCCAGATCCAAATCCAGATCCAAAGCCGGATCCAAATCCAAATCCGAATCTGAATCCAAATCCAAATCAGGATCCAAATCCAGATCTAAATCCAGATCAATCCCGATCCAAATCCAGATCCAAATCCAGATCCAAATCCAAATCCGAATCCAAACCCAAGTCCAGATCCAAATCCAGATCCAAATCCGGACATTCCTGAATCGAGCTCGAGCAAAACAAGGTAGGGTTCGTTTTGTATGCAAACGCTTTATCCACTATCAAGTCACGTTTAAGACCCGCGAGAGAATCCTTATAAAGCTTCTTCGCCTTGAAATTTTGCGCATTTTCACATTTTTCCCTTAGAACTAAAAACACGTAGATCTTTTTCTGGAAAGCCATTTAGCAAAAACGGAAAGCAGATTTGGAATCAGCGTTCTGTGCCAAATGGTTGGCCAAATGCTACTGTTGCTTTTTCTTTTAAAAGCTTACCAGCATTTTCCCTGAATCCACGGTGACTTTCGGATTCGCTTTTGGTGGTTCTTGGGCGATTTTCTGAAAGAAAAGCGAATCGCATTTTCCTCTCAATTTAGCTAATGGTTAAAGGATGAGCAACGAAAAACAACCAGATTTAAGACAAAGATTTGAGCATAGTGACTAAGGAAACTAACTGCTTTTTTTAGCTAACAGACTTACAGGGTAGACCTGCATAGCGAGTCTGGGAAAAATTTTCCGACCGACTGCTTTGCGCTTCGATTTTTTACTACCCAAAGCTCCTTCGGGGATGAAATCCAGTTCCTTCGCAAGCCCTTATTTTAACCTTCATTTTAATACTAAACATGACTAGGTTCTGTTTTACCATTCTTTAGATTTCGATCAATCTTTCGCCGAACTCGATAAGCTAAGGGGTTCAGAAAATTTTTGATCTAAAATGATCGAAATCTAAAGAATGACAAAACAGAACCTAGTCATGTTTAGTATCAAAATGAAGCTTAGAATAAGGGCTTGCGGGGGAACTGGGTTTCATCTTTGAAGGAGCTTTGGGTAGTAAGGAATCAAAGCGCAAAGCAGACTGGCGGAAAATTTTTCCCGGGCTCGTTTAGCAAGTCTAGAGTGTAGAATTTGAAGGAAAAATACGGCTAAATTGAGCTAAATTTAAGGAAAATACGGCAAATACGGTTAAATTTAAGGAAAATCGAGTGAAATCGAGTGGAATCCAGCGAAATCCAGCGAAACCCAGCGAAACCCAGTGAAATCCAGCGAAATTTCTTCTCAAAAAGAGATTAGCAGCCTTTAAGCGATAACAAAGAATGACCAAATACCAAATAAAAGCCAAATTTGCCGAATTTACATCCCAATTCATTAGCAAATAAGAATTTGAAAAAGGTACGCAAATTCTGAGTCAACCTTTTCAACCAGTCCCTTTTAAAACTCACATTGATCCCCTCATCACCGGAGCTTTGTGAGGCAAGTGACGGGTTTCGGGAGATCTGCAACAGTAAAAATTAAAGTAAATTGGTTAAATTGGTTCTTGTCCGTTATACATCCGCAAAATTTGCATTTTGACCGACCGACCGATCGGTCAAGACCCTATTGGAAGCGTTGAATGAACAATGGATCCTATTGGATTCTATTGGAAGCAATGATTGAGCTGTTGGAAGCGACGATTGGAACAATGGATTCTATTGGAAGCGATGATTGGAACAATGGATCCTATTGGAAGCGATGATTGAACATTGATCTTATTGGATCCTATTGGAAGCGATGATTGAGCTATTGGAAGCTATGATTGGAACAATGGATCCTATTGGAAGCAGATTATTGAACTACTGGAAGCGTTGAATGAACAATGGATCCTATTGGAAGCAATGCTTGAACAATGGATCCTATTGGAAGCAATGCTTGAACAATGGATCCTATTGGAAGCAATCATTGAGCTATTGGAAGCTATGATTGAACAATGGATCCTATTGGATCCTATTGGAAGCAATCATTGAGCTATTAGAAGCGATGATTGAACATTGATCCTATTGGATTCTATTGGAAGCGATGATTGGAACCATGGATCCTATTGGAAGCGATGATTGAACACATCGAGCCGAGAACCAGTGCAGGAAAATTGACTCGGATGGGTGGCGAGGATACAGCACTCAACAAAAGCCAAGAAAAGAAAGCCGGCTTTACCCACGCTCAACTCAACCACAAGTACAACTTCCTGAATCCGGGATGACCGTGCCATTCACACGCAGACGATCGAGCGTCTATGGGGATCATGTAGAAATGGAAACAAGAAGGAGAAATCAAATGGATAAACAAAAAGCATCGCAGCAAAGCACGTCATTTCCATTTTCCCATCAAGCAATCTCGTTGAATTCATGGTGCGACAAGAAGTGGGAAAGGACGATTTCAACGATTTCAACGAATTGATCAAAGAAATTGATTGGTTTTTGATTATTAAATGATGAGGGGTTATTTTTGCGGATTTATAACAGAAAAGGACTATTAAATTTAAGGATTTCGTTAAGTTTATAGCTTTTTTTTTGATCAATTTACCGATTTTGACGTCACTTTTGCGGCTTTCATCATGGCGAATCGCTCGGCTTTCTTCTTTTCAGCTGCAATTTTCTCCTCTTCTCGACGCTTTTTCATTTCCTCGATTCGAGCTTCCTGAAGTAATAAATATCTATTTTCAATTTAGATTACAGTAGCTTTTAGTATTGCTCATTTTTTAGTCTATCAATTGCAATCAATTGCATTTTGTTTCTCTTGAAAATTCCAAGATTCGGACACTATAAACTACAAAAAAACTGTTCAATGAACTGTTCAACTAAAAAAGTTTCTAAATTGCTTTAAATCTGTTGGTTTGTTACCAGCTAGAGCTCAAAAAATAGAGAATTTCAAGAGCTTTTGAATGAACTAAAGCACATTGAAAACTATCAATTCTAAAGAAAGTTACAGTGATTTGTAGCCGGCTCGATCGTTTTTACTATAACTTTCTTTAAAATTGATAGTTTTCAATGTACTTTAAGACCATTCGAAAGCTCTTGAGATTCTCTATTCTTTAAGCTATAGCTCATAACAATCCGACAATTATGAACCAATTTAAAAGCGTTTATAGTTTTCGTTTGTAGTTTCCGCTTATAGTGAATTGTAGCCCTGATTCTTGGCTACATTTTTCAACCAAAAATTTCCCGATTGGACTTATACAACTTGTTTAACAAGCGTTTGAATGAGCACTGTCGACATTTCTCCAGCAAATCGACTAGCGCTCATTCAAGCGCTTGTTAAATGAGTTGTTTGAGTGCAATTGAGAAGTTTTTCATAGAAAATGTAGCCAAGAATCAGGGCTACAATTCTCTATATAGCAATTGCCACTTTTGGAAGCAATTAAAAATTTCCCAGCTACTTTTCTAAAAGGTTCTCGCTATAATGTCGCGAATCGACTAGCGCTCATTCAAGCACTTGTTAAATGAGTTCTAGAAGTCCAATCTGGAAGTTTTTGATAGCAAAATGTAGCCAAGAATCAGGGCTACAATTCTCTATATAACATGTGCTACTTCTAAAATAACTTAAGCGTTTTCCAGCTACATTTCCAAAACCTTTCCAAAAATTCACCCCACCTTTCAATCGCAATCAACTTGAAAACAGTTTTTTCCATAAATTTCCATAAATTTTAAAGCACTCACCTTTTCCTCCTTTTCTTTCTTTTTCATTTCCTCTTTCTCATCAGCTTTTCTTTTTCTTTCCTCAGCCATTACATCAATTTTTCGTTTTTTCATCGATTGCGGAATTTCGCTGATGTCTAGCAGTTTTGCGCCACCTTCTCTGAAAGATTTTTGTTTGAATTTTTCTATCCAATTTATCCAAAATGTATCCAAAATGGATTCAAAATCGAAAAACTGAATGCAAGCTACCATTCAAAGCTACCTTTTTAAAGCTATCCTTCAAAGCTATCCTTCAAAGCTATCCCTCAAAGCTATCCTTCAAAGTTATCTCTCAAAGCTATCTTTCAAAGCTATCCTTCAAAGCTATCTTTCAAAGCTATCCTTCAAAGCCATCCTTCAAAGCTATCCTTCAAAGCTTTACTTCAAAGCTATCCTTCAAAGCTACCTTTTTAAAGCTTTACTTCAAAGCTATCCTTCAAAGCTACCTTTTTAAAGCTATCCTTCAAAGCTATCCTTCAAAGCTATACTTCAAAGCTATCCTTCAAAGCTATCCTTCAAAGCTACCTTTTTAAAGCCGGCCTTTGAAATTTCTTCGGTTCATTCGAGAATCCAGCTGACAATTTGCAGGTGTTCATCACTACTTTCGTCATTGGAACTGCAAATTTCGATAGAATAAATTTTGTGGAAGTTCTAAGCAATAGTTTTTAAGTTTTGAGCAATAGTTTTTAAGTTTGAAGCAATAGTTTTCAAGGTTTAACCAAATAAACCTCTTCCTTTCTCAACTCACGATCGTTATTCGGTTTCCTGGCCGTCGAGCGAACCTTGCAAATCGGCAATCCGTGAAGAGAGCCCTTCGATTTTCCAATAGGGTTTGCTGCAGCTTCGGCCTCTGAAATGAGATCATCAATTCAAAGCCTACGATCAGATTTCCATATTTAAATCTGTGTTTCAGAGAGAACGTCTTGAAGTACCGTACCCTAATTCCCTCAGATGGACAGACAAACAGACAGACAAACAGACAGACAAGCAAACAGACAAACAAACAGACAAACATACAGACGTCTTCGTCCCTTTATCTATAGTACATATTCTAATTCTAGTTTCCATTTCAAACTCACGTTTCAGCACTTCCATCTTCAGCAAATGTGATCGCGGTTTTCGCCTTAACGTGAAGTGTTTCTCGCATTCGGCTTCCGCAATACCATACTGTTGCTGGAAAACTTTTACTATTAGATTTTATAAACGTTACGATACTTTCTAAACAATAAAAAGCTATTTAATAAAGTAGCTGAAGGCATTTTGTTTCCAAAACTTACTTTCAGCACCGAATGTGACATCACTTGCGCCGTTGGCGGCAAAATTCGGATGTCACCCGCTTCGGCGTGACGTTTTACTGAAACAAAAAGCATAATAGGATCAACAGTTTTCCGAAAACCCACCAATTTCTTTCAATTCCCCGAGCGCCGAATAGAAATGAGATTCCGAGGCGGATGGCTCGGGCACGATTCGACTCGTCTGCGGTAACTCGCTGGAAATTTTGAATTTTGAAATTTTAAAAGCAAATTCGAGCAAGCTGGATGTCACGTAATTTGCTGACTCACCGATAGAATTCCGCTACCGCTTCCACCCAGTCGTCGGCGTCGCGTCGCGCCAGGTTCAGTAGGATTTCCACTTGGGGACGCCACTGAAATCCGTTTTTTTTCAACGGAATCTTTAGTTTTGGATGTCACAAAAGGTATTGGGCTTGCTAGAATTTGAAAAAAATCGACTTTTGTCATCAATCGGTGTTGAATGTGCGGGATGGCTGTTAGCAGTTTCACTTTGGTGTTCGTCTCGAGTTTCTGGAAAGGATAGGAGTTGGGTAATTGAACCAGGGTTATAAGCTTGCTCTTACAAGCAGTATCTAACCAATATTGAAAGAATAAATAAGCCAGATCAGTCAATGAAGCTGCCTGCCATTTGCCAGAAAATTGCCAAAAATCTGTTAAAAATTTGGAAAAATTGGGTTGAAATTTGAAGATAAGGTTTAAAGAGCGCTTTTCAATCGATTGGACAAGAGGACGAGTGGCCTAGTGGAGAATGGAACGGACTCTAGTACGGATGGGTCGGTGGAAAGGGTCGGGTTCGGTCCCGCTCTTGATTTTTGACTTTTTTTCTTCTTCAAATGTAATACTTTACATTATAACTATTCAATATAATGAAGAAAACTGAAATTTTAAAATATATGCGATCAAAAAGCTTTCAAAACAATAAAAAAAAGCTGTACTCCTTGCTACCGTTCGACTATTTCAATCCCAGTGATTTAAAGCGCTCTTTAAACCTTTTTAAGAAATTTCAAGTCAATTTTTAGCTTATTTAGCTATTTTGCAAGCTTATTTGGGAGATTTTCATTTCAATTATGAATTCCCATACTAGATTTAGTGAAATCTATGTGATTCGGAAGCAAAAGCTCATGAGAATTTCCTAGTTGATAACAAAATGTATTCAAAAAGGAATTTTAACTGAATGTTGTGGTCAAATGAGATGATCCATAGACGATTCGACGCAGAATTCAACACTGGTTCCGAATCTGCTTTCCGTTTCTGCTAGGGAGAACTCTGCCAAAAGTTCTAAGCGTTCAAAGTTTTGTGGTTTTCTTTTGTGGTTTTCTGTTGGTTTTCTTTTGGTTTTCTTTCGTGGTTTTCTTTTGTGTGAGATTTCAAAAAGCCCTGAGTTTAAAAGCAGAGTATAAGCAGACTATAAACAGACTATAAGCAGACTTTCCCAGGCAGTTCAGAGGCAGTGGAGGGCGAGTAGGAATGTGTTAGAATACAGGGCGATGGTCGGGCTTGGGTCCCTGGTTCGAGTCCGCCCTCTACCTTCCTCTGTTCGTTTTTTGAATTTGCAAAGTTAATTGCTCTTTGTTTCAAATATAGATTTATTTTAAAGTATTTTAAATAAATTTTAAATTGTTTAAATGTCATAAAAATGTTCAAAATGTTCACTTTTAACTATTAAAAACAGAAAGAAAAAGCAGATTCAGAATCGGCGTGGAATACCGTTTAATACCGTTGAATAACCCGTGGCACATGTCATTCGGCCACTTAACCCAGTTGCCAGTCAACTTTTTGCCAGTCAACTGGTCGCCAGTCAACTTTTCAGCTGATCTTCTTGGCCGATTGAAAGATTTATAGGCTTATTTACGGGAAATTTCACCTGAAAACACGTCTCCAACTCCTCGAGCATCTCCTTTGAGAGAAAAGATGCGGCATTCCTTCCCTCCCATCCCTCACCACTGTCGCCCAACTTCTTCTCTAACCATTTCACCTAAATATTTCAATCTATTAGGGTGGTGCAAAAGAAATTGTCGATGGGTTGCAGCTCTCATTTATCAGAAACGAGCGATGCTAAAGGCATTATTTTTTTTATGCTTTGTTCGCATACTTGTTATTTTGTTATTTGCTATTTATTTCGACATTTGAATTTTTTGGTTTTTGTTTATTTTATTTAAAATTGGTTGTTGTTTATTTTATTGCTAATTGTTGAGTGTAAAACTGTGTCAAACTGTTCAAACTGTTGGATTTCTGGATTGGATGGATTTCTTTTATTCGGATGGTGCAAAAGAAACTGCTGATTTGACGGTAAATTAAAAAAAAAGATGACTTTCGATGGTGACATGATCACAATGGAATATTTTCGCAAGATCTCGAGCAGATTGGCATGGATTGGCATGGATTGGCATGAAGCGGCCTGAATAACGTCCCTCAGCTTGGCGTCCATTAAAAATGCTTCTATTTTTTATTTAGATCATCGTCGAGGTCGAGGTCGAGATCGAGCAAAAGTTTGTGCTACGAGTAGCATTACTGTTTAAATTCAGAATTGGAAAGTCTGCTGCCCATTGTTCTCTCTGTGAATCGCATCGTTCTCTCTGTACTGCTTTCTCTCTGTGCTGGAAATGGCAGTTTGTCTCTCAGGCAGTATCAGACTTGGTTTCAACGATTCCGAGAGGGAGACGGGACTTTTCCGAGAGGGAGACGCGACGAGAGGGAGACGCGACGGTTCGAGGCCAGATATCTCGCCTCGAACCGTGCTCGTGAACGAAGCCAAGCTGAGGGACGTTATTCAGGCCGATTCATGCCAATCCATGCCAATCCATGCCAATCTGCTCGAGATCTTGCGAAAATATTCCATTGTGATCATGTCACCATCGAAAGCCATCTTTTTTTTAAATTTACCGTCAAATCCATCCAATCCAGTCGTTTCTTTTGCACCACCCGAATAAAAGAAATCCATCTAATCCAGAAATCCAACAGTTTGAACAGTTTGACACAGTTTTACACTCAACAATTCAAACCCACCAGATCATTATCCTTCAATACAGTTCCAGGTGCCGAGGCGGCCGTCCTCGGCGTGTAACTCTCCATTTTATGTCCCAAAAAAAGTGTGGACGATCAAAAAATATTCAGAGAATCATCTAAAATATATAGAAATAGAAGTTTTAAATAGATATGAGTCATATGAGTCAATCTTTCACAGAAAATTAAATGCAAAATGAGATTTGAGTTTAAAAAATGAAGATAAGATGAAAATCTAGTCCAATAACAGAATTCGTTCCATTTTGCAGGAAAATGATGTGATCATTAGATCATTTTCGATGTGATCATTGAAAGAGCAAAGAGGAAAAGAAAAAGAAAAAGAAAACTTGATTTCAATCAGTTTTTTGAAAAAAGATTGGCATGGATCCAAGAGAAGGGAGAGGAAGAAATGGAGAGGAAAGGGGAGACGCTGAACTCTCACAGAAAAGACAGAAAGGGGCGCGGTTTAGAGAGGACAAAGGCAAAAATCTGCCAAGCACTCCCGGCAGGCGAGGGGGTCACCCTGAGCTTTCTTGGAGGACCCCAAGCCCTGACGAAAATACGCTGCCGTCTCGGGGAGCCTATTTAGAGCCTTTGCTCCGAGTTTTAGAGTCTTTGCTTTGAATGAGCGTTGTTTAAGCTGTGCACCCCTCAGATTTCCGACAATTCCCTTGCCTTTGAGTACCCGAGTATTTAGGAGTGCAAAAATCCCCCCAAGCACTCCCGGCAGGCAAGGGGATCACCCTGAAATTTCTTGGAGGAATCACCCCGACCCCAAGCCCTGACGAAAATACGCTACCGTCTCGGCGAGCCTATGCGCCGAGTTTTAGATGGTATGGGTTTATTTAGTAACCTAGGTATGGGGTAACCTCCAAAAAGCTCCAAAAAGCTTCAGTCCATGAAAAATCAGAGTAAAAAACTGCAGCACTTGGGGAGGGGGGCTATTACTAGCCCCCCAAATGCCCCCAAGCACTCCCCGGTGAGGGAGGGGGTCACGCGAGCTATCTTGGAGGAATCACCCTTACCTCAAGCTCTGACGAAGACGCGCCACCGTCTCAGGGAGCAATTGCCCTGGATCTCCGAGCTTTAGAGTCTTTGCTTTGACTGAGCGTTGCTTGAGCTGTGCACTCCTCAGCTTTCCGACAATTCCCTTGGCTTTAAAGTGCCCGGGTACTTAGGCGTGCCATTCTCCTTTTTACCTCACGGACATCCGCCACAATGGCGCACGGAAGATATCCGCTGCCGATAGAAGCTCGGTGACTCCTGCTTTTTATGACCTCCTCTACGTCACGCTGCCATCTCGGGGAGCCTATGCCCGGGATCTCCGAGTTTTAGAGTCTTTGCTTTGACTGAGCGTTGTTTGAACTGTGCACCCCTCAGCTTTCCTCAGTTTTCCGACAATTCCCTTGGCTTTAAAGTATCCGGGTACTTAGGAGTGCTATTCTCCTTTTTACCTCACGGACATCGGCTACAATGACGCACGGAAGATATGAGCTGCCGATAGAAGCTCGGTGACTTATGACCCCATCTAGAACCGTGTGCGAGAAAGCACTTTTCACTGATGAGACAGAAAGTCATTTATTTCATTTTATTTTATTTCGCCTTATCCGGCGACCGATTGGAAAGCGATATTTACTCAAGTACATTAGCTGGACAGTGAAATACAATTAAGGAAACGTTATGTGTTGCGGTAAGGATTTGTTTTTAATTTATTGCTATTTTAGTCTGGACTTATTGCTATTTTAGTCTGGATTATATACAAGAAGCTTTTAAAACATGGGAGAAGCTTTTTAAAACATGAGAGAAGCTTTTAAAACATGAGAGAAGCTTTTTAAAACATGAGAGAAGCTTTTAAAACATGAGAGAAGCTTTTAAAACATGAGAGAAGCTTTTAAAAGATGAGAGAAGCTTTTAAAACTTTCTGTATTTAAAAGCACGTTATCTTGTGTATATTTGGATTCTTTTTAAACGGATAATTTCTTATTTTTTAAATCTTTTTTCTTGCTTTAGATGACCGACTTCAAATATCTGCTTGCGTATGCAAATATCAAATATCTGCGTCTGTCTACTTGACGACTTCAAACTGGGCAAAACAGCCGCGGAATCCCATCGAGTTTTGGTCAAAGCATTCGAGAATGATGTATTGTCGGAAAGCCGATGCCGAGCCTAGTTCCAATGCTTTCGGAATGGTGATGAAAGTCTCGAGGATCATGAACTGATCATGAATCTCGTCAAGAATATTGTTGTCTACCTCAAGCGGTAGACAACGATATTTTGAGGGCTACAATCCAATCGGATTCATGTCAGACGATCCATGTCAGACGCGTGAACTTGCTCAACAGTTTCTATTTTCAAATTCTACCATTGATGAGCATCTGCACGCCATTGGAAAGGCGACCACTGGAAATGGAAAATTGGAAATGGCTTCCTCACGAGTTAAGCAGTGCAAACAAGGCTTCACGGGGCTATTGCGGGAATTCTCATCCACCACGCTAAAGATCATGGCTTTTTTGATTCTCTCGTTACTGGAGATGAGAAGTGGATATATTTCGATAATATTATTCGAAAACGGAAATGGCTAGGACCAGGAGAACGGCCGAATCCGTCCGTGAAACCGTCAATTGTTTTCGCTTTTATGTAACCCGATTTCTCGACTCTTTTGCTTCTTTTACTTCTGGACTCAAAAATTTCACTTCTAACCTATTGGGTTGGTGAATTGAAAACGGGCTGTTGTCATCTGTCACAGTTTGAGCACTTTCTTCAAAAGAAACCCGTTTTGGTGTCAATGGAAAAGTTGTAGAGAATCAAAAATTAAGCTTATATCCAAATTTTCAGAACGATTCAAAAACTGGTTTTCAAGAAATGCCAAATTTTCACAAAGCTTGCATTTTAAGCCAAACTACTAAGTATATCTTTTTGGAAATTTGGCTATAAGCCTAATTTTTGATTCTCTACAACTTTTCCATTGACACCAAAATGGGTTTCTTTTGAAGAAAGTGCTCAAACTGGGAGTCCTCCATCCTCCTCTCCAGTCCTCCATTTTTGAGTCTCACACTTGTCTCACACACAAACCAAAATCCTACCACGAAAGAGGAATCCGCAAATTGCCTGCAAAATGGGCAGAAGTCGTCAATAATAATGGAAATTATTTAGAATGAATTGATGGTTTTATGCTGGATAAATCTTAGTTCAAAGTTCGGCAGTTTTCAATTCAGCAACTTTCAATTCATCAATTCAATGTATCCCGATTTCTCGACTCTTTTCCTTCTTTTAATTCTAAACTCAAAAATTTCATTTCTAATCTAATAACCTTAAGGAAAAACGTGAAAATAATGAATAAAAAGAGCTCTTTTCAAGAAAAACGAGCTCAATATTTTGTGAGATGGGGTTGTTTTTCTCATCGAAGGTCGTTGCAGTGCAGTCGTTGACTTACCTGGTAAGAAGATGGTCAAATGCAGTCGTTGCAGTCGTTTGCAGTCGAATTTAAAGAAATTTGAGTTAATGTTTGGCAGCAAAAATTGCTTTTGGCATGGCAGAAATTGGACTTTATTCGAAATTGCTATATCAAATGTTTTAAGAGAGACGAAATAGAGATTTTGGCTTTAATTTGTAACTTTACACTTAACTTTTTACACTTAACTGTTAATGTTAACTTTGAATGGTTAAATTGTAATCATTCCGACATCAATGAAGCTTTAAATTCTCTTCAATTCGCTTTTTTCAATTGTTTTCGCTTTTATGTAACCCGATTTCTCGACTTTTTTGCTTCTTTTACTTCTAGAGTCAAAAATTTCATTTCTAATCTAATAACCTTAATCAAAAACGTGAAAATAATGAATAAAAAGAGCTCTTTTCAAGAAAAACGAGCTCAATATTTTGTGAGATGGGGTTGTTTTTTTCATCGAAGGCGAATCCACTATTCTTTTCGGATTCTGTCTTATCCCGTGAATAGAATTTCCAGAGAAAAGAGAACGGCCGGGGAAAACGAATAAAAAAGAACGTGCTGCGCTCCAGGATGGCCAAAGAAATTGGAGAAAAGGGTTATTGATCAACGGGAGACGAGAAAAAAGGGGGAAGAGTGGAGGTGAGGCTGGGGGCCCTCTCTTTCATGCAAAAAGGATGGGCCCGACGACGATGCCCTGCCTGCCATCCAATTTCTCCTATTTTCTCCGAATTTCACTCTTCTTTCCCTTTTTTGATGCGTTTTCTGTATGGAACGCGTTTTTTTTGTGGTTTGATTCGATATTTTGCGTTTGGTTGGATATTTCGGATTTCCTGGTTTGAGTATAGATTCTGCATCATCTAGTTTTTCAATTGTTGTATTGGTTTCGAGTCTGACCCTGACCAGGATGAGGCTTAGACTTAGGCTTAGGCTTGAACTTAGTGCGAAGGCTAGCGCCTCGCACTAAGTCTATTTGGGTTTAGGATTTTTCTGGATCTCGGCCAGTTTAGGCTTAGGCTTAGACTCATGACCAAGCTAAGTACACCAGAGCAAGGACTGGAGTCAGATTTGGCAAGACTTACCTGGTCAGAAGATGGTCAAATGCTGATCAGAAGGTGATCAGAAGCTGGATTAAAAGCTGATTAGAAGCTAGCCAAAAGCTGGTCAAAAGCTGATCAAAGGCTGGTCAGAAGCTAGTCAGAAGCTGGATTAGAAGCTGGTCAGAAGCTGGATTAGAAGCTGATTAGAAGCTAGCCAAAAGCTGGTCAAAAGCTGATCAAAAGCTGATCAGAGGCTGGTCAGAGGCTGGATTAGAAGCTGGTCAGAAGCTGATCAGAAGGTGATCAGAAGCTGGATTAGAAGCTGATTAGAAGCTAGCCAAAAGCTGGTCAAAAGCTGATCAGAGGCTGATCAGAGGCTGGTCAGAAGCTGGATTAGAAGCTGATCAGAAGCTGATCAGAAGGTGATCAGAAGCTGGATTAGAAGCTGATTAGAAGCTAGCCAAAAGCTGGTCAAAAGCTGATCAAAGGCTGATCAGAGGCTGGTCAGAAGCTGGATTAGAAGCTGATCAGAAGCTGATCAGAAGGTGATCAGAAGCTGGATTAGAAGCTGATTAGAAGCTAGCCAA